CATCTCAACCTGTGTAAAGCAATAACCTCTTTACAACAATCAATCACCTCTTTATAACTACAGTGCCATATTAGCAATCATAATCTATGTCTACCAAAGGTTGAATACACAGAAGTGCAAAAATTTTAAATGTTTTGAAAGAAAGAAAAAACCACACAAAAACACCAACATTAGAAAAAACAACAGAATTTTAAATTTCTTACACATTCTAAAAAAAAATAATACCCACTGTTTCTAAACCAATCAAAATGATTCATTTGTATTTGCCTCAATGCCTTTAATATGTAAGCCATGTGGTAGAACACAATTATTGTCTTCAATGCAGCGCACAAAAGCTAATCTATACTAAAATGCCATACACAGTAACAATGATATTAGTCTTTCTTAAAACACTTTCTTCATGGAAACTTTTTTAATTTTACATGCAACACATCAAATAACATGCTTCATTTCACTCCCTTCCCTCTAATCATTGTATTGGACAATTCTATAATAGGCAGCTAGAACTCGGTAACATTGGGATATGTGAAGTTACTGTCTGTTAAATATATATATATATATTTAGTCAAAGTTATTCCAGCCACAGATTGATCAATTCACATGGAAATCCGCAATCAAATGATAAACACCTTGTGCAGCAAGAATCAGTCCTGTAAAAATATAAAAATCAGTTATAATTCATAGTGAACTGTCCTTGAAAGAACAACTCTTATTACTTAAAATAGAGTTCTTGTATTTGTTACTTTAAGTTATGACATATGGCTTGAATTAAGTACCGCTCAAGCCGGTGCTAGAGGGCTTGAGGGATGTTGCACTTATACATTATCCCTCATGTACAGATTAAATCAAATAGAGTCTGCAATTTTCATGAAATTTTGTTGTGATTATGCTTCCGAGGGATCACTTTGTTTACAGATTTTTCAACTTCACAACAGCAGGTGTCAAGTGCTGTGTGGCAGGTGTAAAAAGTTGCCTGTACTTCACTTCAGTGTTATTATATTTTTCTTGTCCTTCGGGATCATTGATGCCAGAACTATTAAGTGTTGAGAATTGAGTACCGCTCAAGCCGGTGGTAGGGGCCGTGAGGAATGTTGCACTTATTCATTATCCCTCATGTACAGACTCAATCAAACAGAGTCTGCAATTTTCATGTAATTTTGTTTTGATTAATGCTAATTTCCAGATTTTTTATACGTAGAATAAGATCACAATCTGCTGATCACAAAAAATCACAAAATCATACTTTTACTGTAAATTATCAAAATTCTTGCTTTTATTTATCTAGCACGACATTTGGGACTGACATTCTAGCTTTACTGGTTGAGGAAGATATTTGGAACTGCTTTTCTAGCTGTACTGGTTGATGAAGACATTTGGGACTGACATTCTAGCTGTACTGATTGAGGAAGACATTTAGGACTGATAAACCTAGCTGTACTGGTTTGGGAAGATATTTGGGGCTGACATTCTAACTTTACTGGTTTAGGAAGACATTTTGGACTGATATTCTAGCTTGACTGGTTGAGGATGATGTTTGGGACTGACATTCCAGCTTTACTGGTTGAAGAAGACATTAGGGACTGATATTCTAGCTTTACTGGTAGAGGAAAATTTTTGGGACTGACATTCTAGCAGTACTGGTTGAGAATGACATTTGGGACTGATGTTCTAGCTTTACTGGTTGAGGTAGACATTTGGGACTGACATTCTAGCTGTACTGGTTGAGGAAGATATTTTGAACTGCTTTTCTAGCAGTACTGGTTGAGAATGACATTTGGGACTGACATTCTAGCTGTACTGGTTGATGAAGACATTTGGGACTGACATTCTAGCTGTACTGGTTTAGGAAGACATTTGGGACTGACATTCTAGCTTTACTGGTTGAGGAAGATATTTGGAACTGCTATTCTAGCTGTACTGGTTGATGAAGACATTTAGGACTGACATTCTAGCTGTACTAGATGAGGAAGACATTTGGGACTGATAAACCTAGCTGTACTGGTTTGGGAAGATATTTTGGGCTGACATTCTAACTTTACTGGTTAAGAAGACTTTTGGGACTGATATTCTAGCTTGACTAGTTGAGGAAGATGTTTTGGACTGACATTCTAGCTTTACTGGTTGAGGAAGACATTTGGGACTGATATTCTAGCTTTACTGGTAGAGGAAAACTTTTGGGACTGAAATTCTAGCATTACTGATTGAGAATGACATTTGGGACTGATGTTCTAGCTTTACTGGTTGAGGAAGACATTTAGGACTGATATTCTAGCTGTACTGGTTTCGAAAGACATTTTGGACTGACATTCTATCTGTACTGGTTGAGAAAGACATTTGGGACTGACATTCTAACTTTACTGGATGAGGAAGACATTTGGGACTGATCTTCTATCTGTACTGGTTACGGAACACATGGGGATGACATTCTAGTTGTACTGGTTGAGGGAAGACATTTGGGACTGATAAACCAAGCTGACTTGTTGAGGAAGACATTTGGGACTTACATTCTAGTTGTACTGGTTTAGGAAGACATTTAGGACTGATATTTTAGCTGTACTGGTTGAGGAAGACATTTGGGACTGCTATTTTAGTTGTACTGGATAAGACAGACTTTTGGGACTGACATTCTAGCTTTACTGGTTGAGGAAGACATTTGGGAATGATATTCTATTTGTACTGGTTGAGGAAGACATTTGGGGCTGACATTCTAGCTGTACTGGTTGAGGAAGACATGTGGGACTGTATTGATTGAGGGAGACATTTGGGACTGATATTCTAGCTTTACAGGATGTGAAAGACATTTTGGACTGACATTCTATCTGTACTGGTTAAGGAAGACATTTGGGGCTGACATTCTAGCTGTACTGGTTAAGGAAGACATTTCGGACAGACATTCTAGATGTACTGCTTGAGGAAGACATTTGGGGCTGATATTTTAACTGTACTGGTTGAGGAAGACATTTGGGACTGTCATTCTAGATGTACTGGTTGAGGAAGACATTTGGGACTGACATTCAAGCTGTACTGGATGAGGTAGACATTTCGGACTGACATTCTAGATGTACTGCTTGAAGAAGACATGTGGGACTGATATTTTAACTGTACTGGTTGAGGAAGACATTTGGGACTGTCATTCTAGATGTACTGGTTGAGGAAGACATTTGGGACTGACATTCAAGCTGTACTGGATGAGGTAGACATTTTGGGCTGATATTCTAACTGTAGGCCTACTGGTTGAGGAAGACATTTGGGACTGACATTCTAGCTGTACTGGTCGAGGAAGACATTTGGGACTGACCCTCCATGCATTATTTGTCACATGCAGACTGAATACCTTTAGGCTTGCTGGAAAGCTTCATTATATGAGAGATGTTATAGTGTGGCTTGAATTCCCTCTGATACTGGTTAGGGGCAAGTGATTTAAAGTCAGCAACCTTCACCCACTTGACTACTTTAAACAAGCCAACATGCACAAGTCTAAACTTTCTTAAAATTCAGCACATGTCCAAGTGTGCTCATGGGTCAACCTGATCAAATAACAAAAACACTTAGTTTGTTTCTTTTATTAATATCATTCAATAATTAAAAATAGTGAGATACACTGGTCAGCAGTTCTTAATAATGATAATATTAAATACAATGAATATAAAACATGGCTGATGCTCACCTTATAAAATGATTTTAATAAAATGGAAGACATCTCGTTTAGTGATAAATTTCATTGTATTGCTCAGTGATATTTCATCTGATTTCTATAAAAGTTAAGGTATCTTGAAATCTTGACAATTTAAAATGAAAGATCAAAACAATTTCTGTAATGATTTCATTGAAGTATTAAATTTTTTTAATGATATTTTTCTAAATGATCTCATACAAATGTGACTACAATGATATCATAGAATATATATGTACCTATAATGACATCATGGAATACATATGTAATTATAATGACATCATGGAATAAATCTGTAACTATAAGGACATCATAGAATACATATGTAACTATAAGGACATCATGGAATACATCTGTAACTATAATGACATCATAGAATACATATGTAACTATAAGGACATCATAGAATACATATGTAACTATACTGACATCATAGAATACATATGTAACTATAAGGACATCATAGAATACATATGTAACTATACTGACATCATAGAATACATATGTAACTATACTGACATCATAGAATACATATGTAACTATAAGGACATCATAGAATACATATGTAACTATAAGGACATCATAGAATATATATGTACCTATAATGACATCATGGAATACATATGTAATTATAATGACATCATGGAATAAATCTGTAACTATAATGACATCATAGAATACATATGTAACTATACTGACATCATAGAATACATATGTAACTATACTGACATCATAGAATACATATGTAACTATAATGATATCATAGAATACATATGTAACTATACTGACATCATAGAATACATATGTAACTATAAGGACATCATAGAATACATATGTAACTATACTGACATCATAGAATACATATGTAACTATACTGACATCATAGAATACATATGTAACTATAAGGACATCATAGAATACATATGTAACTATAAGGACATCATAGAATACATATGTAACTATAAGGACATCATAGAATACATATGTAACTATACTGACATCATAGAATACATATGTAACTATAAGGACATCATAGAATACATATGTAACTATACTGACATCATAGAATACATATGTAACATATACTGACATCATAGAATACATATGTAACTATAAGGACATCATAGAATACATATGTAACTATACTGACATCATAGAATACATATGTAACTATGACATCTAGACATAGAATACATATGACTATCATCATAGAATACATATGTAACTATAAGGACATCATAGAATACATATGTAACTATACTGACATCATAGAATACATATGTAACTATAAGGACATCATAGAATACATATGTAACTATACTGACATCATAGAATACATATGTAACTATAAGGACATCATAGAATACATATGTAACTATAAGGACATCATAGAATACATATGTAACTATAATGATATCATAGAATACATATGTAACTATAAGGACATCATGGAATACATATGTAAATGTAACTGCAATAAAATCATAGGAATATATATGTAACTATTATGACATCATAGAATACATATTAATATACCAATTTTGACCCTAGGGGTTATGAAAGATATACACTAGAACATGTTTCATGCAAAATATCCAAGCTCTTACTCTTTTGGATTTTCAAAAGAATATTTTTTTAAGTTTTTACTAATTACATGTATATCTAATGAAAATCAATAAACCCCTGGGGCGGGCCAGTTTTGACCCTAGGACTTTTATTTGAACAAACTTGGAGAAGGTGTTTCATTTTTCCAAATATCTAAGCTGTAGCGCTTTTGGATTGTCACAAAAAGATTTTTTTTTAGTTTTTACTATATACATTTAAGGAAAATCAATGACCCCTGGAGCGGGGTCAATTTTGACCCTAGGGTATTTATTTGAACAAACTTGGTAGACATCCATTAGAAGATGTTTCATGCCAAATATCTAAGCTCTAGCTCTTTCGTTTTTTTACAAGATTTTTAAGATTTTTTGTAAAAAAATCTTTCCGTTGCCATGGCATTTAATGGAATTTAATTCTTTGAACAACTTTGGTAGAGCTTCATGCAAGTTATACTATAGAACGGTTTAACGAGTTGGCTCTCAAAAAGGAACAATAACAATTTCTCAACCAAAATCACTGAAGCGTGTAGTGACTCAAATATTTTATAATGCAGCTGTCTTGTATATTTGTTCTAATATTGAACACTTGTTCTAATCTTGCATACTTGTTCTTATCTTGTATAATTGTTCTAATCTTATATACTTCTTCTTTTGTATACTTGTTCTAATTTTGTACACTTGTTCTTATCTTGTATATTTGTTCTTATAGTGTATACTTCTTCTTTTGTATAATCTTGTACACTTGTTCAAATCTTATATACTTGTTCTTATTTTGTATACTTGTTCTAAGTTTATACACTTTTTCTAATCTTGTACACTAGTTCTTATATTGTATACTTGTTCCAATCTTGTACACTTGTTCTAAATATCCAACACTGCCAGCATCCTATGCTTAAGCTCAAAACATTTTTCACCTCAGATCTTAGTATCTCCATAAAATTTCCATCATGTATTATTATATTTCTTCAGCAGCATTATCTGTTAAATTGTCACTAGCATTGTCTAATATATCAGTAATGTCTGGTTCCCTACTTTCTCTGCCTTCTGTTTCCTGTCCTTTTAACTCTTCTTCAGAATTACTAGCTGTTAAAATCTGTACCACTTTTTGTCGTTCTATCTCAAGTTCATCTGCATGTTCTTCTGCATACTTTCCTAAAAAATGTTAATATATAGTTTAATAAAAACTTACCAGGAGAGAGTTTCATATAAGCTCCAAGCTTTCTACTCAATCCTGAATGAAATTTATATATTGTAATATTGTCTGTAAATAATGATGAAGAAATAAATATTGTTTAAACCAATAAAAACTTTCATTAAATTATCAACAAAGTTTAAAGAAAACTTTCATTAAATTATCAACAAAGTTTAATGAAAACTTTCATTCAATTATCAACAAAGTTTAATGAAAACTTTCATTCAATTATCAACAAAGATTAATGAAAACTTTCATTCAATTATCAACAAAGTTTAATGAAAACTTTCATTCAATTATCAACAAAGTTTAATGAAAACTTTCATTCAATTATCAACAAAGTTTAATGAAAACTTTCAACCAATTATCAACAAAGATTAATGAAAACTTTCATTCAATTATCAACAAAGTTTAATGAAAACTTTCAACCAATTATCAACAAAGTTTAATGAAAACTTTCATTCAATTATCAACAAAGTTTAATGAAAACTTTCATTCAATTATCAACAAAGTTTAATGAAAACTTTCATTCAATTATCAACAAAGAGTAATGAAAATTTTCAACCAATTATCAACAAAGTTTAATGAAAACTTTCAACCAATTATCAACAAAGTTTAATGAAAACTTTCATTCACTTATCAACAAAGTTTAATGAAAACTTTCAACCAATTATCAACAAAGTTTAATGAAAACTTCCATTCAATTATCAACAAAGATTAATGAAAACTTTCATTCAGATATCAACAAAGTTTAATGAAAACTTACAACCAATTATCAACAAAGTTTAATGAAAACTTCCATTCAATTATCAACAAAGAGTAATGAAAATTTTCAACCAATTATCAACAAAAAACTTTCATTCAGTTATCAACAAAGTTTAATGAAAACTTCCATTCAATTATCAACAAAGTTTAATGAAAACTTTCAACCAATTATCAACAAAATTTAATGAAAACTTCCATTCAATTATCAACAAAGATTAATGAAAACTTTCAACCAATTATCAACAAAGTTTAATGAAAACTTCCATTCAATTATGAACAAAGATTAATGAAAACTTTCATTCAATTAAACAAAGTTTAATGAAAACAGCCATTCAATTATCAAACAAGAACGTGTTTGTTAAACACAAATGCCCCCGGCTCTGATTCTTGTCAGTAGCAATATTTCAAAAAATGTTTACCCATTCACTTAGTTATGGACAGAAACATTGCCAAAAAATTGTAAACACAAGTTATATAGCTTGACAGAGTCATGGCATTTTGTAATTGTGAAATACATAAGTTGCCAAGTCATTGCTATGACTTGTGAAGTGTCAACTTTATCAAATATATATAAATGTAAGAAATCTATACTTGGCACCCTTGACCTTGACCCACTGACACCTATAGAATATCATGCAAGTTATCTGCCTACCAAATATGAAATACACCTGTCAATAAATAAAGGCTGTATGGGCAAAAATGTTAAAATCTATTTTGAGCATTGATGAGCTTGACCAAACTGACCCCTACTCCATCCAAAGGAAGAATACCATGCAAGTTATCTTCCAACCAAATCTGAAATAAATCTGTCAATAAATAAAGGCTGTATGGGCAAAAGTGTAAAAATCTATTTTTTAGCACTTGTGACCTTGACCCAACTGACCCCTATCTCCATCCAAAGTAAGAATAACATGCAAGTTATCTTCCTACCAAATATGAAATATATCTGTCAATAAATAAAGGCTGTATGGGCAAAAGTGTAAAAATCTATTTTTAGCACTAGTGACCTTGACACACTGATCCCTAACTCAATCAAAAGGAAGAATATCATGCAAGTTATCTTCCTATCAAATATGAAATACACCTGTCAATAAATAAAGCCTGTATGGGCAAAAGTGTAAAATCTATTTTTAGCACAAGTGACCTTGACCCACTGATCCCTACCCCAATCAAAAGGATGAATACCATGCAAGTTATCTTCCTACCAAATATGAAATATATCTGTCAATAAATATAGGTTGTATGAGCAAAAGTGTAAATATCTATTTTTAGCACTGGTGACCTTGACCTAACTGACCACTAACTCCATCAAATTTTATGTTCCTATCAATTATAAATGACATCTGTCTATAGAATATGGTTAATACACCTGTAAAAATCTATTTTTAACATTGGTGACATTGACATTGGTGACATTGACCTTGACCTAAATGACCCCTTACTATACCCAAAGAAGGAGGACCTCCCTTGGCATGTTTGTATTAAACATGAAAGACATCAACCAAAAAATAAAGGCTGTATGAGCAAAAATGTTTAAATTTATTTTCTAAACTAGTGACCTTGACCCTAGAGACCACTTACTCCACAAAAATTAGAGGACCATTAAAGGTTTCCACCTACCAAATATGCAAGATATCATAAAATAAATTAAGCAATTAAGAGAAATTTACGATAAATCCAACTTGCCGGAATAGGTTAACCAGACAAGGCCCTATTTTCAAAGTGAAAAAAGGGCAATAACTGGGAAATATGGATGACACGGTTATATAACTTGGCAATATCATGTACTTTGTATTGATAAGTAAGTGTGGAAATTATGAAGCCATTAGTATAGATAGAACTTAAGATATTTCCAACTTGCCTTTTAAGGTTAACCATTATTCATTTTTTAAGTGCTGAAAAGGGCAATAACTTGGTAAATATGGAAGCCATAGTTATGAAACTTGACCAGATCATGTACTTTGTATTGATTAGTAAGTGTGTAAACTAAGAAGACATTGGTACAGGTAGATCTTAAGAAAAATCCAACTTGCCGTTCTAGGTTAACCTCGTACGGACGGACGGACGGACGGACGGACGGTTCAATTACTATATACCCGGGGGCATAAAAAGCTTAAAGGCCTGTTATGCCTTAAAAATGCTTTTATTCATATTTCTTCAAAGCTTATTTCTTTTTAGTGTATATTGATAACATTCAAAAAGTTACTCATTAGCCAATAACCTCGACCAACTTTTTCATCTGTGACTTTTTGAAAATATGCACAGTTATAGAGACATTACTATTTTGTATGGAAGTCAAATATTACTTTGTTTATATTTTGCTACTTCAATGACACATGATTTTACATTACCGCTTTTTTCTTCAGGTAACAAGCATCTAACATTCTCTAAAACCATTGATTAAACATTATACAATTCATGTTTGACCTTTCTAAAGAAGTAAAAAAATTATTTGTTTTGCATAATGTGCCTCATGACATCACATCATCAATTTTGAATAACAGTTCTGTTAATTTCTCTAATTTTGTTACATTTTTAACATGATGTATGATGACATTGACTTCCTTTTCCAAAAACAAGAGCAATATTTAGGTATGACAGCATTTATTTTTGCCTGTTATTCCACTTAGTTATGATATTCTTCTCATCCGCATTCAGATAAAGTCCAGCTACAGTGAAAATTTTATTTTAACAAGGGTGCCATAGTCACAAAATACGCCCGTTTACGAAAGCTTTAGATGGAGATGGGGGCATTATGGATAAGTGTTATCTAGCAAGCAAGTTTTTATTCTTGGTACTGTGTTGTTAAATGAACCTTAAAACAAATCAGTAGGGAAGATATGCACAGGATGTGTGACCTTGACCTTGGTCGCAGGGACCTGAATTTTATGCACGGCACTCAGCCTCACAATGATGAACATTTGTGCCAAATTATATTGAAATCCCTCTATGCATGTAGAAGTTTTGCTCCAGACAAGCGTTTTTCTATGAGCTCTAAGTGTGACCTTCACCTTTGACCTAGAGACTTGGTTCATGTGCAGGGCACTACGTCTCATGGTGGTGAACAATTCTATAAAGTAACATTAAAATTCCTCCATGCATGTAGAAAATATGCTCCGGACAACATCTGGATATTTAATCATCTCCAGTGACCTTGACCTTGCAAATATTAACCTAAATTAAATGTGTCACACCTGTAGTCATGATAGTTACCATTTGTGCTACAATCCATCAATAAATGATGACTAAATGGTCCCTATACACATCTTCAAATTTTTATCTGAACTTTGACCTCTATGTGTGACCTTGACTTTGGTCGCAGGGATCTGAATTTTGCGTGCGACACTCAGCCTCACAATGGTGAACATTTGTGCCAAGTTATATTGAAATCCCCCTATGAATGTAGAAGTTTTGCTCCGGACAAGCATTTTTCAATGAGCTCTAAGTGTGACCTTGACCTTTGACCTGGAGACCTGGAGCAATACATATCATGGTGGTGAACATTTCCATAAAGTATTATAAAAATTCTTCCATACATGTAGGAAATATGCTCCAGACAAAATCTGGATATTTCACCATCTTTAGTGACCTTGACCTTGACCTAAAGTACATGTGTCACAGCCGTAGTCACGATAGTTACCATTTGTGTTACAATCCCTCAATAAATGATGATTAAATCGTCCCTATACACATTTTCATATTTTTATCTAAACTTTGACCTCTATGTGTGACCTTGACCTTGGCTGCAGGGACCTGAATTTTGTGCGCGACACTCCGCCTCACAATGGTGAACATTTGTGCCAAGTTATATTGAAATCCCCCTATGAATGTAGAAGTTTTGCTCCGGACAAGCATTTTTCAATGAGCTCTAAGTGTGACCTTGACCTTTGACCTGGAGACCTGGAGCAATACATATCATGGTGGTGAACATTTCCATAAAGTATTATAAAAATTCTTCCATACATGTAGGAAATATGCTCCAGACAAAATCTGGATATTTCACCATCTTTAGTGACCTTGACCTTGACCTAAAGTACATGTGTCACAGCCGTAGTCATGATAGTTACCATTTGTGTTACAATCCCTCAATAAATGATGATTAAATCGTCCCTATACACATTTTCATATTTTTATCTAAACTTTGACCTCTATGTGTGACCTTGACCTTGGCTGCAGGGACCTGAATTTTGTGCGCGACACTCCGCCTCACAATGGTGAACATTTGTGCCAAGTTATATTGAAATCCCCCTATGAATGTAGAAGTTTTGCTCCGGACAAGCATTTTTCAATGAGCTCTAAGTGTGACCTTGACCTTTGACCTGGAGACCTGGAGCAATACATATCATGGTGGTGAACATTTCCATAAAGTATTATAAAAATTCTTCCATACATGTAGGAAATATGCTCCAGACAAAATCTGGATATTTCACCATCTTTAGTGACCTTGACCTTGACCTAAAGTACATGTGTCACAGCCGTAGTCATGATAGTTACCATTTGTGTTACAATCCCTCAATAAATGATGATTAAATCGTCCCTATACACATTTTCATATTTTTATCTAAACTTTGACCTCTATGTGTGACCTTGACCTTGGCTGCAGGGACCTGCATTTTGTGCGCGACACTCCGCCTCACAATGGTGAACATTTGTGCCAAGTTATATTGAAATCCCTCTATGCATGTGGAAGTTTTGCTCCGGACAAGCGTTTTTCAATGAGCTCTAAGTGTGACCTTGACCTTTGACCTAGAGACCTAGTTCATATGTGTGACATGGCTTCTCATAATGGTGAACATTTCTATGAAATTTCATTAAAATCCCTCCATGCGTGTAGGAGATATGCTCCGGACAAAATCTGGATATTTCATCATCTTTAGTGACCTTGACCTTGTATATATTGACCTAAATTATATGTATCACAGCCATAGTCTTGATAATGACCATTTGTGTTACAATCCCTCAATAAATGATGACTAAATGGTCCATATACACATCTTCATATTTTTATCAGAACTTTGACCTCTATGTGTGACCTTGACCTTGGCCGCAAGGACCTGAATCTTGCGCGCGACACTCCGCCTCACAATGGTGAACATTTGTGCCAAGTAATATTGCAATCCCTCTATACAAGTGGAAGTTTTGCTCCGGACAAGCATTTTTCAATGAGCTCTGTGACCTTGACCTTTGACCTAGAGACCTGGTTCATGTGCGCGACACTGCTTCTCATAGTGGTGAACATTTCTATGAAGTTTCATTAAAATCCCTCCATACATGTAGGAGATATGCTCCGGACAAAATTGGACGCCGCCCGCCCGCCAGGGGCGTTCCCATAATACGTCCTGTTTTTCAAACGGGCGTATAAAAATTTCACTAGTGGTTTATCAGAATATAATCATCTGATATATTACAGTAAAACACCGGAAAGCGTGAAATATCAACCAAAATTACCTTCAGCATTTATAGATTTTATTTCTGTTTCTTGTAGCCTTTTCTCTGCCTGCTCACTTTTCAATCTCTCTTCTGTTATCACCATCTCTAGCTTGTTTAATCTGTCTCCAACACTATTACCAATAATGTCAGCTCCTACCGACATAAAACAACACTATTACCAATAATGTCAGCTCCTACCAATATAATACAACACTATTACCAATAATGTAAGCTCCTACGACATAAAACAGCACTATTACCAATAATGTCAGCTCCTACCGACATAAACAACACTATTACCAATAATATCAGCTCCTACCAATATAAAACAACACTATGACCAATAATGTCAGCTCCTACCAACATAAAACAACACTATGACCAATAATGTCAGCTCCTACCGACATAAAACAGCACTATGACCAATAATGTCAGCTCCTACCAACATAAAACAGCACTATGACCAATAATGTCAGCTCCTACCAACATAAAACAGCACTATGACCAATAATGTCAGCTCCTACCAACATAAAACAACACTATGACCAATAATGTCAGCTCCTACCAACATAAAACAACACTATTACCAATGTCAGCTCCTACCAACATAAAACAACACTATTTCCAATAATGTCAGCTCCTACCAACATAAAACAACACTATCACCAATAATGTCAGCTCCTACCAACATAAACAACACTATTACCAAGAATGTCAGCTCCTACCAACATAAACAACACTATTACCAATAATGTAAGCTCCTACCAACATAAAACAACACTATTACCAATAATGTCAGCTCCTACCAACATAAAACAACACTATTACCAATAATGTCAGCTCCTACCAACATAAAATACACTATTACCAATAATGTCAGCTCCTACCAACATAAAACAACACTATTACCAATAATGTCAGCTCCTACGACATAAAACAGCACTATTACCAATAATGTCAGCTCCTACGACATAAAACAGCACTATTACCAATAATGTCAGCTCCTACCGACATAGAACAGCACTATTACCGATAATGTCAGCTCCTACCAACATAAAACAACACAATTACCAATAGTGTCAGCTCCTACTGACATAAAACAACACTAATACCAACTAGAACTATCACTAAATGTGATTAATACCCCCACAAGTCTGCTTCGGAAATGAGGATGTTACTAGTAACAGAATACCTTGTAATAGAATTGAAACATAGAGTTATGGTTGTGGGCAATTAAAGATAATTGTGGTTCATGTATGTTGCATTTCCTTTCAATGTGGTTGGCCATTGATGAAGTTTAATTGAATTACTCTGTAATAAGTCCAGAAAGACAAAGAAAAAGAACAAAGGGCAATAACTCTATAAATACTGAAGATAGAGTTATAGTTCTTGTGCACTGCACTTCCTCTTATTGTGCTTGACCATTGTATGAAGTTGTTTTGAATTCCAACCAGTACGTTTTAAGTTATGCTCCGGACAAGGAAAAGTATCAAAGGGCAGTAACTCTGTATTTTGTCAAAATGGAGTTATGGCTCTTGTGCACTGCACTTCCTTTTAATGTCCTTGACAACTGTATGAAGTTGTACTGAATTCCAAACAGTAGTTTTCAAGTTATGCTCTGGACAAGGAAAAGTAACAAAGGGCAATAACTCTGTAATTAGTCAAGATGGAGTTATGGTTCTTGTGCACTGCACTTCCCCTTATTGTGCTTGGCCATTGTATGAAGTTGTTTTGAATTCCAACCAGTAGTTTTAAAGTCATGCTCTGGACAAGGAAAAGAAACAAAGGGCAGTAACTCTGTAATAAGTCAAAATGGAGTTATGGTTCTTGTGCACTGCACTTCCTCTCAATGTGCTGGACCATTGTATGAAGTTATAATGAATTGCAACAATTAGTCTTCAAGTTATGGTCCGGACAAAAGAAAGCAATGGAAAAGTAATAAAGGGCAATAACTCTGTAATTACTTTAGATAGAGTTATGGTTCTTATGCACTGCACTTCCTCTCAATGTGCTTGACCATTGTATGTAGTTATATTGAATTCCAACCATTAGTCTTCAAGTTATGGTCCGGACAAAAAAAAGAAGGCAATGGAAAAGCAACAAAGGGCAATAACTCTGTAATTACTTTAGATAGAGTTATGGTTCTTGTGCACTGCACTTCCCCTTATTGTGTTTGACAATTGTATGAAGTTGTTTTGAATTCCAACCAGTAGTTTTCAAGTTATGCCACGGACAAGGAAAAGTAACAAAGGGCAATAACTCTGTAATTAGTCAAGATAGAGTTATGTTTCTTACGCCCTGCACTTCCTCTCAATGTGCTTGACCATTGTATGTAGTTATATTGAATTCCAACATTAGTCTTCAAGTTATGCTCCGGACAAGGAAAATGCAACGGACAAAAAAAAAAAGCAAATGGAAAAGCAACAAAGGGCAATAACTCTGTAATTACTTTAGATAGAGTTATGGTTCTTGTGCACTGCACTTCCCCTTATTGTGTTTGACAATTGTATGAAGTTGTTTTGAATTCCAACCAGTAGTTTTCAAGTTATGCCCCGGACAAGGAAAAGTAACAAAGGGCAATAACTCTGTAATTAGTCAAGATAGAGTTATGGTTCTTATGCACTGCACTTCCTCTCAATGTGCTTGACCATTGTATGTAGTTATATTGAATTCCAACCATTAGTTTTCAAGTTATGCTCCGGACAAGGAAAATGCAACGGACGTCTGGACCGACCGACCGCCCGACCGACCACCGGGTGACTCCTATATACCCCCCCAAACTTCGTTTTTGGGGGTATAATAATGTAAGCTCCTATGACATAAACAGCACTATTACCAATAATGTCAGCTCCTACCGACATAAAACAGCACTATTACCAATAATGTCAGCTCCTACCAACATAAAACAGCACTATTACCAATAATGTCAGCTCCTACCAACATAAAACAACACTATGACCAATTATGTCAGCTCCTACTGACATAAAACAACACTATGACCAATAATGTAAGCTTGTACAACATAAAACAGCACTATTACCAATAATGTCATCTCCTACTGACATAAAACAACACTATTACCAATAATGTCAGCTCCTACCAACATAAAACAACACTATGACCAATAATGTCAGCTCCTACCAATATAAAACAACACTATGACCAATAATGTCAGCTCCTACAGACATAAAACAACACTAATACCAATAATGTCAGCTCCTACCAACATAAAACAACACTAAGACCGAAATTGTCAGCTCCTACCAACATAAAACAGCACTATTACCAATAATGTCAGCTCCTACCGACATAAAACAACACTATTACCAATGGTTTCAGCTCCTACCAACATAAAACAATACTATGACCAATAATGTCAGCTCCTACCAACATAAAACAACACTATTACCAATAATGTCTGCTCCTACCGACATAAAACAACACTATGACCAATAATGTCAGCTCCTACCAACATAAAACAACACTATTACCAATAATGTCAGCTCCTACCAACATAAAACAACACTCGGAGATATTGTTTATCTACAGTTCAGGGATTTGGAACAAAAAATACAACAAAAAAGCAATGTTTGAATATAAGTTTGCCATTTCTGGAATGAGTTACTACTATATGTCATGATGTCATGTGTTCATATAGTCTATGGCCACGTGTTCATATAGTCTATGATTACACATGTCTTCTATGGTCCCATATTCATATAGTCTTTAGCCATGTGTTCATTAGTCTATGGTTACGTGTTAAAATAGTCTATGTTCATGTGTTCATATAGTCTATGGTTTCGTGTTCAAATAGTCTGGTCATGTGTTCATATAGTCTATGGTAACAGGTTCATATAGTCTATGGTCATTTTTATATGGTCTATGGTCACAAGTTTATATAGTCTATGGTCACATGTTTATAAAATCTATGGTCATTTGTTCATATGTTCTATGGTCACATGTTCATATAATCTATGGTCATGTCTTCATATAAGTCTATGGTGATTACCTTGATTTCAGCTAAAATTAAACTTCACCTGTGTTTAAAAATAATGTGTGTCCTAAGTTTAATAAGCGTCCATCTGCCCTTTCAGGCATTGAGAGTACGGACCAAAAATGGTTCAATATAACATACTTAAATGCCAAATATAAACACAACCATTGATATCCTTCAAAAATAATCATACGGAAAGCTATTGTTTACTGGCAGATTTTTTACCATAATAACGTCCAGAAGTCACATGTCTTTGGGCATATAAAAAGAAAATAATTAAGAATTCATTCCAATGTAATATAAAACTCACCTGTCATGTATGAAATTTCTGCTGCATTATTTACTAGTGCTTGACACCTGCTAAACAACATCTCTAAATCCTGAAATATATGTACATACATTGTAATAGCTTCATCCATCAATATGATACAAACATTATGAAACCATTTCTTTAGTTTATATAAAATGTATACATTTAACCCATTACTTCATATACACGCCTTTTAACGCCTTTTTCACCCCCCCCCCCCTTTTTTTGTTGTCTCAAATGATGAAAAAATGCCTTATTTAGGCCCCAAACACTTGTTTTTGTTTGAGAAATGTTGTTAAAAAAAGTGAGCTCTTTTTCGGCGCGGCCCCCCAACCAAAAGATACATCAGGGGGTTGCCAGAAGGGGGATGTGCCCCCTTCTGTTTGGGGGGGTTTGAAGGGGGGCGGAGTCCCCCTCATCGCCAAGAAAATTTTGGACTTGTGAGAGGCTGTAAATGACCCCAGATTGATCATAAGGTAATGTGTAACCAACGCTGAAAAGCATTTGACTCTATCTCAATCCATTGAGAAGTTGCAGCACTTTGAAATCAATTTTGATGAAAAAAATCAACGCAAAATAGTGATTTTTGGCAATTTTGAGATGTCCCCTCGTTGCCATGGTAACAGAAAATTTAAGCCTGAGCATGTTGTTGCAAGGGCAATGGTCCAGTCAACATTTGTGCCAAGTTTGATTAGTGTTGAAGCAGTTTTTATAGTATCATAGCAATTTGAACTTGTAACGGGAGACTTTTCAATGAAAACAGCCATTTTTCACAAAATGCTCATGAAGTAATGGGTTAAGTCAATTTACCATGTTTACCAGTCTCCAGCCCCAAATCACATTTTTTAACAAATTAAATAAAAATCTGTCTAGGGATGAGTACAAAACTTTGACGAATTAAAGTTAGGTACCTGTCTAGCATAACCATGTTTTCAATGTTTGTTTTACTTTACTTTTTAATTGGAATATAGGCCTGAATGTAACACCTTTTCTCATGTTTATTCAAAATTTCATAGCAGTTTTACAGCCCTTTTTTATTTTGAATATAATTCAGATCCAATAAGAAATGTTAAGATGATTTTATCAATGATATAGAACTACCCAACCTTTTCAACGTCATCTGCAAATATATTGTTCAGAAGTATTGATTTACCTGGAATGGGGTCACTATCACTGCGGTATACCGTACCCCGGATGTTGCTCAATATAATGAGGACTTTCATCTTATTTCGCGACTCTGAACGGGGAACCAAGATAAGTTCAACGACAAAATTTTAAAACTTATGGCTATTTCATTTAACTTAACAGGTTTTAATTATCTAGAAGTACTTTTTGTAGTTCTAAAAGACATGAAAGTAAACCAGGTATTTGTAAAAACTACCCCTAAACGATCGGCTGCTCACTAGAAATTATTGACCGCAATACTTTAGAAATGATTTTATTACCAAAATAAAAAAGTTTTGAATCAAGCAATTTTTTGCATGTTTTTCACACCTTTGGCTCTCATAAATGTCCTAATTACAATCACACCTTTGGCTCTCATAAATGTCCTAATTACAATCACACCTTTGGCTCTCATAAATGTCCTAATTACAATCATACCTTTGGCTCTCATAAATGTCCTAATTACAATTGCTTATTGTACTTGACAGTCAAATTGAACAAGCGTTATAACATACATGGCACTCTATAAATCTAGATCTACATGTATTTTTTTTTGGGGGGGGGGGGGGGGGAGCGCCAAGGTCTATGAGCGCTATACTGAGATTAGAGTTATAACGGAGAGAGATATTTCGAGGCTACAGTGTACCTTGTGGTGACAAATGAGTGTAGAACATTTGACACTAAAACTATGAAATGATGTTGAAAAGGGCCTTCAAAATCTATACAAGAATATTTAATTTAGAAAATAGGAATTACACGAAAAAAAAATCAAATAATTGTTCTTGCCATTGTAGGTCCCCTTAAAAGAAATAGCAATAGTAACTTCTTAGAATAATTCTTTCAGGCAAAACCTGAACCAAGGTTGTAGACAAAGAGGCCAACTAACTTGTGACTAAACAGCTCCCTATAGTCTTCGAAATATTTATCACTATTTTCACCAGTAAAGCAAGATAAATGTGTATATGAAATATATCAGAGAATTAAAAAAAATGTTGTCTGTTAGGGACACACAGACTTTAAGTATTTACAGGAGATATAGAAATCCATTTCGTTTAATGAAACCAACAGAGCAGGAATGAAAATCTCACTCCCTATGGATTATTAGTAGATGTTTCCAACTCTGCATATTTTGCACATATAGTGTCAATAAGTATACACAATAAGAAATATTTAAGAATGTAGTAAATTCTATGTGTTTACTCCTTGCATTTAATTGAAATTAATAACCAATGCTAGTTACACTAAAAAGAAATAATTGTGATGCCGGCCAGCAACTCCAAAGCAAAAATCGGTACACAGACACATGTGAATTTATTCTCTAAATGCGCTGTCATCTGAAATTCTTTTTTTAATTGAACATTTACAACATAATATTTATCATCGTTATCACATTTCATTTGATTGTAGTTTTTCTTTTAAGGTAGTATATATGCACAAAAACATTGAATTTGTCTGATCCAAGCTTATTTATTATGCGAGCAAAGAAACGAATTTACCTCCTAATTACATTTCAAAGCTTATAATGTCTCAACATTTGACTAGAAAATCATCAAAGTATTTGTTTTTCTATAAAATTTATATCAAACAAATTCAAAATGACTAAATATCGTCGCTGAACTTACCTTTGTTCCCCATTCAAAGTCGCGAAATGTAATGAAAGTCCTCATAATATCGAGCAATTTCCAGGGTACGGTATACCCGCAGTGGTTATTGCACATGGCCATTCAAACTAGAATTCCCCAGGTGGTGCTGATTTCTAAATGTGGCATGTTCTCTAAGGTAACTTTAAACAACAGACACATCTTCAAAACACATAAATCGCTGTATTACTTTAACTGCTGTGTTGCATAGAAAACAAATGTCCCTCTGATTTAATGAAGTAACATAGATGCCGTACTGGTAAAAATAGACCGTACTGGACGAAAATTATAATGGGCCGGAAAACTACTAGAGGCCGGAAAGCTGCTAGGGCCGGAAACTGCTAGGAATCCAGTAACTACGTAACTCTCACAGAAATAATAGAAAATATCTGCACATCATTTACAAGAAGATTTTCTTTGCTGTTGTCAAAAACTACAGCAGTTCTAGACAAGAGCCACCGCCTGGATCATTTTTATATGTAATATACATACAGTAAAGTACATATAATTCTACATTTACCACTAACTTACATCTCTTTTCTTCTTACTACTGGCAACAAGACTTCGTCCTTCAAGAACAAGATCCCATAATCTAGCTTCTTCTTGGGAATTGCCAAGAATGGTGAGCTTAAGTTCAAGCAGAAATACTAATGCCAACAAAGCCTAAAAACAATATAAGATAAATATTAACCTGAAGCAAGTTCAGTAATTCTTTTTGTTGTTTAATATCATTTAATATTATTCAGACAATATTCAAATTAGTTATAAAATGCCAATACTGGATATGTTGAATTTTAGCATATTTCTTAAAACACATTAGTTTCTACATTAATATTAACTACTTACATAGGTAATTAAGCTAGAAACACTGTCCAGAAAATAACTGTATTTTGTTACAAACTGCATTACCAGTAGTTAAAACAGATTTTATTTCTCAGAATAAATATACATGTTACAATTTACAATATACACAAAGCATTTCAAATATTCTTACAAAGACAGGATTAGAATGAAATACAAATTGTCTTATGAAATTCTTCTCCTTTAAATGGCATTATTCATCAAAGGGAACTAACTCTGCATGTGTCACCACTAAAAGTCGGTACCCAGTGTCAACAATCAAATACTGTAAGCTGATGAGACATCCTTAGGGGAAGGTTACGACACAACATCTCAAATTCAAGGCTGAGAAAATCCTCATTCAAATTTAGCAGGGAAAATTCAATAATGAGCAAATACAAATGTACCTCCTTATATTCTGAATCTGCATGTTGTAGAGCCAGAGCAGTTTGTGTGAGAAGTGTAACAGCATTTTCTGCAGTCGATATACTCGATGAATGTATAAGATATTCTCTTGTTAGCTTAGATGCATCGGGCTCCTGCAATATAAACAAATATTTATCACTATACTACACATGAATATCAATAAGTCATGTGGTATAGGCACCGTGTTAATGCTGAGCTGAAAAGGGTTACTGTTGTTTTTTTTGCTTAGATGGAAAGGGGCCCAGTCCTATAGAAGTGGAGTAAAAAAGCTTGAATGAGCTAAAAAGGCATTTTTCTTCAATGTTTAATGTAGGCTGTCTGATAATTTTTTCTCTTATTTAATATCTTGTTGTACAAAAGAATTTGTATAATAGTTAGATACTAACTAGAAATGTGTCGTCACGCCACGGATGCCCCCGCTTGCAGTCAAAATTTCAGATGTTATAATATTTAGTTCCAAATTTGTTTGCACAAACTAGAACTGCCACTGTCATGGCATACCCCCGCATACCACTTTGTCAGGACAACTTCCCTGCCAAATCTGAGGTTACGAAGCCAGTGCATTGCTAAGTTATGTATTCTACATGCTTCAAATGTGAAAATGTCAAGATCAATACACTGCAGACAGGCATTCTTAAGCAATTGAGGGGAAAAGAATTTTTTTAGTCAAGGTCCCTGTGACCTTGACCTTTGACCCAGTGACCTCAAAATCAATAGGGGTTTCCTTATGGTCATCATCAACCTCCATGCCAAATATGAAGACTGTGGGTCAAAAGTTCTTAAGTTAATAAACGGACAAACTTTTTGAAGTCAAAGTCCATGTGACCTTAACCTTTAACCCAGTGACCCTAAAATCAATAGGGGTCACCTACTAATCATGACTAACCTCCATGCCAAATATGAAGACTATGGGTCAAAGGAATCTTAAGTTATTAGGCGGACAAGCTTTTTGAAGTCAAGGCCCCTGTGACCTTGACCTTTGACCTGGTGTGCTCAAAATCAATAGGGGTCATCTACTCATCATGACTAACCTCCATGCCAAATATGAAGACTGTGGGTCAAAGGAATCTTAAGTTATTGGGCGTACAAGCTTTTTGAAGTCAAAACCCCTGTGACCTTGACCTGGTGACCTCAAAATCAATAGGGGTCATCTACTCATTATGACTAACCTCCATGCCAAATATGAAGACTGTGGGTCAAAGGAATCTTAAGTTATTGGGCGTACAAGCTTTTTGAAGTCAAAACCCCTGTGACCTTGACCTGGTGACCTCAAAATCAATAGGGGTCATCTACTCATCATGACTAACCTCCATGCCAAATATGAAGACTGTGGGTCAAAGGAATCTTAAGTTATTGGGCGGACAAGCTTTTATAGTCAAGGTCCCTGTGACCTTTGACCTGGTGACCTCAAAATCAATAGGGGTATTCTACTCATCATGACTAACCTCCATGCCAAATATGAAGACTGTGGGTCAAAGGAATCTTAAGTTATTGGGCGGACAAGCTTTTTGAAGTCAAGGCCCCTGTGACCTTGACCTTTGACCCAGTGACCTCAAAATCAATAGGGGTCATCGACTCATCATGACTAACCTCCATGCCACATATAAAGACTGTGGGTCAAAGGAATCTTAAGTTATTGGGCGGACAAGCTTTATGAAATCAAGTCCCCTGTGACCTTGACCTTTGACCTGGTGACCTCAAATCAATAGGGGTCATCTACTCTTCCCAAATATGAAGACTGTGGGTCAAAGGAATCTTAAGTTATTGGGCGGACAAACTTTTTGAAGTCAAGGCCCCTGTGAACTTGACCTTTGACCTGGTGACCTCAAAGTCAATAAGGGTCATCTATTAATTATGACTAACCTCCATGCCAAATATGAAGACTGTGGGTCAAAGGAATCTTAAGTTATTGGGCGTACAAGCTTTTTGAAGTCAATGCCCCTGTGACCTTGACCTTTGACTTGGTGACCTTAAAATCAATAGGGGTCATCTACTAATCATCACTAACCTCCATGCCAAATATGAAGACTGTGGGTCAAAGGAATCCTAAGTTATTGGGAGGACAAGAAAAAACCGACGGACGCCCGACGGATCTGATTCCAGTATACGGGGGTTATACTTTTTGACAACTTTTTTGTGCGGGGTATAATAAGACAATATTAAATGAAAGGAGCAATGTATAGGAGCATAGACTAAATAGATAACAAAATATAGCTGTGGTAGCAGCAACTGGGAGTGACAAACTATAAAAGTTTTAAGCCACTTCAGCCACGGACATATTGACACTTTACCAAATTTACCCCATTTTAAATACTTCAGAATAAGTATTATTTATACATATTTGAAAAATAATTATTATACATTTAAATCATTGAATGTATTCTATCAAAGACTGAAAAAAATAATTCATTACTGCATTCATATACAAGCAAATCTGTTGAATTTGTATCCCCCGCCGAGCACTGGTTATAACAAACACAACAACTGGAGATATAAGCCTTTATTTACATAAATTTATCATGGCATGCAAATTTCCTTTTCACATTGATGGTTTCTATACAGTCTTGTTGAAATCAATCCAGCAGTTGAGAAGAAATAGCAATATTGCTCTATATGCATACTGCATAACTAATCAAGGGTATAACTCTGTCTTGATGGGTCTGACCGGAACAAGGCAATGATATGAGCATCTCCCATTGGTATTGGTTGTTCCAATTAAGTTTCTTTGAATTCCAGCCAGTTCTTGCAGAAAAATAGCGCAGAAACGATTATTGCTCTATATGATAACTGCATAATGAATCAAGGGCCATAACTCTATGTTGAAGGGTCTGACCGGAACAAGGTTGAGATAAGCACATCTCCTCTTGGTATTGATGTTTCCAATAAAGTTTTGATAAATTCCAGCCAGTAGTTGCAGAGAAATAGTGCGGAAATGATTATTGTCTATATGCCTACTGCATAACTAATCAAGGCCAATAACTCTGTCTTTGAACAAGGCAACAACATGCACATCTCCTCTTGGTATTGATGGTTCCCATAAAGTTTCGTTCAATACCGTCCAGAAGTTGCAGAGAAATAGGGCTGAAACAATTATTGCTCTATATGCATACTGCATAACTAATCAAGAGCCATAACCCCTGTCTTAAAGGATCTGATTGAAACAAGGCTATAATATGCGCATCTCCTCTTAGTATTGATTGTTCCCATTAAATTTCATTGAATTCCAGCCAGTAGTTGCAGAGAAATGGTGCAGATAACGATTATTACGCTATATGCATACTGCATAACTAATCAAGGGCCATAACTCTTTCTTGATGGGTCTGACCGGAACAAGGCAATGATATGAGCATCTCCCATTGGTATTGGTTGTTCCAATTAAGTTTCTTTGAATTCCAGCCAGTTCTTGCAGAAAAATAGCGCAGAAACGATTATTGCTCTATATGATAACTGCATAATGAATCAAGGGCCATAACTCTATGTTGAAGGGTCTGACCGGAACAAGGTTGAGATAAGCACATCTCCTCTTGGTATTGATGTTTCCAATAAAGTTTTGTTAAATTCCAGCCAGTAGTTGCAGAGAAATAGTGCGGAAATGATTATTGTCTATATGCCTACTGCATAACTAATCAAGGCCAATAACTCTGTCTTTGAACAAGGCAACAACATGCACATCTCCTCTTGGTATTGATGGTTCCCATAAAGTTTCGTTCAATACCGTCCAGAAGTTGCAGAGAAATAGGGCTGAAACAATTATTGCTCTATATGCATACTGCATAACTAATCAAGAGCCATAACCCTGTCTTAAAGGATCTGATTGAAACAAGGCTATAATATGCGCATCTCCTCTTAGTATTGATTGTTCCCATTAAATTTCATTGAATTCCAGCCAGTAGTTGCAGAGAAATGGTGCAGATAACAATTATTACGCTATATGCATACTGCATAACTAATCAAGGGCCATAACTCTTTCTTGATGGGTCTGACCGGAACAAGGCAATGATATGAGCATCACCCCTTGGTATTGGTTGTTCCAATTAAGTTTCTTTGAATTCCAGCCAGTTCTTGCAGAAAAATAGCGCAGAAACGATTATTGCTCTATATGAATACTGCATAATGAATCAAGGGCCATAACTCTATGTTTAAGGGTCTGTCCGGAACAAGGCAGAGATAAGCACATCTCCTCATGGTGTTGATGGTTCCAATAAAGTTTTGTTAAACTCCAGCCAGTAGTTGCAGAGAAATAGTGCGGAAATGATTATTGCTCTATCATATGCATAATGCATAACAAATCAAGGGCAATTTCTCTAAGTTAAAGGGTCTGACCCGAACAAGGCAATGATATGCGCATTTCCTTTTGGTTTTGATGGTTCCCATAAAGTTTCATGTAATTCCAGCCAGTAGTTGCAGAGAAATAGCAGGAAAGCGATTATTGCTCTGTATGTATACTGCATAACTAATCAATGGCCATAACAGTATTGAAGGGTCTGGCCAGAACAAGGCTATAATATGCGCATCTTCTCTTGGTATTGATGGTTTCCATAAAGTTTCATTGAATTCCAGCCAGCAGTTGCAGAGAAATAGCGCGGAAATGATTATTGCTCTATATGCATACTGCATAACAAATCAAGGTCCATAACTCTGTGTTCAAGGGTCTGACCGAAACAAGGCCAGAAGTTGCAGAGGAGTAGCATAGAAACGATTATTGCTTTATATGCATACTGCATAACTAATCAAGGGCCATAACTCTGAGTTAATGGGTCTGACCAGAACAAGGCGATGATATGGCATCTGCTTTTGATATTGAAGTTTTGTTGAATTTCAGCCAGTAGTTGCATAGATCGAGTGCGAAAACGAAATTCGGACGGACGGATAGATGGATGGAAGAAAAGACGAATGGAAGGACAGACCGACAACGCCAAAACAATATCCCCCTCCTAATTCCATCAGTGGGTGATTATTAATACAGTTTGTAAAAAGACAGCTGACTAATGCTTAAATGGTGGAATTAATGACATAATGAAGTCAAAACCTATTTGAATTTGAACCGAGTGATGCTCCCCGAATAGGTTTTGGACACAGAAAAGTATACCTCTTGTAGTGTAAGAGTTATGTCCCGGACAAAAATCAAAGTTTAAAATCAAGAAGGCAATAACTCCAAAGAGGCAAGGCGGAATTATTGTTCTTTTGCACTGCATATCTACCAAATGAGATCTATCTACCTACAAAGTGTCTTGTTCACTTTTAAAAAATAGCACAATATCTTAGCCCAACAAATTGTGCGCTTGAGGGCTTTTAATAATAATAGATGATGGTCGTCCGAAGACAGACATCTATGTAATATAAGATTGTAAAATTGGTTGGTCTTGCAGTGGAAATATTGAGATTTATCATACACAATATCTCAACTGATACATGTAGTACAATGAGTTGGACTAACCACAGACACTTGGGGTGGGGAGCTTAAAACACCTTTAAAATCCAAATAAAATGTATATTTGTCAATCCCAGCACTATAATAATATTATTATAGACATTGAAATATGAATTTTTTTCAAAACGGCTTATATTAAGTTTTTTTGATATATACTGTATGATCAGTACATGTGCTGGGATTGACAAATATACAATTTTATTTGGACTTTAAAGGCGTTTTAAGCTCCACACCCAAAGTGTCTGTAGTACTAACTATAAAAGTAGTCCTATGAATATGACATCACTATGAGATATTTTTGCTTCTGGGCTTGTTATATTTTATGTCTGTCAAGTCTGTAACGTCCGATATATTAGACTAACTATAAAAAGTGCACTTCACTTAACTTGAACTGATATTTAAAAACCTGGGCATTAGACCTCATGGACTTGGACTTAAGATTTGCTTTACCTTTAAAATACACCAGTGTTTATCATTTAATAGTTACTCTATCTAAATTTCCCCAAAGGGGTACGGCTCATTGAATGTTCACAAAATATGTATTTGATAGGTAGTAAATATTTAATAATCACAATATGAATTCTTAAATCAATTTCCCACATCTTACCAAACCTATATTTTAACTAAAATATATTATAGACATATATAAATTTTTTACGCTTATATATAGTTTGTAATAATGGAAAACTTTGAAAATATACATTTTTGACTTAGGATAATGTTCGAGCTCATGATGTCACAAATTGTATTGATGTAGAAACATTTCCTAAGTAGAAGAATTCTAAGTCCTTCCATAACAATACTATAATATAATCACTATATATGGGGTTTTATTTTTTTAGTGTAAGTGGAATTAGAACTTAGAATTCTATTTGGGTTGACTTAGGCTGATAAATTTGTTTACCTTACAAATACACCATGTTTAATCATTAATAGCGTACTCTTCTAAATTTCCTATCCGAAAACTACCACACTTTAGTTACCTGTATTTTACGCCTTCCATCACATGACAACTTCGTAGCTACTGCTGAACTGAAACAAAACGTTGTATATTTGTGTTTGACTGTTTTAGATCGCGTCAAACATTTGATTTTATTGAAAAAATGAGCACAAGATTTACATGATCTGAAATTCATTTTTGGGTAAGGAGTAAATACGTACATAATACACATCGTTGTCATCACGGGTAGCCGTGAAGGAGGGTTAGGGGTTCATGATCCTCCACATTCAAACTGTGATGTGAGACTTTTTTGTGTGTGTGAAAATCTCAAAAAGCCAGTGAAAGTCATCAAGAATTTGACTCATTACCTGTTCTAGAAAACAAGTAAAATGCAAAACTCCATCGGGAATAGGGCCCATGCATTACCTCTCATAAGAATTGTGTGACCCTCACTTGTAGAAAAGGATGGATCTGCATTTTTTTTACTATTGCAACAAAATAGTGTAAAAACTGATATTAATTTTAATTAAAAAAGGAGACATATGGTCCATTATAATGCAACTTTTCTCACTTAAGACCATCATCTAGTAAATTTGCTGGGTCATATTGTCACATTTTTTGCCAGTTATTTTGTTAAATTGCAAAATGAACTCAAAGATGATTCTCTTTTATAATGTTAACTTGACATCTGGAATCCTATGGTACCTCTTATTAAATATTTTAGTATAATGTATCAGACAAATACATGTATATGAGGCCTATTTTGGTTTTGTAAGACAAACGTACCTCATGATCCTGTGACGCTGCAGAGGCTATACATTTTCAGAGATTTAAAATAACTCGATGTCTAAAGGTAGATTCTGAGATACTTTTTACTGGTCAAGTGTTCTAGTCACCATTTAAACATCACTTCTGTCAAACTTAAAAATGCTATGAATCTAAAAAATCTGCTAATCATGGGTCATAATTAACCATCCTAGGAAAATTGAAGCTAACACCCAATCCTACCTGTGAAATATTTAAGGCATTAGTGAGCATTTGAGTAGAGTCACAAAAGTTCTGAAAGCTATTACAATAGGATCCTAACAATTGAAAGACTCCTTACATTATAGGGGAATCCAGGCCAATGCAAGTGATTAAAATTTTGTGACATATACCAGTAAGCATTCAGCAACTCGGTGACCCCTTACCACTGATTATAAACCAAGGTTATCTCAAGATAATAAGTAGAAATCCATTTTCACTTGTAATTCCACATTTTCATGGACCTATTGAACCCCAGACGGATTAGGTAGTCTTGAATACATTTCAATTTTTAAGTGAATTAAGTTGACAAAATATCTGTCAAAACAACTTTTTCATATTTGAGCCTTAACACTGTTTTCTACCAGCAGAAAAACAAAGTTACAAACCTGTACAAAACTATGCATGCCATAAAGTCCCAGAAAAAAGGTAACTGTCCTGGAGCAACAACATGCTCATTCATATTTCTAAGGGAAACATAACAGAATGTTAACAATACATGGGCAAGCCTTAAGAGCAAGTTATATATGAAACATGAATTGTTGAATTTTAAAACGGTTTCCTTGCTAGGTAAAACAGAATGATAAAGTGGACCAATTTAATATTATACAGGGAAAATAATAAAAAAACAAACAATGCACTGTTCAAGAAAGTGTTCTTTATTTTGTTAAAAAAAAAACAAACTTTCAGAACAAATTTCTTGGTTCTAAAACCATCTAAATACTATCAAATAACCTAATAAAATTGTTATCATAACTCATATTAGTAACAATTCTTTTGTGTGACTAATTGCTTAGTGCATAAATAATCTAAATGATAGAAGAAAACAAGAGAAAAGTAAAGGTTGCATGTATACCAATATTGGTACTTGCATATATCTGATTTTAATTTAACTAAATGGTAAAATAATTAGCACATTCTAAATGACAAAATTAACAACGCATATCTCAAATTCTTGAACTAACATAAAAAATTAAATAAAACTAACAACATGTACACAGAACAATTTTCAGCAAGCTGTATTGTCAGTCTGTCATGATGGTTTTTTCAAAGAGTAAAATAACTGAGTTACAAAGCTTACTCTAAACATATCTATAACTAAAACTATCATTGGACAAAAGATTTATTTGTAAAAAAATCAATAAGTTATCAAGCCTTTTGACCTTATTCTAATTTTCTTTCTTAAACCCTTAAAACTGCTGGAACCTTAAGTGAACAGCCTTTGCCACCATATTGAGCCAGTTCAGCTTGCTTGCCTAGGTCTGCAGCTTGCATATAACCTTACCAGGTTCAATACTGTTAATTAAGTATTTTGATAAAAAAAATTCTTAATTGAGAGTTTCGAATTCAGTCATGTCTATTACATAAGATCTAAAAATAGCAACCTTAATGTGGCAAATACTGTCCATTACACAATATCAGTAGTGTAAGGGCTAAAAATAGAAACCAATGGCAAATGCTGTGTATTCTCTAAATATTGTGGGCATGAAATTTCATGGTTTTGTCTAAATGGACACAATTTTAGGGTTTTTAAGTATGTGGAATGTCTGTTTTTGCAAAAATAATTAAAATGAAAATGCTTTATTTAAAATAATTTTACAGCAGACGAAATAATACTATGTTGGATCAAACTATCCATGAATTCAAGTAAATTTGTGCCCATTTGAATAAAAATGATTTTGCAGTATATACATGTACCTTGTACAAAGAACTAATCTCAAGAAATTTCTACAAATAGTGGGGCATCTCTATTAACTCTTCAGTGAGTAATATGCAGAATTATAAATAATGTTTAGAGATTATATGTAGAATTATATTTAGTTATGATCATATTGTATATAATGAAATAAATAATAAATAAATGCTACATCAATGTCATGGATTGTTTACACCTTTATAAAATGATTGAATATATCACTTATAGTGGTTGCAGGTCATATAAGATGGATTTTGGTCATACATGGTGGATATTGGTCATTAATGGTGGATTCTTGTATTTACAAATGATGAAATTGATAATGTAATTAAATACAATGCAAGTTCTGATACAACATGTCTTACGCCCAACTGATGGCCATTTTTCAATAATTTCACATGTTTGAAAATTTAAAAAGCTAATGAATCATGTATGAAATGAAAAATAAAATCTTTTTTTTTCCATATTATTTGATAGCTTCACAAAAATATAGTTCTGAAAATAAAATGAACTTCTTAACAACCAATATCGGAACACCTTTACTTTATATACCGGTTAGTGTGTTGTTAGCAATACAACTTCATTGTCAGTAAGCATGTAGAAAATATGTACATGTAAGTCACATAAAATCAATATAAAAAGTACATGAGTAAAACGTAAGTGTCTAACAAATAAAATAATGTTATCTAAAATAAGTAAACAAAAGCAATATTTAATTAAGGTAAATAATTTTCACAATAAAAATAACTAAAATAAAATTTTCAATAGTTAAGATTAAAAAACAAATATGATTGATTCCTTTACAACCAGTTTAACAAGAGCTGTCCGTAAGACAGCGCGCTCGACTTTTTTATTGCTTGCCAATAAAAAAAGTTTTTGCAGTAAAAGGCAATACAAGAATCTCTGTATTTTTAAAGTGAACAATGGCCATGAGCATTAAGATATTTAGTGAAGAATTATTTTACTGAATTGTGTGATGTGAAATAGCATTAAAAGTTTCAAAGCAATATCTCAAAGGGTTAAGGCAATAAGTGGATTTTACCCATATTCAATGTATTTTCTAAGTCAAAAAGGGGCATAATTCTGTCAAAAACCTTGACAGAGTTATGTCCTCTTGTCTGTTAATGAAGGTCGTGATGGTAAACAAGTATGGTCAGTTTCAAAGCAATACCTCCAATGGTTTTGAAATAAAGTGAGGTGGTACAAAAAACTTAACCAAGCTCAATACACTTTCTAAGTCAAAAAAGGGCCATAATTCTGTCAAAAACCTTGACAGAGTTATGTACTCTTGTCTGTAGATGGAGGTTATGATGGTGAACAAGTATGGTAAGTTTCAAAGCCATACTTGTAATACTTCTGAAATAAAGTGGGGTGGTACGAAAAACTTAACCAAGGTGTGACGCCAACGCCAACGCCGACGCCGACGCCGGGGCGAGTAGGATAGCTCCCCTTTTCATAGAAAAGTCGAGCTAAAAATTGTCATCAAAAAGTAAAAACAACAATAAATAAAATATCTCCAAAAAAAGTTATCAACTAACAGTTTGTTAATAAAACTGAAAGAAACTTAACAAATAAAGACTAAAGTAACAGAAATACATGTATGAAGTAAGAAGTATGAAGCTTCATGATGTCCTTTTGAAAATAATTAATACAAGAGCAAGAAAATCTACAACGCTGAGTATTATTCTTATAAACATGTAGTAGTTAAACTAACCTATACTATAATTATTATTACAAAGCTGGTATAATGTACTTCAAAGTTTATGCACACACTGATTTTTGAATGTGAGATCAGCCAAGTCATAAGCAGTGACTCAAATTTGTAGCTAGTATGATTAAATCAGAAATGCGATACATATTACTCCTACGTTTTTAAAATAGGATTAGAAAATCAGAAAATCAGAAAATTTATGATTATATGTTAAGTTTACAATGGAAATAATAAATATGAACCTATCTTCTTACTGTTGTTTAAAATATGAGCTATTCAATTAATTAATTATTTGAATAGGGAAAATTTAGTAAATTTTGCTCATTAATTAAGAATTTATATTTTCTCATCAGAGGTCTGCCCGTATTTTAATATTTGATAAAATATAAGTTTGTATTATTAATTTCTTAAATAGGATGAAGTATAGCATAGAATGTTCGAACTCCAGTTATACACATGAAAATAATCAGCATAATTTTGATTAGAATTCACAGAGTAGCAGGTAACGTATGCGGTTTTGACTTTCCTTGTAAATAAGGTATTCACTCTGATCAAAATGACTGTGACTCCAGCCTGGATTGGGAATGGGTTTCCCCTGTGGTACCACTACTTTCTTACCATCAAGAGTCAAAGTTGTATGCTGTTTCGGATCTGAAAAAAAAAGACAAAATAAGAATAGAAACTTTTATCATAGTAAGTACCTAAAATTTCAAATTAAAATGACTTCCCAACATCAATAAAAAAGTCAAATTACATGTATTGGCAATGTAACATTAAGTTAACCAACTGTACTGTTTTTATTCGGCAATATATAGGCAAACATACTGTATACAGAGTCTTCAGAACTGTATATAATGTATATACAGTATGTTTATTATATACTTATAAATTAAATATTGATAAATGAAATGCGTTTTTTCATTTTCCGTATTTTCCCTGTAAAAATTTATTTTTCACTGCAGTGAAACACATTTTCTGTATTTTCACCGGTGTTTTGCCAGATTATTTTCTTTTAAATTCTGCCAGTACACAAAATTTAAGGGAAAGTCTTTCAAATTTTAAAGATTTTCTATAAATATATGATGGTGAGAAAACTATCATATTTCACTCGTGGCTACCGCCACTCACAAAATATTAATTTTCATACCACTTGATGAAAATAAATCATGTATTTATAGAAAGACTTGAATATCCTCTATTTAAAACACACCTTCCCAGCACATATTTATTGCACAGCACATTCTGAGCGTATATTTAACCCTCACCACACCAAATATCTAACATGGACTTGTCCATCTTTCAATCTAGACGAAACCATTCATCATTTTTAGGGAAAATTTCAAAATATCTACTGACTGGATAGAGGTCAGTACAGATATTGGTCAAACGGCACAAATTTAATGTACAGCACCTTTAGACCAAAAGGTCAATTTGCACACTCACATTTATATACACAGAATCTATATAACTGTGCTAATGTTCATTTTCCAAATTTTAAAGCACTTTTTATTTGACATACTTCACTTGTAAGTTGTTACCAATGATAAAGTATGTCAGTCATCATAATGAAATATTGAATCATTGTGACTGATCTTTTTTAAAAACGTTTTACCATGCACTGTCCATGCTTTTTAAGAAAAATACCAAGTTCAAAGACTTTTGAGGAGTTTTTTTTCATTTTCAAGCACTTTTTTATTATAGGGACTACACTGTGCTATTACACAATATAAATAGTTTACCTGGTTCAGTGTTTCCCTGTGCTATTACACAATATAGGTAGTTTTCCTGGTTCAGTGTTTCCCTGTGCTATTACACAATATAAGTAGTTTACCTGGTTCAGTGTTTCCCTGTGCTATTACACAATATAAGGGGTTTAACTGGTTCAGTGTTTCCCTGTGCTATTACACAATATAAGTAGTTTACCTGGTTCAGTGTTTCCCTGTGCTATTACACAATATAAGTAGTTTACCTGGTTCAGTGTTTCCCTGTGCTATTACACAATATAAGTAGTTTACCTGGTTCAGTGTTTCCCTGTGCTATTACACAATATAAGGGGTTTACCTGGTTTAGTGTTTCCCTGTGCTATTACACAATATAAGTAGTTTACCTGGTTAAGTGTTTCCCTGTGCTATTACCCAATATAAGTAGTTTACCTGGTTCAGTGTTTCCCTGTGCTATTACACAATATAAGTAGTTTACCTGGTTCAGTGTTGCCCTGTGCTATTACACAATATAAGGGGTTTACCTGGTTTAGTGTTTCCCTGCGCTATTACACAATATAAGGGGTTTAACTCGTTCAGTGTTTCCCTGTGCTTTTACAAAATATTAGTACTTTACCTGGTTCGGTGTTTCCCTGTGCTATTACACAATGTAAGTAGTTTACCTGGTTCAGTGTTTCCCTGTGCTATTACACAATATAAGTAGTTTACCTGGTTCAGTGTTTCCCTGTGCTATTACACAAAATAAGTAGTTTACCTGGTTCAGTGTTTCCCTGTGCTATAACACAATGTAAGTAGTTTACCTGGTTCAGTGTTTCCCTGTGCTATTACACAATAAAGGGGTTTAACTGGTTTAGTGTTTCCCTATGCTATTACAAAATGTAAGTAGTTTACCTGGTTCAGTGTTTCCCTGTGCTATTACACAATGTGAGTTGTTTACCTGGTTCAGTGTTTCCCTGTGCTATACACAATATAAGTAGTTAACTGGTTCAGTGTTTCCCTGTGCTATTACACAAAATAAGTAGTTTACCAGGTTCAGTGTTTCCCTGTGCTATTACACAATGTAAGTAGTTTACCTGGTTCAGTGTTTCCCTGTGCTATTACACAATATAAGTAGTTTACCTGGTTCAGTGTTTCCCTGTGCTATTACACAATGTAAGTAGTTTACCTGGTTCAGTGTTTCCCTGTGCTATTACACAATATAAGTAGTTTACCTGGTTCAGTGTTTCCCTGTGCTATTACACAATATAAGTAGTTTACCTGGTTCAGTGTTTCCCTGTGCTATTACACAATATAAGTAGTTTACCTGGTTCAGTGTTTCCCTGTGCTATTACACAATATAAGTAGTTTACCTGGTTCAGTGTTTCCTTGTGCTATTACACAATATAAGTAGTTTACCTGGTTCAGTGTTTCCCTGAGCTATTACACAATGTAAATAGTTTACCTGGTTCAGTGTTTCCCTGTGCTATTACACAAAATTAGGGGTTTAACTTGTTCAGTGTTTCCCTGTGATATTACAAAATATTATTACTTTACCTGGTTCTGTGTTTCCCTGAGCTATTACACAATATAAGTAGTTTACCTGTTTCAGTGTTCCCCTGAGCTATTACACAATATAAGTAGTTTACCTGATTCAGTGTTTCCCTGAGCTATTACACAATGTAAATAGTTTACCTAGTTCAGTGTTTCCCTGTGCTATTACAAAATATAAGGGGTTTAACTCGTTCAGTGTTTCCCTGTGCTATAACACAATATAAGTAGTTTACCTGGTTCAGTGTTTCCCTGTGCTATTACACAATATAAGTACTTCACCTGGTTCGGTGTTTCCCTGTGCTATTACACAATGTAAGTAGTTTACCTGGTTCACTGTTTCCCTGTGCTATTACACAATATAAGTAGTTTACCTGGTTAAGTGTTTCCCTGTGTTATTACCCAATGTAAGTAGTTTACCTGGTTCAGTGTTTCCCTGTGTTATTACACAATATGAGTAGTTTACCTGGTTCAGTGTTGCCCTGTGCTATTACACAATATAAGGGGTTTACCTGGTTTAGTGTTTCCCTGTGCTATTACACAATATAAGTAATTTACCTGGTTCAGTGTTTCCCTGTGCTATTACACAATATAAGTAGTTTACCTGGTTCAGTGTTTCCCTGTGCTATTACACCATATAAGTAGTTTACCTGGTTCAGTGTTTCCCTGTGCTATTACACAATATAAGTAGTTTACCTGGTTCATTGTTTCCCTGTGCTATTACACAATATAAGTAGTTTACCTGGTTCATTGTTTCCCTGTGCTATTACACAATCATATCCAGCTGGGGCCGCTTTCAGATGACTCTGGTTGGTGGCAACATGTTTCTCTTTTCCCAGTGCCACTTCATTTAGGAACATTATACCAGTCTTTCCCACTGTTCCAACTGTAATATAAGCAAATAATAAAATCTACTCCTAAAGGGTGTTGAGGTGTGGATAGTCAGACAAGTGACAATCCAATTTAATCCAATCCACGATTCAGCACTTGTGATTCACAAATCGAACCATGAATCTTTTGTTATCAAGACAGTCATAAAAACATGAACATTAGTTCTGAAAACATGTTTATTTGTCTTTAAACAAAACTAACATTAATTTCATAAAATATACATGCAAATAAAAAGAAGGTTTAAAGGTTGAAAACAAATCGCGCCAATATAAAATCCCACAAGCAAAATTTACTTCCAGTGTTTGGAATTCAAATGAAAATGAGGAAAAAGCAGTTGGTAAAACATGCCACGGCAAAATGACTTATACCAATGGTACAACAAACTAGTCTTATCACATTTCCAAACATTGGTGGTGGGATTCTATATTTGTGCAACTCCTTTTCAGCCATTGTTGCAGACAGGATGTGTGACGTGGCACTCATGTTTTAAATAAAACCGTCTTCGATACATGTCCCGTTCTTATAAATCTATACATAGCAACTAAAAATATTTATTAATTTTCATGTAAAAATAGTGTTCAATAGAGATAAAATGATTCCTTTTCTGAAACTAATGACTTCCTAGGCTCATTGTGTATGTTTGTTTACTTCTTGTCTTTAATTGGTGATTTGTATTTAAGTAAACTTCACATAATTCATACTCATTTTTTTTTACTTTTAAAGTGTGAGAAACAGCAAATGTGTAATAAACAAATAAGATCGCGATACACAATCTCTGGACTGACGAATATTCGTACTAGATTTTTCATTTTGATTCATGATTATCCGAGTACTCGGATAATCGCCCCAGCCCTAAAAGGGTGTAAGGTGAAACTTCACTTAGAAATAACTTAGAATTTACTTAGATTCTGAAAAAATTGGTATGATAACCTTGTGTTCATATTCTTATGGTCATACCTGGTAAGAATTATGTGCACACACATTCACCTTCATCCAATATTTACAAACACCATTCTAACAATTAAGGTACTTTGATATAATTTTTTATCAAGATTCAAATAAATATTTTAGCCATATATAGTAGCTTTACACCCTTTAACCTTTAACTTACTGGGTTTTTTTCCAAATGGACTTGTCCTTTCTTGGAACTGTGCATTATCAACTTTGGCGAAGTCAAGATAAATATTTTAATTTAACAGTATAGGGCCTGGCTTTAAACAGGTTACTGGATAAAAGTAAATAATGATTATAAGTATATTAAACTAGAACTAGCACTAAATGTGATTAATACCCCCACAAGACTGCTTCGGAAATGAGGATGTTACTAGTAACAGAATACCTTGTAAAAGAATTGAAATATAGAGTTATGGTTGTGGGCAATTAAAGATAGTTGTGGTTCTTGTATGTTGCATTTCCTTTCAATGTGGTTGGCCATTGATGAAGTTTTATTGGATTACTCTGTAATAAGTCCAGAAAGACAAGGAAAAGGAACAAAGGGCAATAACTCTATAAATACTGAAGATAGAGTTATGGTTATTGTACACTGCACTTCCTCTCCTTGCCCTTGACCATTGTATGAAGTTGTATTGAATTCCAACTACTAGTTTTAAGTTATGCACTGGACAAAAAAGTAACAAAGGCAATAACTGTAATAAGTCCAAATAGAGTTATTGTTCTTGTGCACTGCACTTCATCTCACTGCCCTTGACCATTGTATAAAGTTTCATTGAATTCCAACCATTGATATTCAAGTTATGCACTGGACAATAAAAAGTAACAAAGGGCAAAAACTTTTAAATTAGTCAAAAAATAGTTATGGTTTCTGTGCACGGCACTTCCTCTCAATATACTTGACCATTGTATGAAATAGTTTTGAATTCCAACGAGTAGTTTTAAAGTTATGCTATGGGCAAGAAAAAAGCAATGGAAAAAAAAACAAAGGGCAATAACTCTATAATTACTCTGGACAGAGTTATAGTTCTTGTGCTTGACCATAGTATGAAGTTGTTTTGAATTCCAACCAGTAGTTTTCAAGTTATGCTCCGGACAAGGAAAAGTAACAAAAGGTACTAACTCTGTAATAGTCATAACGGAGTAATGGTTCTTGTGCACTGCACTTCCTCTTATTGTGCTTGACCATTGTATGAAGTTGTTTTAAATTCCAACCAGTATGTGTTAAGTTATGCTCCGGACAAGGAAAAGTAACAAAGGACAATAACTCTGTAATTAGTCAAGATGGAGTTATGGTTCTTGTGCACTGCACTTCCTCTCAATGTGCTTGACCATTGTATGAAGTTATATTGAATTCCAACCATTAGTCTTCAAGTTATGCTTGAGGAAAATGCAACAAACCGCTGGACCGACCGACCAACCAACCACCGTGTGACTCCTATATACCCCCCCCCCCCAAACTTCGTTTTTGGGGGTATAAAGTTATATTTATCATACCAGATGTCAACAACAAAAAATATGATAATCATTATGTGATTTGCTTAACCTTAATCATTATATTACATTCCCCTCCATGTCTACAAGATCATTTAACATAAAACAATGAAAAATTCAAAAGAAATTTTTTTTAAGACAGTAGTGCAGTAATGAGTTAACTCCTTATATAATTAATAGTAGTTTGTTTGTTATTGCACTAAGGTGATGAGATGAGAAAAATACAATACCATATCCAGCAGATTTCGAGTTTTCTGACGCAAAGTAGATTCCGGCTCCGACTCGACCACCACTGTGAGGCATAATTCTGAGACCACTCTTCAAAATGGCTGCAACAACTGCGACATTAGTACCGTGCCATAACAGTTTACGATTAGTTATCTTATCATGCTCCTTAAATCTTTTATCCTGCAATTTTCAGAAAGTGTAATTGATATTTTGCTTTATCACATACTGTGCCGATTTTGCCACTCCATAAATATGGTATTGCACAGCAGTGCATATATTTTGATGTGACGTCATTTGAGTTATATAATGCTCAGTTATATAAACATGGCGTTAAGACACACTAAATGTTAGCATTATTCTATACATGTTTCAATAAAAAATGGTCCTTTTTCACTTCAAACGGTCTTTATATTTGGTATGTGATAAATAGAATATTAAATTCTTGTAAGTTCATTACTAAATTCTCATTGAATGAAATAATATAATGCTTGCCACAGGCGCAAATAATATAATTTTATTCAACTCGTTCAATAAATTCAGCATTAAACTTATTCAATATCCTTTATTTCTTCTGCTCTTTACTACAATTCATGCAGTATCCACTGTCCATGATAATCTTTCTCTAATAATTTTTTTTATGAAAATACTAAATCTGATAGGTTTTTTTTTTTCAAAAAAAGTTAAGAAAGGCAAAAAATGATATTTTAAAAAAATTTGACGAAAACTTGAAAAATGATGTTTTTAGAATTTTTTATGAAAAGCCAGAAATAATGCTTTTCTTTTTTAAAAAAAATGCTTATTTTGTATATATTTTTGAAAAATTTCTTATTTTGACACATGAATTGTAATTGTTGTCATGGACTACATACAAGAGAGAACAACAACTTCTGACCTTCCAAAATAATATTTTCAAACATAATTACCTCCCCTATTCTGCCCACTTTCCAAACATCTTTTATTTTAGCATTACCACGGTAGAAATAACCTGATCCACTAGTGTTACTAGTATATGTCTGTATTTTCTGTAAGAAAATCAATTCTTGTTAAAAATGAAAAGAATAAAACATATTTCTATTTTATATTTTTTTAAATGATAAACAAAAATTCAATATACCTGGCAGGTTACCATTGACAACAATAATGTCTTACTATCAACAAAAGTCAATCATGATACACAATAATGTAAAGTATCTTTTTTTTTAGTAAGAGAAATACACTTACTGTATTGTAGTCATTTTAGTTGTTTTTATGACATGTTTAATGATTCAATTACAAAAGCTTATTTGATCAATTATTGTAGCAATCAGAAGATTCATACAGACTTTAACAAATATATAATATATAAAAAAAACCTGCATATTTGGATAATGTATGACAATGCACCTTTTTTGTGCATTAACATTTGCAGTTACCCTCACACATATTAAATCTCTAACCCTGGGGGCTCAGACATAAAACATGTTTTCATGCTTCTGCAGATGTTCATGCATGAAAAAAGGTTTATTTGAGTTATTCTTGCATAAAAGTATGTCTTATTCGGTAATTCAGAGTTGCGTTATCTGTCTTTCGTATTAAGAAACTATTCTATCACACTTTCCAAGTGCTAGTGCAATGTTTTTTGATAGTTATGTTTCAATAATGAAACAAACAGGGCCATCATTGTAGTTTTTAAAAGATGCCCTGAGTCATGCATATTAAATAATTTGCAACAATGGCCTGTGCTCACTTAATTTTATCCATTACTGCATGTTTTCCTCTCTGTTAATGTATACCGGGTGCCGAGTTTTATGCAAGAATACACTATAATACTGGTTCATTTAATATTATATACATATATAATGCATTACCTTAAATTCATCAGATTTTTTGTCCACAAGTTCGAGGTCACAGTTCAGGAGACCATATTCTACATCGATTGGATTAGGAAGCATATCACCTTTCTAGAAAATTAGAGGGGAAAATAATATAACATTCTAATAGCAATCTGAAAATTATATAACATCATAACAACAAAGCAAAAATTCTAAAATGTTATAACAATAGGAAAATCATATAAGATAAAAACAATGAGAAAAGCATATAATATAGTAACAATGGAAAAAGCATATAACATAATAATAATAATGAGAGAAAAGCACATATTAACATAATAACAATAAGAAAATCATATAAGAAAATAAAAATTATGAGAAAAGCATATATTAACATAATAACAATAAGAAAATCATATAAGAAAATAAAAATTATGAGAAAAGCATATATTAACATAATAAAAATAAGAAAATCATACAAGATAATAATGAGAGAAGCATAATTCTTATAACACAATACAATGAGAAAAGCATTATAACATAATAATAATGGTGAGTAAAGTATAGAACATCTAAATAATGAGAAAAAAGCATATAACATACTGGTAATAACAATGAAAAAAACATAACTTTATATGAGAAAATATTCAATAAAATGGTGACCACATGTTCCCTTGAAATGAATTCCAAGAGGATAAAAAGCTAAAAATGTTCCACAAACATACAAAAATGTTCCAAAGACATACCATTAATCATTCATCATACATGTTCGGAAAATCTAGAATAAAACACTTGATTTCTAATTCTAATCAGTCATACTACCAGGTGACATTGTGATATTGCAAAATAAAATAAAGAATGAAGATTTTAATCCGGACGGATAATTCTTACCTCGGCTTCCATCTGCTTGTCTTTTTCCTTCTTCATACTTTGAGCTATCTCAATATCACCAAGTACCTGAAATTGTAAAAACAATTTGTGATTATCAACATGTATGTACATGTATCTTCCTTATTATATCAGTTTATACATATAGCCCAATGGAGGGTTTTCATAAGGTTTTTGTAAGGAAGCAGCTGTTGGCAAAAATGACTGTCACAATACTTGAAGAAAAAACAAACAAAAAAAAAACAATTCTTTATTGCATGTGATTTAACCAGAAATGATCACCTCAAATTCAAACTTATTCAAAGAAAACAACATTAAATGACAACTAAAGTGAAGAAAAACTTTAAAGTTTCTTATGCAGTATTTGTGCAACTTCAACAGGACATTTGAAACTGGAGTCATATGAGCCACGCCATGACAAAACCAACATAATGGGCTTGTGACCAGCATGGATCCAGACCAGCATAGGCATCTGTGCAGTCTGATCAGGATCCATGCTGTTCTGTACATAATAGAGTTGGTAAGCGAACAGTATGGATCCTGATCAGACTGCGCAGATGGGCAGGCTGGTCTGGATCCATGCTGGTCGCAAACCCATTATGTTGGTTTTGTCATGGCATGGCTCATATGATGACTCAGGTGAGCCAGACAATGTATTGAGTATTAAATATCTCTAGATTTATTCTCTTGCAAATCACCTGCACATTTCTTAACCACTATCTGAATTACTTTTCAGGTAATTTATTTCAACTACATGTACATGTAATTTTATTACTAAACCTTTTTCCCTAAATAAAACAACAGAAAGATCCTTACCAGAAGCATATCCATTCTTTGTCTAAGTTTTTCAAGGGTGTTTATTGGGGGAGGTACATTACGTCCAAAATCATGGGGAATAACTGTGTAGAATTTCGATGAGAGTTCATTAATATTTCCCTTCCCTTTCTTGTCCAGCACTTTCTCAATCTCGTCAAGAACTTCAAAACCTTTTGCAATTTGTCCTTTACTCAATTTTCCAAGTGGCATTTTCTTCACATCTAAATCAAAAGGAATTGTTTTACATGCCTTTCTCATTTTATAAAAAAGCACTTACAATCCTCCTCTCAGTTTTGTCATAATATAATTCAATTTCAATAATTTGCAGATATAAAAATTTAAGAACCACTGATCTCCTCCACTACTTCAAACTTCCCTCCTATAACCCCTCAAGGAAGAACCCATAATCTCCTCCATTACTTCTAACTCCCCTACTTTAACTCTTGGGGGGAAAAAACCATGATCTTCTCCACAACTTCAAACTTTCCTGCTATAATCCCTGGAGGAAAAACCTATGAACTCCTCCATTACTTCAAACTTCTCTGCTATAACCCCTGGGGGAAGAACCCATTTTCTCCTTTATTACTTCAAACTTTCCTGCCATAACCCCTCGAGGAAGAACCCATAATCTCCTCCATTACTTCTAACTTCCCTACTTTAACCCCTGGGGGAAGAAACCATGATCTTCTCCATTACTTCAAATTTTCCTGCTATAACCCCTCGAGGAAGAACCCATAATCTCCTCCATTACTTCAAACTTCCCTGCTATAACCCCTGGGAAAAGAAACCATGACCTCCTCCATTACTTCAATCTTCCCTGCTATAACCCTAGAGGGGAAGAAACCATGGTCTCCACCATTACTTCAAACTTCCCTGCTATAACCCCTGGGGGAAGAAACCATGATATTCTCCATTACTTCAAACTTCTCTGCTATAACTCCTGGGGGAAGAAACCATGATCTTCTCCATTACTTCAAACTTCCCTGCTATAGGCGTAACCCCTGGGGAAAGAAACCATAATCTTCTCCATTACTTCAAACTTCCCTGCTATAATCCCTGGGAGAAGAAACCATGATCTCCTCCATTACTTCAAACTTCCCTGCTATAACCCCTGGGGAAGAAACGATGAACTCCTCCATTACTTCTAACTTCCCTGCTATAACCCCTGGGGGAAGAAACCATGATCTCCTCCATTACTTCAAACTTCCCTGCTATAACCCCTGAAGGAAGAACCCATGATCTCCTCCATCACTTCAAACTTTCCTGCTATAACCCCTGGGGGAAGAACCCATGATCTCCTACATTACTTCAAACTTTCCTGCTATAACCCCTGGGGGGAAGAACCCATGATCTCCTCCATTACTTCAAACTTTCCTGCTATAACCCCTGGAGGAAGAACCGATCATCTCTTCCATTACTTCAAACTTCCCTGCTATAACCCCAGAAGGAAGTACCAGGATTTCCTCCATTACTTCAAACTTCCATGCTATAATCCCTGGGGGCAGAACCCATGATCTCCTCCATTACTTCAAACTTCCCTGCTATAACCCCTCGAGGAAGAACCCATAATCTCCTCCATTACTTTCAAACGACCATGCTATAACCCCTTGGGGAAGAACGCATGATCTCCTCCTTTACTTCAAACTTTCCTGCTATAACCCCTCCATGATCTCCTCCATTACGAGAAAGAACCCATATGATCTCCTCCATTACTTCAAACTTCCCTGCTATAACCCCTCGAGGAAGAACCCATAATCTCCTCCATTACTTCAAACTTCCCTGCTATAACCCCTGGGGGAAGAACCAATTATCTCCTCCAATACACCAAACTTCCCTGTTATAACCCCTGGAGAAAGAACCCATGATCTCCTCCATTACTTCAAACTTCCCTGCTATAACCCCTGATGGAAGAACCCATGATCTCCTCCATTACTTCAATCTTCCCTGCTATAACCCCTGGGGGAAGAACTCATGATCTCCTCCTGTACTTCAAACTTCTCTGCTATAACCCCTGGGGGGAAGAACCCATGATCTCCTCCATTACTTCAAACTTTCCTGCTATAACCCCTGGAGGAAGAACCGATCATCTCCTCCATTACTTCAAACTTCCCTGCTATAACCCCAGAAGGAAGTACCCAGGATTTCCTCCATTACTTCAAACTTCCATGCTATAATCCCTGGGGGCAGAACCCATGATCTCCTCCATTACTTCAAACTTCCCTGCTATAACCCCTCGAGGAAGAACCCATAATCTCCTCCATTACTTCAAACGACCATGCTATAACCCCTTGGGGAAGAACGCATGATCTCCTCCTTTACTTCAAACTTTCCTGCTATAACCCCTGGGGGAAGAACCCATGATCTCCTCCATTACGAGAAAGAACCCATATGATCTCATCCATTACTTCAAACTTCCCTGCTATAACCCCTCGAGGAAGAACCCATAATCTCCTCCATTACTTCAAACTTCCATGCTATAAACCCTCAAGGAAGAACCCATAATCTCCTCCATTACTTCAAACTTCCCTGCTTTAACCCCTGGAGAAAGAACCCATGATCTCCTCCATTACTTCAAACTTCCCTGCTATAACCCCTGGGGAAGAACCCATGATCTCCTCCATTACTTCAAACTTCCCTGCTATAACCCCTGAAGGAAGAACCCATGATCTCCTCCATTACTTCAAAACTTCCCTGCTATAACCCCTGAAGAAGAAAAACCATGATCTTCTCCATTACTTCAAACTTCCCTGCTATAACCCCTGAAGGAAGAACCCATGATCACTTCAAACTTTCCTGCTATAACCCCTGGGAAGAACCCATGATCTCCTCCATTACTTCAAACTTCCCTGCTATAACCCCTGAAGGAAGAACCCATGATCTCCTCCATTACTTCAAACTTCCCTGCTATAACCCCTGAAGGAAGAACCCATGATCTCCTCCATTACTTCAATCTTCCCTGCTATAACCCCTGAAGGAAGAAACCATGATCTTCTCCATTACTTCAAACTTCCCTGCTATAACCCCTGAAGGAAGAACCCATGATCTCCTCCATTACTTCAAACTTTCCTGCTATAACCCCTGAAGGAAGAACCCATGATCTCCTCCATTACTTCAAACTTTCCTGCTATAACCCCTGAAGGAAGAACCCATGATCTCCTCCATTACACCAAACTTTCAAACCTTCATTTAATAACTTCTTACATAAGTCAGCAGTAACGACAGTAGAACCATCAACCTTCTATAAACTAACTTCATTACTTCCAAACAACAACAATAATACTGAAATCCCTTCTATCTACAATGGACAATTCCAAATTCAAAGCAGGGGAAAGTCCATTAAACAAAAATAGCAGTAAGATCATCAAGCACTACTGACATAAAAGACAACGAAGATACTGTTTATATGATATCTGTCCAATACTTACTCACTAATATTCTAACACACATCTAGTTAATGGTTTTAATATGATCAAATGTAATTTACAGGTTTTAGACAATGCCAAAACCCTTCATAAACTCTATGAAAAAGTACCCATGCTTTACAATACCTATATCAAATTTCTTCATACAATCTTTAAACATGTCATTGTCAAAGAGCAGTTTTAGGAGTCCTTGAGTGGTTTTGTCCAGTTTACTGCCTGCAACTTTTTTTCCTGCTGTTGACAAACTTACTGATGGTCCCTACAATGTAAAATAAAACATATTTAGTGTCATCAGTGTTGTTAAAACATTTATATACTGTCAACAGTCTTGTTAAACCACTAATGATGTAAACACTAAATCTGCCAACAGTCTGGTTAAAGTACTTATACTGTATACACATCCATGCAGTCTAACCAGGCTCTTTAGTGTCAGAGGACTATCATTAGCTATTTTCTTCATGATATCCCCAAAATCAATAATGGAGAGTTTCATGAATGCAAGCTGGCCATGTCCATTTAAAATATTTAATAGGTGAACAATTAATACATCCACTAACCATTGGCAATCCTCATTTACTTTGTAGTTTTAGGTCAAAGCAATTGGGCTGGCATCAATTTCATTTCTAATGCTTGACCTTTGACATGTTGATTTTGTAATAGCAACAAAAATGTCTTCTGCTAAAAATAACAATATTTCTTTAATCATTTAAAAATGTATGAGTCTGTCAAATTATTTTGAGCTTAAACCTGTGTGACATGTACAGAGCAAGACCAGGTTTTATACCTTTGACTGTTAAAATTTAATATTTATGATACTGAACTCCCTTTATTTACTAATGGACTATCCCAAATTCAAAGCAGGGGAAGTCCATTACATAAATTCAGCAGGGTATGTAAGGGTTAACTTACAGGAGCATCATCTTCATCATCATCTGCCATTTCGATCAGAGTGTATTTCCCTGCCACAGGATTAAATGAACCCCTCTGGGCCCAATTGTTCTTTGTCTTGTCCTTGAACTTCTTCTCAAAGGCCTTAACAGCAGAAGCCAAATCTGTGGGCCCTGTCAATGAATTGGCCCCTTTTTCACCCTACAAAACAAATATTATGAAAATCATGTGAATATGAAAGAGTAAAAATCCTAAATTACAGTACAAATTAATAATTCATTTGACATAGAATTTTGTGAATATTCATGGTTTAAAAGCAAATGCAGATTTTAGGCAGTTTTTTTTAAAGCAAAACATGTATTGTAATAGCTATGATGCAAAATTCAAGTGGAGACGTCCATCCTGGTAATTCTATAATTCAGTGATTCAAGCAAAACATATGGTACATGTACTTCCTCTCTTGGCCCTGAAAACTACATCTTACTTTCTATACTTATATCCTTAAAGTTTTTTAATGTGTAGTTTTTGATGAGAGAGTGATAATTTACAACACGATGTCCAAACAAACAACATGACATCATATTAATGCATTACACACACTCGAACCCAACATTGGACTGACATTGGATTTTCATTAAAAATGGAGGTATTTCAATTATCAGAATTCAACATCTATTAAACCTTTTTTGTTTGGGTTATAGTCATAACACCATCACAGTAGAGGCCATATGGTGACATTCCAGCTTTACTGGTGACAGAAAACCTAAGATGCTTCTCCCTGTAATATTCAGGCACAGTTGGCACTGCAGTAGAACCATTAACATTTCTTAAGCTAGCTGAATAGTTTCCTTGTAATATCAAACCTAACTTGTGACAAAAATCAAACCAGTTCCCAATATGTTGTTTCAATGTAACAGTATGTATGTACTAATGCATGTTACCAAGGTGACACTACTAGAACAACACTATTCTGACACTCACCACTCGTCCCCATCTATTCCATGTATAATATGAACCTCCATCTTGTATAACTTGAATCACATAGAACTTGTTGTTGTTGTGTCCAATGTTGGTCTGGTTCAACATACAATCATAGTCATCCACAATCTGAAACCAGTCAAAATGTTTATAGTCAGACAGAGATAAGCAAACCAGTCTAAAGGAAAATAACAGTCCAATGTTTTCCAGACTAAATATTGTTATACATGTACAGTATTGTGGCAATCAATATACTTTTTTGACTTGTAATAAAAAAAATAGCATAATTTTGTCAAAAATGCAATGAAGAGTTATGAAACTTCTGAGTATATTGTGACCATTAATATTATGTTTCAGGTTTAAATATATGCCTGTACTGGTTTCAAAGATATAAAGGTAAATCAAATAGTACAAAAAGGATGGGACAATGCAACTTGACTTGGAGTTGCAGGGTTTTCGTTACTAACAGATTGGCGGTCTATATCATCAGATGAAATGCTGATGAAATTTGTATTTTCAGCCTATACATTAAAATATCCCCCTTGACCCTTGGCCAAATCGGTTGTTTTCATTGGTACACGTTCCCTAAATAAGATCAACATGAAAACCCTGAGTTGTATATATGTATATATACAATGTACTTTCAAGGTTTCCCATTTGGCACGAAACTGAAAAATGAAGACCTGTTGTTCTTCTCCCTTTCCAGTTATCAGTTTCATTGAATAACACAGTACCCTTAATTGTTTTTCAGTGCAAATTATTGCTTTTCTATCCTAAGATTACTGGAGTGACCAATTTTCTGCTCAACTATATAGTTCTATTTTTTCTTCTTGTTCTCTCCACTTTGTTTTGTTTGTTTGTTTGATTGGGTTTTACGTTACACCGACACAGTATTATATAGGTCATATGGCGACGTTTCAGCTTAACTGGTGAAGGAAGACCTCAGGTGACCTTCTGTGCATTATTTCAGGCACAAACGGGCACCTGAGTAGAACTACCATTTTGTTTTTAAAGGAGCATGCCTCAAGAGTCATGCTTATTTTCATCAAAACTAAAACTTTTTAAATCACTTATTTAAAAGTAAAATATTGTCAAGTGAACAAAATAAGTAATTCACACATTGCAAACAACACTTAAAATCTATGAATATTACCAAAACTAGATCAGAATATACAAAAATAGCCTTTTCTGCATGCACTGGAAATATGGTGATAAAAACTTCAAAATCAGTCATTAATTACATATGAGATGTAAATTTATTTTTTGAATTTTGGATATTTTTTTCTTTTCTGAAAATTCTAGTACATTTTTCCCTAGGTTGATTTTCTTGAAAATATTTTAGGCATGCAGCTTTAAAGCATTTTAAATGTTTAATCAGTAAACTAGCAATTGCTTATTATAGACTATATACATGTAAGTTATGGATAGTCTAGCTAGCATATCTCACAAGTTGCTAATTACAGCTTTGATTACAACACAGTCAATATTGGTAGAAACTGAATGTATGCTGCATTGTTTAACAATATTTTACTTACCTAGTGACTGACGATAAGCTACATACTGATATAATTGTATGTATGTCTGAAAATTGACAAATACTGAATTGAATTAAGAGGTCAGTAATAATGGATTTACACTTAAACCTATCAAGATATGAATTTACCATTAATCTGTCTTAATTTTCTTTCTTTTTTTAATTTTATTATCTAAGTACTTGTATTTAGCATGATATAAGGTGGTTTCCATGCTAATTTTTTTAGCAGGACTTGTCCATCTTCCTATTTGAAAAAGGTCATTTTTAGGAACAAAATATGTACTAACTGAATAAGGAACAGTGCAGTCCATGGCCAGATGGCAAAGGATAACCTTGATCTGCAATGACAGGGATTTTTTTTTGTTTATTTTATAGCCAATATTTGGTCATATTCCCAATTGAAACTAGAACTCCGCGAGCCGGATGTGTTGCCTTGTGAACAATATAGTTTAGGAGAAATGGCCAGGACAAGAATGAAATATGAAAAATAACAAAGGGCAATAACTCAAAAAATAACAAGAGCACCGCTAGGCGGAGCATTATATGCCCGAAAGTGTTTTTTTTATATTAAGGATGAAGCATTTGTAAGACATTACATAAATTAAATAAAGTATTACCTCCTTCCAATAGCAATCCTCCTATAAAGTTTGAATATTGTGGGCCAAATAGAAATTAAGTTATGCTCCGGAAACTGTTTTCAGTTTTAAAGTAATAGTGACCTTGACCTTTGACCTTGTGACCCCAAAATCAATAGGGGTATTCTACCCAATAGGGACATTCATCCTATGAAGTTTGAACACTGTCGGCCACATGGAACTTAAGTTATGCTCCGGAAACTGTTTTCAGTCTTAAGGTAAAAGTGACCTTGACCTTTGACCTTGTGACCTCAAAATCAATAGGGGTCTTCTACCCACTATGGACAATCGTGCTATGAAGTTTGAACACTGTGGGCCAAATGGAACTTAAGTTATGCTCTGGAAACTGTTTTCAGTTTTAAGGTGATAGTGACCTTGACCTTTGACCTTGTGACCCCAAAATCAATAGGGGTCTTCTACCCAATATGGACAATCATCCTATGAAGTTTAAATGTTGTGGGCCAAATTAAACTTAAGTTATGCTCCGGAAACTGTTTTCAGTTTTAAGGTGATAGTGACTTTGACCTTGTGACCCCAAAATCAATAGGGGTCTTCTACCCAATATGGACACTCATCCTATGAAGTTTGAATGTTGTGGGCCAAATTAAACTTAAGTTATGCTCCGGAAACTGTTTTCAGTTTTAAGGTGATAGTGACCTTAACCTTTGACCTTGTGACCCCAAAATCAATAGGGGTCTTCTACCCAATATGTGCAATCATCCTATGAAGTTTGAATGTTGTGGGCTAAATGGAACTTAAGTTATGCTCCGGAAACCAAATTGCTAACGGAAGGACGGACGGACGGATAGACAGACAGGCGGACGGACGCCACGGGGTATAACATAATATGCCCGAAATACTTTCGGGCATATAAAAAGTGCAGAGTTCCGGTTCTTGTGCACTGCACTTCTTATCAATAAGATCTAATTTTCATCCTATGAAGTTTCAAGTCCATAGGTTTTATAATTAATGAGAAATGGCATGGACAAAAACAAAGTATGAAAATTAATAAAGGGTAATAACTCAAAAATAAGAAGTGCAGAGTACCAGTTCTTGTACATTGCACTTCTTCTTAATGAGACCTATCATCCTATGAAGTTTAAAGACCATAGCTTTTATACTTTAGGAGAAATGGCCTGGACAAAAATAAAGTATGAAAATTAACAAAGGGCAATAACTCAAAAAATAAGAAATGCAGAGTACCGGTTCTTGTGCACTGCACTTCTTCTTAAGAAAAAAATCCAAATTGAAAGTTACAAATAAAAATATTGAAAAACCAATTCTAAAATCTTTGAAAATAAGGACTTTTTCATTGTTGTGGTGCTTAAATGTTTGAAGATGCCAAGTCCTAGACAGAGAATTTTTGCATTCATTTAATCACTGCAAAATTTAAGTCATCCATTTTTTCCCAATTTTTAACAAAACATTGCTGAAATTCCAAATTCCATGGGTATGGGTCATGTTCCCAAAATCCTGGAAAAAAAAAACCTGACTGATGGCATGCATGAATACAGTTGCCACCAGCAAGGTATTAATGTAAATATAAGGGTTAAAACAGGAAACATAACAAACCTCTCCTGAGCCTAATGTGCAACAGGAATCAATTTTATGAGATTTTTTTCCTCCTGACTTTTTATCCTCTGCTTTAAGCGCTGCAGCAGCATCTTTCATCGTCTTTGGGGTGGCAGGCGCTTCTGTCTTAGCCTTCTTACCTCCCTTGGCTCCTGCACCAGCGGCTTTCCTTTTTGGTGGCATCTGTTATAAAAATTTGCTGCTTATAGCTTGAAATTGCCTAGTTTATAAGACAATGGTTTCTTTAAGGGTTTTAAGTGAAGATATCACAATACAAAAAAAAAACATAAACAGTTTATCTATAATTAACCAACAAACTGGTCTTTAAAAATATAATGTTTTTTTTTAAATATAAAAATTTATCAATGTTATTTCTTTTAGAATCATAAGTACATTAGACATCAACATGAGACCAATTATCTAGGTGGTATATAGTTGCTTGTTTTTAAACAAAAATTTATGTAAAATGTGTATTCAAAAAAATTTTTTTTTTATGTCATTCAGTATCTTTAGTTTATGCATCTCCATTTACATGGGTACTCCCTAAATCAATGACTGGGATGATGCACTGATAACTAGAATGTAAAATAAATAAGTAAAGTCTATAAATGACCATTTAATTGTTATGTATTAACTATTTACAAAATTAAAGCCATTGCAGAATCTGTTTATTGACAAAGGGGTATGGCTCATTGAATGTTAACAAAATATGTGTTTGATGGTAGAAAACATTAATCCTAAGTCAGAAATGAATTCTAAGTCCATTCCCATTGCACCACATCACGGATTTATCAGATTTATATATAAATCTGTGACTACATGTATATACTAATTAATGGGTTGTAATAGAATGCGAAATGGACTCCATTTCGCGAAATGAACTTACCGCCTACGAAATGGACATTTGTTTGTTTAACCATGATGAGTAATATTATTTTTATTAATTTATGTTTAACATATGACATAAAACTACAGATTGAACCAATTAAAATTACTATTTTCCTATTTTATAGTCATATTTCTGAAAATAATCTGGCCTCTACGAAATGGAGTTTTCGGCCACGAAATGAAGTTTTCGCTTACGGAATGGACATTAAAATTTTGCTTTACAAATTATGGTGTAACTGACATGTCACAAAGGGTATCTTTTCTATTCACTTACGTTTATTCTGGGACGACAAAAATATTTTTGTCCCAGGTTAAACATATGATATAAAACAGAATCTTTCTATTTGAAAGACCATGTATAAAACACTGAACTATGTGGCATTATTATACGATTATTTTCAAATGTAAAAGCATAAATAATGAAAAAAATATTAACAAAATTGTTTAAATAGTAATTTCATGTCATATATCACTTGTTCATTATTAAAAATGATATTAAATAGTACACTTAAACCAAAATTAAAGAGACAAATGTCCATTTCGTAGTCGAAAAGTTCATTTCGCGAAATGGAGTCCATTTCGCATTCTATTACTACCGCTAATTAATATATATTAGTTTATAATAGTGTAATGGGAATGGACTTAGAATTCATTTCTGACTTTGGATAAATGTTTTCTGCCATCAATATATTAGTATATAGTGCAATGGACTTTTCACTTAGAATTCATTTCTGACTTAGGATAAATGTTTTCTACCATCAAACACATATTTTGTGAAATTCAATGAGCTGTACCCCTTTGTTTATTGACTTATAACATTCAACAGTTCAATTCAAAAGCACCGACAACTTTATATCCATGCCATTTCCAGACTTTTCCATGATACGTATAATTTAATAAAATTAAAAAAACGCTTAAGACTGTACTAAATACGACCACGGACAATAATTTGCCAATTACAGTCCGTGGTACGACAGTACACGAGAACGATTCAAATTATGTGTTAATTTGATATCGGGAATAACTTATATTAAATAACATGTCAACTTATTTGCATAATTGTCTCATCCTACACGTAACAATTTCATATTAAAACATAAGGAATAGACACTAGAAAATTGTACCCTTTTCAGTAATCCCGATTTTGCACAGAATGCTTACCCAGCAACTTGGAGGTGTATTTTGTTTACCTATCTCTGACAAGTAGGGGCTCGCCCATTTTCAACCAATGATTTTTTGAGGCTCTTTTAAGGTATAAATTAACATGAGAATATAGTAAGAAGCGTATCACATTTATTTTTTTTAAAACATGAAGAGAATTTCGTAATTTAATAATATATTTGTCCATCGTTAAAAGAAATAGATTGTCAGTTTTCCTATTTCTTTTTAATGGGGGAAACAAACCCCATTAGGTCCTTTTCTCTTTCGCAATCATACAAACGCTTTGTTACTAAATTTAGAATTGATGTCATTCGGCCTTATCGCAAAAGGTCACATCAAACAACGTAAACTGATGACGTTTTACGCAATTAAGGGTGCTGTAAAGCACAGATGTCGGAAATTTACTAATTTCAGACTTAAAAGTGTTGTAACTATCTTAATATGTTCAATATGATGGGCGAAACTCAATCGAGACAATTTGGGAACTTACAACCAAAAAAGACTTCAATCAGTCAAGATTATAGAGTGACAGCAAGTGTGTTAGGTTTAGGAATAAATGGGAAAGTAGTGGAGTGTTTTTCTCACAAAACTGGAGAGAAATTTGCCCTGAAGGTTATCATTTTGTGTATTTATGAAAATAAATTTGGCAATTCAATAAACTGGCATGTTCTGACATAAGTTTGGGACATGTCACGTGAACGAAAGATGAACTGGTCATAGTATATGGACATCATACTCTATATCAATATTATTACAAAGTTAACAGGGTACAGGACTTGTAAAATTAAGAAGATTTTCAGGAAATAAGTTTTATTTCAGTCTTATTTATATTTGTGATGTTGTTGCTATATGATTGCCCCTTAACAGTGTTAAAATGTGTACATATATTATATTGTTTCAATAGGAAAAGAGTCAACTCGGCACGGGTCAACTCGGCCCACTTTACAAAAATATATAGGCCTATAACGTATTTACTTTGCTTTGCATGTTGTTAAGGTAAATGAATAATAAGAAATATCTTATTATCATTATATAATTATACATTGTACTTCTGCTGAAATAAAGTATATTTAGAAAAAAAGTTATTTATTTGTCTTGCAGATTCGATAAAATTAATATAGACACAGGCACGATTATCGAACCTGGGAAGAAAAAACATGAACAGATTGATAAAATAACTTCATATTCTTTCTTCCCAGGTACGATACTTGTGCCTGTGAATATAGGTATAATAAAAATGTGTTTCCTTAGATACATTTTGTTTGTAAAGTAATTTTCAAAAAAAAAAATGAAACAAAAACGTGTTTACTTAATAGCATAAGCTTCTAATTAATTGCACGTGGTCACTAATCAAATTTGAATGAATAAGTCAATCATAATTATCACCTAATTACTTGGTATCTTTAACATACACATTGATTGATAATAATAGCCCGTGACAATAGGAGTCCTTTGATGTCCTTTACCCTTTTTTAAAAGTGGGCAGAGTTGACCCGTGCCGAGTTGGAATAGGGCCGAGCTGACTCGGGGGCCGAGTATGTTTTAGGGCCGAGCTGACCCGGATTCGTTTTAATATTGTACCTTAGAATAGAAAATTATGATCTTTTTTGCAATCTCTTAATATTTATTTACGCACGCCTGTTATTCCATTAAGTTATAATTTTCTTTTCAATCGCATGCAGATATAGTCTGGCTACAGTGAAAATTATATTTTATAAATTTCACTAGTGGTTTATCAGAATATAATCATCTGATATATTTCAATAGAACAGTGGAAAGCATGAAATAAATTGATATATCATTTTTTTTTTATATTTGACATAAGATTCAATTTAGCCTGTAATATGAATACAATTTAAAACCAATTCCTTCCTGTCTTTGTGTAAGAAATCTATTCTGTCTGAAGTGAGAAGTCACTTTCTATCCTCTTGCTTGGCTACAAATGTAGCTTGAACCTGGAATTCATCATTCCATTATATCATAATCAATACAAACATTTTCATCAATTATAACCATACAATTTAGTTTAACCTTTGACTACATTTACAATTGCATAAGGGACTTACAGATATATACACGTTTTGTGTACATTGAACAGAAGTTCTAATTTTTGCAATGTTGATTATTAAAAGAATATGAATCTCTCTTGAAGATTTTATTCAGCTATTAACTTAGTGACATTTTACTTTATCTAAGAATCAATATGTTAGAATTTGAACATTTTATGTTATCTATAAATTGTGACTAAGAATTGGAACAATTAACTTATCTAAGAATTGAAACATAAACCTGATGTCATTAAAAAAAATTGAATTTCATTTATAATTGCATAAGGGATTTACGGATATACAAGTTTTGTGTAAATTTAATAGAAGTTCTGCATTTTGCAATGTTGATTATTAAAGAGTATGAATCTCTCTTGAAGATTTTATTCAGCTATTAACATAGTGACATTTTACTTTATCTAAGAATCAATATTTTAGAATTGGAACATTTTATGTTATCTATAAATTGGTGACTAAGAATTGGAACAATTAACTTATCTAACAATTGAAACATATTAAGAATTGGGACATTCCGCTTTATCTAAACATAATTATCATTTACTTGGAATGAAGTTTGATAAAACAGTACTAAGGGAGATAATTTCAGCTACCTGTAAGGCTGTGATCATAAATTGTGGGGAGAATAAACATGATTAAAATTGAGGTATCGTTGATCAAATTAAAGATAATATTTTATGACCTGGCACAGTCACTGTGTATTAAAGTAGTTGTATCATATGCCGTGAAAATTATATAATCAGTTAAACAATTTAACACAGATTTAGGACATTTCAGATAACCTGGTGACTTACTGTAGCTTTTAGTTAAAAATTTTGTCATTATAAATTACTGTTGGCCTTAAATTTGTTAAAGTTAAAGACTAAGATTTATAAGTTTGTTTTTTGCTCAGACTGAGCTATTTGGATGGTATGGTGTCTGTTGTCAGAACAAAATGTATTTTAAACGGAAGGAACTCTCTATGTATCGGCGATTTTGGTGATAATGTTTATGTATATTATTGTTTTTAGCCATATGGTATTGAACAACATTGTTATTTGCCAATAAAGGTTTGGAAGAAGTACAGTTAAATTTGTTTGAAAGCACTAACGTGCAACTATTCTTTATTTTGTTGGTCAATAAAGTTTTGAAAAGTTAAACCTTGACAGTTAAGGTTAAGCATTAGATTGTTGGTCAGTGTCTAATAGAAAAAGAAAATTTAGTGCTCTAAATAAATATAAGAGATCCTTGTTATGGAAAATGTGATACTAAATGTTGACAGAACTCGTTTAACAAGAGGTTGTAATTTGTTAGTCACAAGATCTGAAACATCAAAGTCCCTTTTAGTTTTTCCTGACTTTTTGATCTATACACTTTACTGTCTCTTTATAAAAAACAACAACAAAAAAACACAACTACGACAAACAGTATTTGAGCCGTGTCACGACAAAACCAACATAATGCGTTTGCCACCAGCATGGATCCAGACCAGCCTGCGTATCTGCGCAGTCTGATCAGGATTCAAGCTGTCTGCTATCAGTTTCTTACTTGCAATAGGGTTTGTAAGCGAACAGCATGGATCCTGATCAGACTGCGCGGATGCGCAGGCTGGTCTGAATCCATGCTGGTCGCAAACCCATTATGTTGGTTTTGTCGTGACACGGCTCATATAAGTATTGTTATTAAGATAATACTTCTACATTTTATTGTAATATTTGGTACTTTCAAGTTTGTATAGACAATAAAAAATTTTGACAGGCCCTAGTATATATAAATGGTTGTTTGGAAATATAACCCAAGTTGCTAGGGAAGGGTTATAATATATCTAACAACTATTTATATATATATATAAATTTTTATATATTTGTATAACCTAGCAGGAATCTTCACAACAAATTTATATTTAGCAAACTTCCTTTTTTAGAGAAAAAAAAAATGAAAAAAATATCATAAATTTAAAATTGACAGCAGGGTGTATATAAAACTATATAAACGTTGAAAAGCAATGTTACAAACTTGCAGTATTATAAATAATACATACATGTAGCAGTTAACCCTTTACCAGTTGGAACCAATGAGACATAAGTATAAGTCTAGGCCAGCCTGTCACACCAAATATTGAAATCTTTAAAACATCCAAAAGATTGTAAGGGGTTAAAGGTTTATACAACATGTTAATGTAATTGTGTCATGAACAGTCATGCATTCCACTAATTTTTTTTTTGAAAGGTACCCTATTTCAAAGGAGATTTTGTTACCATACTGTAAATGATACCCATATAGAATTGTATACATGTACATTGTAATTTGTATACTAACTCATATATCTTTTGGTACTAAGTCATATTACATACATGTAATGTATATGAGTAACAAGTTAAATGATTCTAATGTAGAGATTTAACCTAAAAATGTTTACTTTGTTGTAACAGTATATATCAAAATGGGGCATTAACATAAATATTTAAATCTAAAAAGAAAGCAAATGTTGAAGAAGATTGATTATGTCTCTATAGCCATTTACCCTATTTGCAGATACATGTGTATTTAAGATAAATAACATGTTTATTGATTTGATTCTTTATAACAATTATAATATATTTGTACCTCGCTGGCATGTGTTCAAATGACATTTTATTTATGACTGTATTTTTTATGCAATGCACTGCAAAATATTATTGTGTTCAAAGTATGCATAATTCCTTTTAATTCCACATTTGAATTTCCAGTTGATGGAAAAAATATTCAAAAAAAGAAGGTAGAAGAAAGTAATGGAATGAACATAACGTTAGAAATTTGTTTCTTGCAGGTTCTCCGAGATGTGCCAAAAGCGCGGAGAGAAATTGACCTCCACTGGAGAGCCTCAGGGTGCAAACATATCGTGAAAATTATTGATGTATATGAAAACACATACGGTGGTCAGAAATGTCTACTGGTTGTCATGGAATGGTGAGAGTGATATTTTATTTCTACAGATATTAACTTGGTCCATCTTGACATTTGAGCTGCGTCACAACAAAACCAACATATTGCGTAGTCTGATCAGGATCCATGCTGTTCGCAATCAGTTTCTTTACTTGTAATAGAGTTGGTTAGTGAACAACATGGATCCTGATCAGACTGCGCGGATGCGCAGGCTGGCTTTGATCCATGCTGGTCGCAAACACACTATGTTGGTTTTGTCGTGACGCGGCTCATTTGTTACCACATTACAATTTTCATATCCAATACGCAATTTATAAATTATTTCAGAATTTTTAATGAAACTTTAGGTTATTACACGCTCTTTATGACTAGTTAAAAGGTATTGTATTACTTGGTAACCATTATTATTACTGGGTGATTGTGGTATTTATAATTGAAGAGATAATACCAATACATGTACATTGTCTGAAATTTATATCAGAACCTTGCTAATGATCTAAAAATGTCACCACAAAGTACCCTTTGATTAATTATAAGTTTATTATACATTTGTACATTTGTTACATGTACCAAATGTTAGCTTTTAAGATTTTCAACATTTTAATGCACATACATGAATGTATATTTCTAAAAAAAAGCTACCATTCAGTTTGTTTTAGTTCTAAATAATACACATGTATCAGTATGTGCAGCATGAGTATGTCTATGTACTAAGCATTACCGATGGACAATATATATGTATGCCAGGTGTCTGAATCCCAACACCAGTTTATATTGGTTGTAGGCAAGTAATTGATATAACATGTGTACACGATATTAAAGTTTGATTTGATAAGATAATGTTTTCTGATGATATCTGTACATATATATAGAGACATATCAGACCTAGTCTTTATCTGAAGTTTCCATATTAAGTTTAAGTAAGTTATTAACTGAGTTTAAAATACTTGACAGACTAGAAGCGGTGATATGTAAAGCATTATTTGTTGTGCAATTTAACACACATGTATGTAATTTGATACATGGTAAAAATCGTACTATACTGAGTTCATGTACTTTTAAAGTATTGGTATGCCCATTAAAGGTATTGGTATATTAATTATTACCCATACAGTATGCCCATTTTAAGTATTGGTACATGTATATTGTCCATTAGTAACAGAATGCCCATTAAAGGGATACAAATTATGTCGTGTTTGGTTAAATGCTATAAAAATCTGCTAAGTGCTCATAGACAATTTCACTTAATTTAGAGGGGAAAAAAATGTTCTTTTAGTTTCCTTTAAAACTTTTTTTATTGGAACTCTATTTGTTACTCTTATCAGTAATTTAAAATTTATGTTTCAATTTACAAGCCCAAATTCTTTTTCCAAAGTGTGAAATCTTAGATCTTCTTAAAATTTTCATAAGCCCGGAATTCAATGTAGCTATGTTTTACTGTCTGGCCAGTCTGTTTTATTATTGTTTCAAAGATGAATTTTTCTTTGTATTGACTATTATAGTGTTTTATTTTGTTGATCATGATGGTGTTCCATGCTTATTCCTCTTTCTGATGATGACAAAATTTTGTCATTTTCTGAAAAAAATCTGTTGTTGGCTGTTTGCTCCATGTTTCTTTGTTAAGTATACGAAAGAAGCACGGAAAAAGCTTTTTATTGATTAAAACTCCAGTTTTTCATTAAAAGGTGGACTTAATCTAGGCGATTTATACTATTAAAGTGGATTAAGTTTAGAATATAGAGTCTGAGTGAAAACTAATAACAGTTACTGTACTGTATGTTGATTTGAAAACCAAAACCATGCTTTTGAACAGATGCTCTAAAGTTTCTAAGTTTTTGTTTGAAACGGTAATCATTTAAAACAGATGTTTAAGATATATAATATATGTTTATATATTTGCTGGCAGTTTATCTAGTTTGCTGTAGTGTAATATAAGTTAATGACAGTTTAATTAAGAAAACATTGTTATAGTATGGGTAATATAATTTGGAATCTGAAGTGAAGCAGTTATATAATCGACACTTCCTGTCAGTCAGCCATTTTGAACATGTTTATTCAGATTTAACCTTTAACAAGCTGAAACCCTTTGCCATCCGTTTAGAGCCCGGCCATCCATGCAGCTTAGTTAAGCATGATACTGTAAGGTGAAGTTGAACATCTTCATATCCTAAATAAAGATAATAGACAGTTTCAAAGTTGGACAAGTTTATTCAAGAAATTTAGCAGTTTCTGGTTTAAAGTTTAAATATTACTACTCATTACATGTACATTTAAATATTTGAATTATCCATTGAAATTATGGTTACTGTTATGCATTACATCTAAGGCGTCCACATTGCATGTTTCAACAAGTCTGTTTTACATTTTCTATGTACATTTTTCATCTTAATGATTAAATTTACATAATGTATATTGTTATTTGGTGTTGCAGAAAGTTTAAAAGTGAAATGATTGAAGTTTAGCAGGGTTCATAAAAGTTGTGCCTAATTTCATTATCAAGAGGTTCCACAATGGGGAGGGTTTAAAAAAAATGCCTGAATTCATTATCAAAAAGTTCAGGGAAGGGAAAGAGTGCCTAAATTCATTATCAAGAAGTTCGGGGAGGGGGTCGGTTTAAAAAAATGTGCCTACTATCATTATCAAGAGGTTTTGGGAGGGAATGGATTTAAAAAAAGTATAAAAAAAAACACACAAAAAAAGATTAGAATATATTCAGAGTTTATAAAAGAGCTATGATGATTATCTATTGTTTTTCATATTCATTATGTACTTAATTTCCTTAAATTAATTTAAAACATTTACTTTGCAGTTATAATTGTATTAATTATATATACATGTCTTTGATTTAAATTTCCGTATCATTATGTCATTATGGTAGTTTATTTATGTGAACTCACTTAGTCTTAATTTTGCATGCAATCACTTACTAAACTAAGTGGGTGCATGTTGTGTGTTGGGGGGGGGGGGGGGTGTTACAATGTTGGAGAATAGAACTGAAAACATGAAATATAAAGTTGAACAAGTAGCATGTAATGTTCTGTTGTACTTAACATTCTGCACATTACACAATCTGACAGCCTTGTATAAACATTATGAATTGTACAAATTGTAATGAGCAGAAACTAGGCAGATAGCATAATGTTTAGATGATCCTATTTTACACATGAATATTTGTGTATATGTATACATGATTATTAGCTATTAAGAGCCACAATTATTAACTTCCTAGTTCTCACGTTGAAGTAAAAAATAACACAACCGTTTAAATGCATGTTATTTTATAAAGATATTTGTAAAGCTGTTTAAGAGAACACAATATCCTGAAGGGACCGAGTTTTATGTTTAAAGGAAAGTGTCCTATAGTTTACCATTGCCTCTGTCCAACCATCCAGCTATTTGGGAATCATGATTATCCAGTATTGTAACTTAAAAATCAGTCACATGTATGTTTCATTATAAAACAACTAAGTATGTGATAAGTAAGATTTTGGAGATGATGCACATTATATAATGTTTCCTTCAGTCACTGTCAGAATTCTTGTTTCTATGGTGACAGAAGAAGTCAAAATAAGGCACTAAAAGATGGTCACTGGGATAACTAAGGGAATACAAGTAATATAATATTGATGAATCTTTATTTATGTGAAGCTGTGGTACTGGTTATATAGGGATTATGATTATAATTGTGGAGGTTTTTGTTGTTGCTATGGTAACAGAAATAGTCAAAATAAGGTCATTAAGGTGATTTACAGGATATCCTAGCATACTAAGGTTGAAACAGTAATCATTTTCAGAGTTAAGAGCTGAATAAAACTAGAAAATATACAATCTCAGGGGTGCGCTTGATGTTTGAAAAGTATATAATTTGTGTATAATTTATGTATTTTATTTGTTTACAGTATGGAAGGAGGTGAACTGTTTAGTAGAATACAAGAAAGAGCAGATTCTGCTTTCACTGAAAGAGGTAAAGTTGTTTACACTTTTCTAATACACCTTATAGTTTACATTACCTGCACATGGATTGTAATTTACAGAAAAAATATATGTAATAATTGATTTATTTATTATCTTATGTTAGAGCACTATGACAATTTTCATAACAATTGTGAAAATGTATAAAAATTTTAAAGTAAAATACTGTAAATTGAACAAGGAAAGTAATGTACACATTGCAAACAGCACATACAATCCACCTTAATTACCAAAAAGCGGACAAATTATGCAAAAACAGCTCTTACTGTGTAAGTACTAGTGATAAGTACTGCAATATAGTCACTTATCGCACATCCTTATAATATGTAAATTATGACTTGTATCTTTTGACTTTTCTTAAAATCTTAAAGCATTTTTCTCAAATTTTTTTATCTTGAATTATTTTGACGCATCTGGATGCATGCATCTTTTTTTTGAAAATTAAGGAATTGGTAGTATTATTTAAACTATTGCCAAATTTCAAGTGAGCTTATGATATCTATAATATTAATGTGTCAACCTAAAGAAAGCTGTTAAGTTTTAAACACATTGATAATTATAGTGATACGAAGAGGGTACAGTAAATTGAGCTATATTTTACATAAAATATGCAAAGTTTATGCTACATGGATCGGGGATATTCATCCTTTTTTGATATGTATATTATGTGTTATACGGTACTCTTGTTAGACGTGTACCTATAGGGTATGATATTAATTTAAATCAGATTAATGAAGTACAGTATAGTTTGTTAACAATCTATTGTAACAGATATAAAATGTTTGGTTTTAACTTTTGTGAATACATCATTGTAACAGGTATAAAATACAGTATAACTCCTGTAGAACAACATCCTTTGGGAGAAAATGATTTTGGTTCTTTCTGAAGGGGGTTGTACTACAGAGGCTAAATTTATTGTGAAGTTTTATATAGGGAAGAATTGATACTGTTGTTATAATTAGCTGGTAGCTGTAAGGAGGGTAACTCTTCAGAGGTTGAACTGTATTGTCATGTTGTTGCTGTCATTAATTAATTTCTTTTGAGTTGTCATATTTAAAAAGACTGTATCTTAATTGATTACATTTGCTATGATTAAAAAATACCAGGTCTATTTATGCCACATCAGTACTGAGAAATTACTAGTAAAACTTGCCATATCTTAATTACTGAAACCTAGTTGGTCTTTTCATCCTTCTTAAGATTGTTGACAGTAATTGGTGCTATCAAAATTCCAAGGGTTTGGTTAAAATTTTAATGGGAATAAGTGAAAGATCTTTAAGATACAGTATTGTTTAGAATATGCTACTTTGAAATGAATTTACAGTTTATTTCCTCAGTGTTAAGTAACTTTAATTTTCTGAGAATTAGCAATCAACCCTTCAACATGTACGTGTACCAATAAATGGTTAATTATACTTATTATCGGAATAATAGACTACATACTTCACATCGTGAAATTTTGCACGTGGAAGTTTTTACTGTGAAAGTAAACCCTTAAACATTGAAACTGAAAGTGATTATCTTTTGCCACCAGTATAAAACCAGGCCAGCCTGAACATCAGTGCTGTCTGAATAGGTTCTTATACTGTAGGCTGAACATATTCAAGTTTTCCTCTTGATATCCCCTTAAATGATAATTGACAGTTCCAAAAATAGAAGCTGGGCAAGTCCTTTTACACAAATTCAGCAGTTTAAGGGTAATTTTCCGCAATTAAAATGTTTGTCATGGCACTAGATTATGAAGTAGTGCTATTTTAAATCTTTCCCTTTCTTTTCCTTTTTCATAATTTTCTTCTATGAAGAATGGCACGTACGTGTTACAGTTAGTGTTACTTTGGTAAACTCCTCCACACGTAAGCGTTACTAGTTACACATGATGGCAGAAATTGCATTTATGATTAATGTTTTAGAAATCTGTTACAACACAGATTAGTTTATTCATTTGTATTCTGTAAGCTTTAAAAGGTCATTTAATCATTATCATGATCCTCTTACCAGTGAACACTGTAGCGTGTGGGGTATCTTTCTGATAGCAGGTTTCTTTTGTAATATAAGAATAACTTGATCTTGTCTCACTGAACCTTTGTGATATATTGGGGACAAAGTGATAAACACACCACATTATATTGTATGTGTATTTTTTTAAACCCCTGATTGAAATCTTGAGTGGTTCCTTTACACACACATTTCAATACCATACCCCTGATCTTTGATTAACAGAAGCATATATATGGTTCCTTTACCAAATTAATATGTTGATATCATTCCCCTTAGTCATAGTTGCTTAAATAGGCATTTTGAGGTCATACCCCTCATGGTTCTTTAACACAAACATTTTGATATCATACCCCACCCCCACCCCCACTTATAAAATAAGTATTTTGATATCATACCCCTTAAAGACAATAAGCAGACCCAAGTTAAAGGTAGGCTAGTTGGATATACACATTAAATATGATTTTATGTGGATTAAGTCTAAAAGTAATATGTTAATTTTCTCTCTTTCAGAGGCAGCAGCAGTTATTAGTGATATAGTAAAAGCAATACACTTCCTACATTCCATGAATATAGCACACAGGGATTTGAAGGTTTGTTAGTTAATACAGAATTTATCTTATTTTGATTGTTTAAAAAACTACAAACTTATAGACCCACTCTCGAATACATTCCTGGAACCCACCAGTACTGAGCAGTGAATGTAATGTTTCCTACTCGAGGAAACAACAGCTTGCACTGATGGGGTTTGAACGCACATAGCTAGATATATTACTGGTTAATCATGCCGCCACTTAAGGTAATTTAAATGAATAATCAATATGAACATTTAATTTTATTTTATCAAAATAGTTGTTGCTGTTCAAATATTAAATGAGTGTGTATCCCATACTTGGATCAGCTTGATATGCTGAAATGTTTTATCATATGTTAAAATTACTGTTATCATGAATATTCAGAATAAAAATACAGGGGAGTAAATTGTATTTCCACTTCTGCTGACACCATATTGACATCACTGTTTATGAATGTTACTTAATACTCAGCCTGACATGTAATTCCAATTGTAGTACATAGCTGGGTTATATACATGTATGTGTTTGAATGTAAAATATTATACATGCTGTTACTTTGTTACATGTTAATTATGTAATACTGGAGGCAAGTTGACAGGTTATTCTCTTTTCCCAAACCTACCATTTAAGGGAATGTATCATGCATTATTGTTGTGGAAGAAATGTTTGAAAAGTTACTCAGATAAAAAAAATGCAATTGAAGGAAAAAGTTGAATAAACCCTGGTTGCACATTTTTTGTCATAAAAGTTAAATACAATTGAAGGAAATGAGTGAGTAAACCTTGGTTGCACATTTTTGCCATAAAAGTTAAATACAATTGAAGGAAATGAATGAATAAAATTTATTCGCACATTTTTGCCATATTTGACTTGTGCATCAATGCTATCAAAGCTATTATATCTTGATTGAGTACCGTATATACGCTTCTTTCTATGTCTAAGGTCACCACAAATAAGAGACCATTGAATTTTATAAAGATATTTGTCATGTACTTGCTAGATATTTCTTTAGTTAATGACATAATGCCTTGTGAATTCTCTCATATATAGTTGATATGTTACAAAAGAATTAAAGGCACATTATATCTCAGAAACAAATAAATTTTTACTTCTTTAGAAAGGGCAAACATGATTTTGATAATGTTGATCAAATGGTTTTAGAGAATGTTAGATGCTTGTTAACTAGAGAAAGTAGCAGTCAATGTGAAATAATTCGTCATAAAAGTAGCAAAATGTATTTTGACTTCCATGTAAAATATTTATTCATATTAACAGTACTTATTGTCAAAAAGCAGCAGATGAAATGTATGGTTCAGGTAATTGACCAACTTTTTGGATACTATAAAAGTACACCAAAATTATCAAACTAAATTAAAGCATTTCTGTGGCAGAATGGGCCTTTAAAATTAAAGTGAGTCCAGTGTCATAATTGTATGAATTTTACAGAAGTTACACACATGACAGACTTGAAAGGTTGTCAAGATTAAAATGTTGAAATGACACTAGATGGTTGTCATGTAAACAGTGGTAATGAGACGCGGGATTTATTTATAGTAGATCAACCGTCGTATGATGTATTTATACATATTCTGACTTGACTGAAGATAATAGATAAACATATGATAATTCTTGCTTGATTAAGTAAATGATGAAATGAGCCGTGTCACGACAAAACCAACATAATGGGTTTGCGACCAGCATGGATCCAGACCAGCCTGCGCATCCGCGCAGTCTGATCAGGATCCATGCTGTTCGCTTACCAACCCTATTACAAATAGAGAAACTGATAGCAAACAGCATGGATCCTGATCAGACTGCGCGGATGCGCAGGCTGGTCTGGATCCATGCTGGTCGCAAACCCATTATGTTGGTTTTGTCATGACACGGCTCAAATCATTTTGACATAGTTTGTCAATATCTCATATAATCACTGATAAAAAATCTTGTATCGTAAAGTTTCCGAATGAATTATTGAAACATTAATATGAATGGTTTGATAAAATTTCATACATTTTAAAATATTTTTGTGGTTGTGTAATAATAATGTAATTCAGATGATCAGCAGTGTGTGATATATTGTAACTTTTTATCTCATATCATTAACCATGGTTGTAACCCACTAGATAATAAATTGTATAAATACTTACTACTACTATAGCTGATAAAATTATATATGGCTCCTGTTTATTTTTAGCAATGTCAATTTTGTGAATGATCAGTATATAAATTGCCAAAATTTAAAAAATGCTGCTGTTTTTATATTCCATAATATGATATATTTAACCATTACTATACTGAATTACATGTATATAATTTACTTGGCCTGCTTTGAATTAATGGGAGCAGTGGCAAAGTGGTTAAGGTATGTGCCCTCTCAATTCAGGGTTCTTGGGTCTCAAGCCCTACTGCAGTCACAACCATATTTCTTTTTTTATGGCACTAGTACTGGTTACTTCCAGGAAGTGGGCTAGAGAGATAATCAAAAAGCTTCAAACTTACAATCATAATGATCATGCTAAAATAAAATGTTTAAACTTATTTATATAGGTATCCATTTTGAGATTGAGGGACTTAAATATCAAAAAAAAAAAATAAAAGTGGGCAACAAACATGGCTTTGTCAGTAAGAAAACTTGGTTGCTTAGTGAAGGTTTTATCATTGTGTACTGAACTGTCCATGAAATAAATGAGTGTCATTATATATTGAGTGTTCACTGCCCTTTATAATTGAAATTGTCTTTTGAAATGGACTGACTCATTGCTAGTTAGTGAAATCACAAATGTACAGTATATATTATTTATATTAACTGAGTTGTAATTTGTAAACATTGTTGTATATTTCAGCCAGAGAATTTGTTATACTCTTCTAAAGGTCCTGATGGAATTATAAAGCTAACTGATTTCGGTTTTGCCAAAGAACTTTTAGCTTATAAATCCCTACAAACTCCATGTTATACTCCGTATTATGTTGGTAAGTACTCAATAATTCAATTTTCAACACTAAAATAATCTTAAATTTGTTTCTTGTGCAATAAGTATTAAACCCTAACGTAAACCCAATGTGTTTCAATTTGCCTTAGCCACCAGTATAGAGCCAGGCCAACCTGTACACATCCCTGCAGTCTGACCAGGCTCTATACTGTTTGTAACTCAATATTTATCTAATAGGGAGAGCTATTGTACTTGTCCCATCGTCGGTATCACTCTTTGGTTAACTTTTTGGGTGCAAATTGTTATTTCCAAAACTACTCAAGAGAATGAATTGAAACTTCACACAATGATTTGAAAGCATAATAGGAGGTCACTATCCAAGGCCCATAATTCTAGCATGGATTTTTTCAGAATTATAGCCCTTTTTGAAGTAAAAAAACTCTACATCATTGAAGCTCTTGTTTTACTATCAAGCACTTAGAATATTCAAGCATGCTGACCTACCAACAGCTTTTCTTGTATTTTGATATTAAAATCCTTTGACTTCTCTAATTTCAAAGCTAGAAAATCAATTACATAAATTCAACAATATAATGGTTAACTGTGTGAGTGTGTAATTTTGGCAAGTTTAAAGCATGCTTGATTAAAGGTTAATCACAATCTATAATTTGTTTACTGTCAAATAAGCAATCAGTCAGACAATATTAAGATTGAGGAATTTAAAGTGTAAAGGTCAATGTTTTATGTATGTCTTTAATGGTTAAATTTTCATGATTCATTACTTAGCATAATGTAATTGGAATTGTATGTTTAAATACTAATTATCATCGAAATGTACATGTGTAGTTAGTTTCATAACAATGTTTTGTTTCAATACATGTACTGTTGATTTAAAAAATATATATATGTTTATTAAACGAAATCAATTAAACCTGAAACAAAAAAGAAAATGAGCCATGTCATGACAAAACCAACATAATGGGTTTGCGACCAGCATGGATCCAGACCAGCCTGCGCACACCGCGCAGTCTGATCAGGATCCATGCTGTTCGCTATCAGTTTCTCTTCTTGTAATAGAGTTAGTAAGCGAACAGCATGGATCCTGATCAGACTGCGCGGATGCGCAGGCTGGTCTGGATCCATGCTGGTCGCAAACCCATTATGTTGGTTTTGTCATGACGCGGCTCAAATAATTTTTCTTTTTTTTCAGCACCGGAAGTATTGGGTCCAGAAAAATATGATAAATCTTGTGACATGTGGTCTTTAGGTGTTATAATGTATATTTTGTAAGTATAAACTCATTCTTCTGTGTAAGCTTACAATAATAATGTTCTAGCTGAATTGTAATAAAGGCTTAGAAGCTTAATGACCTTGTCTACAGTAATAAGTCAGTATAAATTGTCATATGTGTGATCAGAAATGGTTGTTACCTTGTGAGAAGTTAGTGTTGAATTATTGTCTTTTCTCATTGATCACACACCTACCTGAAATGTAATTAGCTGTATTTGTTTTGTATTTACAGTCAAACTTGTATTCAGCAAAACACAAAAAATGGTTGTTTAATGCAACGTTCTCTTAAGAAAAAGTCAAAATGTATTTCATTTGTGTTGCGGAGTTTTTCAACTTCATTTATTTAAATGTGTAATAATTATTTAGCTCTGAAAATCTAAATAAATGATGAAATGAAATAAAATGACTTTCAGATATTTATTGACAATCAGTTTTGATCTATTAAGTAGATGAATACTTGTGGTTGCATGGGCAAGTTAGACTGTATTGTTAACGTGTATTTGTATATCAAGTTTGACTTTATAAATGCTGTCGATTTTGGTATTTGAGTTAATAGAAGGGTGAAAGAAAAGAACAAGTGTATAATATTGAAATGACATTGTCATATATAGGGTTCGTGTGAAGTGTTTTATTTACTGCTGTGGGTTCAAATTCTGCCATGTTGGAAGATATCAAGCACACTGTCAGAACGTCAGTGGTTCTACTCAGGTGCCCATATTCACATGAGGGCACCTTATCTTCCTCCAACAATCGTGCTGGAAAGTTGCCATATGACATTTACAGTGTTGGATGGGAAGTAAAACCAAACCCAATATATCCAATGCAAAGTTTACACTTTACAGGCCTAGAATAAAAGTACTGAATGAAGTTTTTCACTCAGACATTCAGTTTAAAAACTTAACAATAACATGTGTTTTATTTACAGATTATGTGGTTATCCACCATTTTACAGTAATCATGGGGCAGCTATATCACCAGGAATGAAGAAACGAATAAGGAACGGACAATATGAATTCCCAAATCCAGAATGGAGCAGGGTCTCAAAGGAAGGTCAGTGCTCAATGTGATGACTGTATAGTCTTGTAGTCCATGTTTCTATTGTATTTTAATGAAGGATTTTTATAACATAAAAACCAATATTGCCATCATGTTTATTACAATAATAAAATGCAACCTTTGTAGAGAGACCTTCTGTATAGCAATTGCTTCTTAACAACTATTGTAATGATTCTAGCCAAAGTAGATACTATAAGAATCTTACACTGGCTGCAGGTATAGACAGGAATATCTAGCTCGAGGGTAACTGTTTATGGCGGTAACAAGGCTCTGCCTAGTTTCCGCTAAACAGTTACCGGAGAGCCAGATATTCCTGTCTGTGACGATAGCCGGTGTTTGATTCTTTTTCCTGCTTATTACAAATTAATGATAAAACAAAACAAAAATTATAAAAACTAATATTTTCATTTAGCACTTTTTTTTCTTATATTAAATGCTCCTCCCCTAATAAACCACCCCACCGAACTTACCAGCCCCCTACATCTTTTTACAAAGAAGAAGAAAACTGAGTGACCAAGACATAAGCAATATATTATAAATTCTAAATCCAAAAAAAGAAGCACAAATTATCATACACACAGGTAGTGCATCCTGTGTATATAATCACACTTTAACACAAGTTTAGGAAGCATTCTTTTTATTTTGATGATATTTACAAAAAAGTTGTACGTTAATAAACTTATTTTATATTTTACAGCAAAAGATTTAATCAAAGGCTTATTGAAAACAGTTCCAGAGGAAAGGTTTACCATTGATCAGGTCATGAGAAATAAATGGATTTCAGTAAGTTTTAAAACATTATTCATTGTGTTGGAAATTAGTAAATGTTGTTTTTAATGTAAATTGGATGTTACATTATATAATTATTTTGATTGACGATGTATAAATTATTGTTTTAGATATAATGGATGTTTATTTATGTAAAATGTTTTTTGTTATGAAAAATATGTCATAATATTTTTGCATCATAAAATATTGGAGCGGTTAAGGTGGTTGACTTCTGTGGGTTTGAATCCCCACAGGGACTTTGGATTCTTCCATGTGTGGAAGCTATCAGAACGTCCGTGGTTCTACTCAGGTGCCTGTATGTGCCTGAAATAATGCACAGGACACCTTAGGTTTTTTCTCCACCAGTAAAGCTGGTAAGTCGCCACATGACCTATAAATTGTTGGTGCGATGTAAAACCCAACAAAAAGAAAACAAAAAATAACTAAAAAAACATCTTAAAAATTAATATGTATTTATACCCTCTCTTGTTGGCATGATGTTAAACCCAACAAAAAAAGCCAAAAAAACATAATAAAAATTAATATATACTTATGCCCTCTCTCATTGGGGATATTAATTGGTCATTGTCCATCCAACCCACTGACTTGCTATCATGCTGTTGGTATGTAGACAAAACATTGGAATGTGGATGCATCAGTGTCCTATAGACAGTTTGCTAGTTTTTCTAGTGCCTGAAAGATTTGCTCAGGGTATTAAATAGATAGTCTATTTATAAAACGGATGTTAACCATATAAAAAAAGGTGTTGATTATGTAAAATAAATGTCAACTATGTAAAAGAGGTTTCCCTTATTTGAAATTGATGTTTACTGTATAAATAAAATAATAGATGTTTATTTTGTTCAATGGATGTAAAGGTAGATGCATATAATGCATGTGTATGTTCATGTGTATTTTCATGTGTATGTTCATCTATATGTTCATGTGTATGTTCATGTGAATGTTCATGTGTATTTTCATGATTACAGGATCACCAAGTAGTGCCACAAACTCCATTAATGTCAGCTCAGGTGTTACGAGAAGAAGAAGAAACTTGGATGGATGTACAGGTTAATGTTGTTATCTAATAATATATATTTTGAGATATTTCATAAGAGAATGAATCGAGATTTAACCTGCTGAAATCAAGAGTGACTGGCTTTAACCACCAATATATTACATGGCCAGTCTGTACTTCCATGGAAGCCAACTGTTAGTTAATCAACATTTGTATTTTGATATTGAAATATCCCTTAAACTTGGAATGGACTGTTCCAGATTCAAAGCTGGTGAATATGTTGCAGAAGATTTAGCAGGTTAAGTGTTGAGAATGTAGTGTGTAGTCAATAACGGCTCTAACTTACTGCAGAAAATCTAAAATGTATGAAAAAACTATTGTGAATTTTAATATATTTGACATACTACATAGAGAAAAGCACCATAAATCTTTGCTTAAGATTATAACATTGAATAACATGTGATACTCAGGAGGGGATAGGTGTATGTTTTTTTAAGTCACATTGTTATAGTCACTAACACAAGACGTAAATCATGTAAACTTCAATCATTCTTTATGCTGTTAATATGTAACTATCAGTTTTAGTGACTTGCTACAATTTTTTATCTTTCTTCTGTTGTACAGGAGGAAATGACAAATGCACTAGCCACAATGAGAGTGGATTATGATCAAATAAATATCAAAAATTTGGACGAGTCCACAAACCCGATGTTGATGAAACGTAGGAAGAAAACAGGAAACCCAGGTCCACCACCTCTATTGGAAGAGACATCCATGGAGACTAAGTGATGCAATAATATTTCAAGTTGAGATGAACACACTGTAAAAATGAATTGCACAAGTGATTGAATAGAAACTGAACTGAAACAATCTTAAACGGAATAAATTTGTTCGTTTTGATGATGAGTACATCGTGTGACGAGAATACATTTTAAAAACTGTACCGGTAACAAACGTTTTAAAACAGAGATCATAGATCAGGCTGACCGTTGTATTAATATTTTTACACCTAGATATGAAAATCGAAATTTTCCCATTTTGGTTCTTAAAATGTCAAGGGCTTGTTGTGAATGGCAGTAACTCCTCGATGAAGATTGTACGGATATTTTGCAACAAGTCCTTGCACTGTCCAATTATTGTAACAGATGATAATACGTTTTACTTAACTTTATCCATTTATAATAGAAATTATACAAAAATAATAACGTTTTAGCAAAACAATATGATGAAAAATGATAAACTTAAAACTAAGTTTTGTTTGCTATAATTTGTGAAAATTGAAGGGATATGGGAACAGTCTGTTTGAAAATGAGAGTTTTTGGAACGCTTTTAAATAATAAATTGTTTAATTTGTTTACCCATGTTAAATCTTGGTATTTTTGTAAAATGTATCTTTGTTAAGTCACTTTTTTATGCAGTTGTTTTATATACATTATATACCCCAACTTTTTAAATTGTTATTCATATTTAAAAAAATATTTCTATCAATAATATTAAAGAATGAAATGTTTCTACATGATGAAAGGTGTGTGTAGGAACAGAGTTAGTGAAGATCTGTTTCAAGGTATAGGAAATATGTATTTGTTTGTTTTTATGATCGTCTACTTTTTCATGACTACATTTATAGAGACATATTGAAATCCCATCGTATGTATAAGTAAATAAGTTATTATGAATTTACCGGTACTGTTTTATATGTTAAGAGAATATATTTCTTTCCTTTTTTAAATCCATATAATATAAATTCTCAAATCTTACCATTCTGAATAAGTAGAATTACACATTTGTGTCAATTCTGTACTACTGATTTCAATTTGAAATCCCACCATTTTAGGAATTCATCAAATATTTTAGTTCAGAGAAATGAAGTTTGATAAATTTACAAAGTTACCGATATTATGCATATCAATTAGTAGATTTTGAAATGTATACAGTATGTTGGTGTTACATGTATTTAATAGTTACAAAATATACTCGAGTGAGATAAATATCATATCACTCATTTGGAAAAATTGTAGTACTGATTGAAAAGCATCAACTGGATATGAAATAAAAAAAAAGAATGTGTTTTAATGAACATGGAATAAATTCATATCCAGCTATGATATTTTTTGATATCTTGAACTTGTGCGCATTGCTCACGAAAAATACCCGAGAAATAACAGTGAGAAATATTAAATATCCAGTTTAGTGAACAAACGAATATCATTTTTAGGTAGTTGCTCTTCCATAATGGTAAAAAGTCTGTCTCTTTTTGTTTGTATACTGTATAGATTATTTTTAAATTTTCTTGAAATATTTGATAGTGCATTGCAAACTTTCTTGCAAGTCTTAGATTTTTTTTCATTTTTAAGATGTTTATCAATAAATGTATCTTTGCTCTTCTACTGTATTAATGTAACATGATAATTGAATTTTGTTGTTAGATGTAAATGCTTCGACATCTGAAAAAAAAATAACACAAGAGATAATACAAATTTATATATAAAATGTATTTAGTTGTTCTTTGCCCAAACACATATATACACATCAAGAATCTGCCAGTTTGTCTAATTGACCGCCAGGATTTTTTTGAAGTACGAAAAGCTATTGGAGGTATTAACTTGAAACTTCATAGATGGATAAATCTCAATGGGGAGAAATGCAGTATCCAGAAACCATAACTATCTGCTGCAAAATTTTGGAGTTATTGCCCTTTGTAAGATTTCCTATTTGATATTTGTCCACAGCATTATAATGAAAAAGTATGAATCTATTAAAAGGTATCGACTTGATTGTAGCATCTATTAAAGAACCATAACTATCAGTATCTTTTCATAAGTTTAGAGGTACTGCCCTTTGCAGGTTTTCATGCTTATATAAGCACAAGAACTATTGGGAGGTGTCAACTGTATAGATTGGCAGATGGCACAGAGGAGAAGCAACATTGTTGCATATTTTTGAAGTTAATACCCTTCATATTTTATCATAATTATTGTTATGGGAATAACTCAGAAGGTACTGGATTACTTGAAACTTCACAAATAAATAGATCTCGCGGAGTTGTGCAGTGCTGAAGAACCATAACTGTACATGTATACAATTAAATTTAAAAGCTGGGCAAATCAATTCTACAAATAACAGGAGTAGACTTAAAAAATCGGACATGGTGTTCTTAAAATACAAAACAAATGTAATAATGTTTTGATGTATACTCAGCAGAAATAAAAAGTACATACTCTATATTTCCTAATATTTTTTTAGCTCACCTGTCACAAAGTGACAGGGTGAGCTTTTGTGATCGCTTTTCGTCCGGCGTCCGTAAACTTTTACTTTAAATGACAACACCTCATAAACCGCTGAGCCAATTTCATCCAAACTTTACAGGAATGTTCCATTGGTGGTCACCTTTAAAAATTGTTCAAAGAATTTTATTCCATGCAGAACTCTTGTTGCCATGGCAACCGATAAAAAAACTTAAAATATCTTCTTTAAAAAAATCCAAAGAGGTAGAGCTTAGATATTTGGCATGAACATCTTCTAGTGAGTGTCTATCAAGTTTGTTCAAATAAAAGCCCTGGGGTCAAAATTGGCCCTGCCCCGGGGGTCATTGTTTTCCCCCTATATGCATATAGTAAAAACTTAAAACATCTTCTTTGAAAGAACCCAAAAAGCTAGAGCTAAGATATTTAGCATGAAACATCTTCTAATGGGTGTCTACCAAGTTTGTTCAAATAAAAGCCCTGGGGTCAAAATTGGCCCGCCCCAGGGGGATGATTTTCCCTATATGCATATAGTAAAAACTTATAAAATCTTCTTTTAAAGAACCCAAAGAGCTAGAGCTAAGATATTTAGCATGAAACATGTTCTAATGGGTGTCTACCAAATTTGTTCAAACTAGAGCCCTGGGGTCAAAATTGGCCCTGCCCGGGGGGTCATTGATTTTATTTCTGTGTATAGCAAAAACTTAAAAAATCTTCTTTGAAAAAACCCAAATAGGTAGAGTTAAGATATTAAGCATGAAACATCTTCCAGTTAGTGTCTACAAAGTTTGTTCAAATAAAAGCCCTAGGGTCAAAATTGGCCCTGCCCTGGGGGACATTGATTTTCCTAATATGTGTATAGCAAAAACTTAAAAATCTTCTTTGAAAGAAACCAAATAGCTAGAGTTTAGATATTAAGCATGAAACATCTTCTAGTGAGTGTCTTCAAAGTTTGTTTAAAAAAAGCCCTGGGGGAAAAACTGGCCCCCGCCCTAGGGGTGTCATTGCTTTGAACTATATGTGTATAGTTAAAACTTAAAAAATCTTCTTTTTTTTAAAACTCAACGAGCTAGACCTTAGATGTTTAGCATGAAACATCTTGTAATAGGTGTGTACCAAGTTTGTTCAAATAAAAGCCCTGGGGTTTAAACTGGCCCAACTCTGGGGGCCTATATACAGGTGAGCGACTTCAGGGCCATCATGGCCCTCTTGTTTATTATTTTGTTAACACAAACCCAGCTAAGGTATATGGCGACGTTTCGGACATGATGTTATTAAAATACAAAACAAATGTAATAATGTTTTAATGTATACTCAGCCGAAATAAAAAGTACATACTCCATATATGATCGCATAATCGTTGGTTTATGTGTAGACCGAATTTTACACGCAGGAAACCATGCGTTTCTGTAAAAAAAGTCGTTTTGCACGTGCGCTACGTGCGTCACATATCCATGTCCGGTGTCGGTATCAGACTACACAGAATTGTTCACAAAACGTGTCACAGCTGATAAAAAACTGTGTTTAAACAAGTGGAAGAAAATGCCAAAGCTAAATAATGAGGAACAAAACCAAACTATTGGGATGATAAATGCAGCCATGTCAGCAACCGCTGTATCCCGGCACTTTGGTTGTACTCGAAAAGACTATCTAGCGTTTACGGAGACGATTCGCAGGAAACGTTGCCGACCGTCCTCGAAGTAGTAGGTCACGTGTGACCGCTGCTGCCGATGATCGCTATATTGTCTTGTAGCACCTACATAACAGGCGTCTAACTGCAGCAGCAACCGGGTGACAGCATGGTATTCATCCACAGACAGTCTGAAATCTGTTGAGACAGAACGTTCAGCCTATGTGTACTGACTATACTTCGGTCAAATTCTCACTCGACGTCATCGAACTGCTAAGCTGTATTGATCCCGTCGTCGCCTTTGCTTCTGACGTGCTTTTGTTTTCCGACGAAAGTCAGTTTAATCTTAGCCATGCCGGTGCGTGCGTCATTGAGCGGGACCGTTTCAGAGGTGGTTCAGTCTTAGTGTGGGGTAGGATAATGGGAGGTAACAAGACAAGGTTAATGGTTATTAACAGAAACTGTAATGATCAGACTTATAAAATGATGTTCTTGCTGTGTAAGCTCTTCCTTTCATTCAGTTGAATGGTCCAAATGTCACCTTTATGCACGATAATGTCAGTCCACATTCAGCAGCAATAACCAGGCAGTTTTAGCAATAATGTTAATGTCTAGGACTGGATTGCGAATTATCTCGACCTTTATCCCATTGAACACATTTGGGACGAGTTAGGGAGCCGTGCTCGAAGAAATCGTGCAATACACATTGTTAATGACCTTGCAGTGTACTTACAAGCTAAGTGGGTCAATTTACACAGCGTTACGTCAACAGCAGTCACCGCCGTATCACAACGTGCATATCACAAAATGGTGGACACATGCGATACTGACACATTTCATTAAATCTTTAAACTCTTTTTGTCGGTTGATAACTCTGAAATCAATTTAAACTAATCATGTAATGCAGTTGAGTCTTACAAAATTTTGGAAATTGACCCCAATGTGATATCACTCGATTTTTTTCAATGCAAGAATTATAGCAGCGACTTCAAATTTTCAAAGCACGTCAACAAAGAATGATTCTTAATTACAGACTGAAGAAATAATCATAATTCACGATAATTCAAAATACCTAGATAGAAATATACGATGGGTACCTTTTATTTTGGCTGAGTATAGTTATATATACAGCAAAGTTTGTTTCTGTTTATAAATTTATTGAACTAAAGCAGTTATAAACATGCACACATGCAATTAAAAACAAGAAAAAGTGTAACAATGCATGAAATAATCTACATATGAGAAAAGAAAAGAATGACACGAATTTAACTTTGTACTGAATGAATCAAAGACAATATACATGTTAATAATTGGAATGATCATATGAATATTTACAAATATTTATATAAAAATGTTATTAGATTTAGCACATACTTACTAAGGGAGGAAATACAAATTACATGCAGCAGGTGGATAAGTCTTTGTTCATATACAAATTTTATTCAGATGCAATACATAATAAGACGATATTGAATGAGTGTAAGTTCAAAACTGAATTTATTGAACGAGTTGAATATAATTAAATGCAAGCCTTTGGCGAGCATAATATATATTATTTTATTCAACGAGTTCGATAAATTCAGTAATGAACCTTCAGAATATAAAATTCTATTTATTACATACCAAAATAAAGTGAAAAAGAATCATTTTATGGCACTATAGTGTAACGCTAACATTTATCTTTGCACTATATTTGTATAAGCCAAATTACATGTCAAAATACCCCGGTACATGTACAGTCGTGCAATATCATTTTACAGAGCCGCAAAAGCAGCACGGGTATGTCATAAAAAGTAATATCTCCACGGACAGTTAATTTAAGGTAAAAACAGAAAGCCAATAAGGCAGGTTAGACTTAAGTTAAATTGCTATAATAAAAAAGAAATGTTCACATTAACCCATTTCACTCATATTGTTGGCTTAACAAACGTTCAAAAACAAAAACAAAACTAGTAAATACATATTAAATAGAATGTTTATAATTGTCATATTATAGTTTTATCGTTAAACAAAAAATGATAAAATTAATTAACAGGTTGATTTAACTTTTCTTAAAAGTGGTCTTTATTATTTTGTAAGCATGGCAATGTAACTACGTGTAGTAGATGGGAAAATGATGGCATTAATTTCACACTTTGTGAAGCTAAACCGATGAACTTCCAGAGTTTACACAGGAGATCTTCCAATATCAATCTTGGATATAATGTTTTGTCAAAGTGGTGTGAAATAATAAGTTATATATTATAATACATTGTTTAGTGTAAAAATTATTATACAAGACCCGTACACAGCTTCAAAACTTATATTGGACTCAGTTAGCGCCTCGTTCAATATAGGTTTTTAATATGTGTATTTGACCAATAGAATGCAATATTGTACTCAAAATGTATAGAACTACTTCCATAGTACTCGGATTTTGAAAACAAAACTTGAACTTATTGCTAAAAAGACAAACACAAGGTGAAAAAAATGGAGGAGGAACGTGAAATGCTATTCGTCTGACTGTTTCTTAATAATCATCATATAAACGATAAAACCGGAAGAAGTCCACGACGTCAGCCAACTAAGGATTTGTAAGGCGCTGGCAGCATGTAAGTCGTAGTCGTCATTGCGTACTCTTGCAACATACACTGCAAGTCCGAGCATAGAGAAAAATCCTGAAATATACGAAACTTGTTTGATAAAACCATTTTTTTTGGTTAAAAGTATAGATGTGAAGTCTAACATACATTTAATAATATAATGATATTGTGACCAGTCCACTATATGTTTGACCGCTGTGTACACCGTTTAGTGGAAGCCGGTATTGAACTCAACAATGTATAACAACCTCATTATGTATCACACCCTTTCTAGATAGAAACGACTTTCGGAGACTCTCCACTATGCTAATGTTAAAACCCTTATTGGGAACTTAAATATTGCACTTTGGTCACGCCAAAATGTCTGTTTCATGTGTGTCTTAACCCCAGCACCGCACCAGTACGGACTGGGGAAGCAGAAATAAATAGACTGCCACATTCTCCCGTATGATGTAATGTCTTCATAAACAGATGTTTTTATATTTGTTTATAATGTCTAAGAAAACAAAGTTCTTATCTAGGAAAATATTTAATAAATCTGCCACGACAGTCGACGACATTGGACCTTTAAAAAAGTTATAGATGCCTTTGATAACTTGTTCATACCATAATTCTCCAATAAACCAGAAATTATTTAGATTGAATCGTGCATGGAGTAAGACCACGGGGGAGGAAGTGTTACACGAAGGATGGAGTTCTTATGATAACTTGTTTGGAGTTCTTATGATAACTGTCACGGAGTTCCTGGAAAACGTTACGGATTTCTGTGGAAAACTTTTCTATATACTTGGAGAACTCGCGTAAATAATGGTTATTTTTAACTTTAAATGGGGAGTTTGAGGTGCTAAATTAAACTTTGATAATTAAGCTTGCCCTACATATTGACTTATGTTTCAGAAAAAATCTTTGAGTCCATATTTCGTCGCCGTTTAAAAAAAAATCTGGTTGTTTTGAGAAAAGTTACCAAATTACTTGCTAATTCGTACATATTGACCTTTTCATTTGTGATCTTCTTCGTTGCTATACATAATCACCTAATTATAGCGGAGAGTTGCAAACATAAAGCCCGGGCTAATAAATGTATACCCGATTTTTCTAATGTTACGGAGTTCTTGTGATAACTCAAAATATGTCCCGGAGTTCTTATGATAACTTTTGTTACTGCCAGTGTGTTTCTTGTGCTTAATTACGGCACATTTAAGCGTATTTTATTAGTCAATAAGTGTATAAATCATAATGAAGCATAGTACGCTTATCAGTTGCACAAAAATTTGGTTATATAACGTTGGTTTTGATCGTGTTTTAGTTCCTAATTAAATTTGTGCGAAATCATATTGACATTATAAAACCCAACGAATGCACTTAATGTTTCTGTGTATACTGTTCGTCAACAAAAGTTTTATGTCATAAGTTTCCGCAAATGCAACATTGAGGCCATGTGGCAAAATTAAAACACGATCATTCAATATATCTGGAGAAGACATGAAACTGCTTTGGTGCACAGTCTATATAGGATAAACAGGTGCTAAGCTATCTTCAGGAACGACCGCCTCCGTGGTCGAGGGGTTTGAATCCAGTTACCTCTTTGACGTGGGTTCGATCCCCGGGAGATGCTTTGGTAGTTTAGCACGGAGGAAGGTAGCCTAGTACTGGTGTAACTCTCCAGGAACGATGGTTAGGAAACTACCCGCCCATATGACTGAAATACTGTTGGGAAAAGGTGTAAAATGAAACAAACAAACAAAAATCTTCAGGAAAACCTGAATCAGCGGTCACCTGTATTCAGCAGTAACATGGCTTAAACCGCCAAGGAAAAATTGTTTAAAACTTACCATTTTTCTCAGTTACATGTTTTAAGCAACCGCCTTTCTGAAGCAGACAATAAGTAGTTGGGCTCAAAAGCGGCTAAGTAAATTGTATCATAATATACCCTGTATCGTATGTAACCGGGATACCCTTCACACCCATGCACCCGAAATGTATGATCTTTTTATGCATAAAAAATCAACCGATTACTACCGATCTCTTCGACAGATTTGCACGTGCCCTACGGGTTCGAGCGAAAGAAGTTCGACAATATATTTTTGTAAATCAGTTACAGCAAAAGTTGTTGCAAAATTTCCACAACTAGGACTCCAACTTTGATAAGAAAAATGTATGCAGTAATTTTCCGAAATATGGAGATTGCTGTACGTCACGTGATGCTACATTGGATTTAATAGAGAAAGGAACAGGGTCGATAAACGGCATGAACCTTACGGTGACTCACATATCTTATTGAAGACTTACTTTCTATCGTCATATCATTGTCATAGAACTTTATACGTTTCTATGACAAAAAACTGATACCTTTTAGAAATTGTTCTAAATGTTCTCTAAAACTGCCAGGAATAATGTATACTAGTATATGACGAAATCATGCTTGAGTATTAAATTCAAAGCGTCTTTTTATCCTGTAAGTAAATGCTCTACATCAAGTATGTTTACAGTCATTCCAATAAAATAAAAAACACACACACACAAAAAGACCAAAACAAACACAAAAAAACACAAGAAACGGAGGTAAGAAAAATATCTATTGAACTGAAAAACACGATCAAAACCAACGTTATATAACCAAATTTTTGTGCAAATGATAAGCGTATTATGCTTCATAATGATTTACACACTTATTGACTAATAAAATACGCTTAAACGTGCCGTGATTAAGCACAAAAACATACTGGCAGTAACAAAAGTTATCATAAGAACTCCAGGACATATTTTGAGTTATCGCAAGAACTCCGTAACATTTGAAAAATCGGGTATAAATTTATTAGCCTTGGCTTTATGTTTGCAACTCTCCATAATAATTAGGTGATTATGTATAGCAACGAAGAAGATCACAAATGAAAAGGTCAATATGTACGAATTAGCAAGTAATTTGGTAATTTTTCTCAAAACTACCAGATTTTTTTAAAAAAGGCGACAAAATATGGACTCAAAGATTTTTTCTGAAACAAAATACAATATGTAGGGCAAGCTTAATTATCAAAGTTAAATTTAGCACCTCAAACTCCCCATTTAAAGTTAAAAATAACCATTATTTACGCGAGTTCTCAAAGTATATAGAAAAGTTTTCCACAGAAATCCGTAACGTTTTCCTGGAACTCCGTGACAGTTATCATAAGAACTCCAAACAAGTTATCATAAGAACTCCATCCTTCGTGTAACACTTCCTCCCCCGTGAAGACTTTTGAAACAGATCAACAGTTCATTATTCCAGTCACAAACGGGAAGAATGCCCGGATGTTGTTTTTTTAACGATATTTAATCTTTATTATATATATAGGTCGTATCAAGCTACATTTTATTTTTAAAAAAAGGTTTATTACAAAAAAGGTATAAGTTTTAGGTTATAAAAACTGATCAAACCTTGCCAAGTAACTAGTGGTATTAGCAAGTGTGGCTTCTCAGAAAACTTCCAAGAAAAACGCTTTCAATGATAATAACGTTTCATCTTTATGTATTTGTTAACCCTTAACCTGATGCTGAATGTGGATTTACCTTACTTTGTATTTGGAACAGTTTGTTCAAAGTATCAAATATCAAAATATAAAAAATGCGCCACCAACAGGACAGTAGTCAGGCCAAGCTCTATATTGATGACAAAGACTAATTATTTTAAGTTCCAGCAGCTTAATTAAGGGTGAGAATGCCCTACCTGATGCAACCCCGCAAACAGCAGCTGCGTAATGAAACGGATAATTCTTCTTAAATTTTACCACAAACACAACAAGCACAGTACATAGAATGCCAGCTATCTCCAGGATCACAGATATAATCACAAAAGCACGTGTTGCGCGGATGTCTGTTGCTCCACTTCCGGTCGCTGAAAAAGGAAACAAATACGCAACAAATTATTTTTGACATTGATGGGGATGCAATGATTATGTCTAATTCTGGTGTTACGGAACTGCTTTTTTTGTATCAGATATCATGAACTTTAGTGGATCACATGTAAAGTAATTACAATGTATATATTTAATTAGATCGGGAGACATTTGTATCAGCTACACATGTACAATCACCACACCCGATCCAAGGAAATCTGGTAGTAATCAGCGGCTCGGAGCTTCATTTTGTTGGGTTAGGGTCGATTTTCCCCGACTTGCCCCATCAAACATATTTTTAAGACGCTAAAATCGGTACTAGTCTTTGAAATTAAAGGCATTCAAGGGAATGGACCATTTCTTATTTTTCTCTCTAAGTCGAAAAGACCGCGTATTTTTAAACTGTTTTTGGATCGAAAATCTCTTTCCATCCCTTTCCTCTACGTGAATTGTATAACTGAATTTGCATCACTTTGGCTCGAAATTCCACTTCGTGGATCCCCCACGAAGTGGAATTTCAAGCCTTTGGTCCGTTATTGCAGTATCTCCATTGAACATGAACCTGCTAACTTTTTAAGACGCTTTTGTAAAAATTGAACAAGGGAATAAAACGTAAGAATTTTGTTACCTATGTCCACAGGGTCCCCGCACACGTCTATGAGCGCCGTAGTATCCGGTATATAATCAATACAGTATCTCCATAACCCGTGATTGGAAATCGTCTGCTGGTCTCCTAATGTAATATCATAGTACTGCCAGTACGGCAGCCCTAACGCCAGGCACGTGCAAATGAAAGCAAATCCAAAAGTTCCTAGAGCAGCGTACCCGAGTAAATTGGTACTAAATAAAATTGGCTGTTTCATGTTGTCTGGACACTGTATTCCGATTTCGATTTAAATATCTAATTTCATCACGAAAATTTCTTGTTCTGGTACTTAACAAACAAATATTTTTCCCGTCCAAATTACATTTCACTTTTCTTTAAAACAACGGTGTAATTTCCATTTGCTTTTGGTAAAACAACAGTTTCAAGTATATATAAAAACCACCGCAAAATCAATTCCGACTATATGAAGATTTCTAATTTTTCTCAAGTCAAAATACATTTCCACATTAATTTTCACATATTTGGACATATGTAAATATAAATTCAATCAATTAAAAGGGTGGTCGTTAGTAACAAGATCCCGTGTATCTATTACAAAATCAAACAGTTGACTATCAGTGCGTACAGAAATAAGCATATCTTCTTTTGTTTTAATTCACAGACCGCAGTACAGAAGAAAGTATTCGTTTCTATAATCTTAACATATATAACAAGCCAAAACGATTGAAAGGAAAATAAGGGAAACGACGACAGAAAAATAAGAAAAACAAAACAATACACAGTTAAAAAATAAGTTGATAAGTAACAACATATACTTTTTATAAAAAGATTATACAGTCAGCCTTGTAAAACAATGAAATTATTAATGAAAAAGCTAATAATTATGTTAGAATTAGAAAATGGAAGGATCCAGCGCATGCGTGTTACTTCTTTTTCAATGATTGCATTGCTTTCTTAATACATTTCATTCTTTTTTATTATATAATTCATATTATAAAATTTGATAAATACTACATGATAATTCTACCATTTCCATGACCGCCTAACTTACAGCTTTGCCCCTGTCCGTTAAACCAGCTGTCTGCACGAACCCAAGTGACAATGTGGGGTGAATACCCGTGTCCATTTCGTACAGACTCTACTTGTGGGGGGAAACGGTTGCTTAATCAAAGGTATAACCCCATTACGTCAACTCGGGGAAAAAATCGTCCGTCATTTGACTAACAAAATGGTGGAATCAATGTGGGTCCTTTGAACAAATTCTAGTTTATTTTTTTAAGTATTGAAAGCATAACAATAATTTGTACGAGTTTACTTGTAAGTTTGAAAAAAAAATGAAATGTTTATATTTGGTTGGACAAATCATATAGAACGTATATGTAACACTCACTTTGTGTGTAGTGATGAGTGAATTGCGTTCACATCTGTGTAAGTAGCGCTTATAGTGAATTATGATCACTAAATGTGTAGGTAGCGCTGACTGAATAAAGTTCTATAGCTGTGTGAGTAGTGCAAAGTGAATTACTTTAGCAAGATGTGCGGTAGTGTCACAATGTCTGTATTCTCAACTGATCTACCATTAATCACACTTTGTTATAATGTTCGGATTTTAACTTAAAGATTGTGTTAATTACTTTGAATCAACAGAATACTTCTATTTTGGTTCTGTTAACTTTCACAACATTCATTAGACAACAGAAAGGCACAGTTCTTCGTCAAATACTGTGATGCTGCTCTACCTGCTATACACTGTATGTGAAAGAGTAACAAATAATGTCTTGCAATCTTCAATGTATTTTATTTTCATTAAATAAATATAATATTAACAGCAAGAAATACCTCCTTAATACAGCCAGTTTTTACAATGCAATGAATATATAAACATATTTATGTTAAAAAAATTACTGACAAATGATGAAAAAATTACTGACAAATAGCGAAATTTGCTGACAAACAGTGAAAATAATTGTCAAATACATTGAAATGTTCTGGCAAATCAAATAGTGAAATTAACTGACAGTTAAAATCAAAAATTATTAACAAACAGCCAAAATTCAGACATGAAACTTAGGCATTTAAGTCATACTGTGAAAATAACCAGAACTCAGCTATATTTTCATAATAGACTCGTCCGGCAATAAATTTGGACCAGTCCATTTTTTGATACAATGGATTTCAAAGTGGAAAAAAGCTACAACTAAGCATCATACAGAATAGAATAGAGAAAAAAAAACAGAATCCTTGAGGGATGGCCAAAATGGCAAAATTGAAACTTTTGCAGACTTAGTTTTATTGAGCCTGTTCATGGATGGTAAAGGCTAGTAGTCATCATACTTGTGGCCTAAGTTGAGTAATTTTTGTAGCCAGTGTTGAAAGTTTACAGACACATGTCGCCTTAATAAAGCGGTGTCGGTCAGCACATCCCTGTAGTTTGAATAAGTTTTATACAGCTGGCTGCTCTTTTTTGTATTATTATTTTCCTACTGAAATTCCTTGAGTCTTTAATGAACTTTTCCATCTTTAAAGGCAGGCAAGTCCATTAGATAAATTCAGTAGGGTTAAGGTTAAAGCTTCTGTCTGTCTAAAATCATAAGAATTTCGGTGGCTTTCTTCAATATTACCCCAAGAAAAAACAATTGTATGAAACAAAACACTGAAATGTCTTTACTTAATCCTGAAAAATATCAAATTCAATAAACTGTTTGTATTGAAGTTATGGCACCAACTAACCAAAATTGCATTAGAATGAGAAACTAAGCTGAAAGGCCATAATCTTAACATTGTAAAAATTTGCACAGAATAAATGGTCAGTGTCTAACATACTCAAACATAATTATATAGAAATAAAATAAAAACATTTCCGTCCTTGTCATGTACATGGATTTAACATAAGAGTTATGTATATCTTAAAGCATGAAATTCAAAGGTTGATCATTAATCAAATGTGATGCGATACAGTAATTACAGAACAACCTCTACAAAACAACACCCTTTGACAAGCATTTTGGTTGTTGCTGAGAGATGTTTGCTCAAAAGAGGTTAAATTCATTGTGAAATCTTACTTTAATAAAAATTGACACCTATGTTGTAATGAGGATATTGATCCATTAAGGGTCACTCTGTAGAGGTTACACTGTATATCTATAAAATAAATGACAGTTTATACAAATAATGTATTGGCAGTTTGGTGTGAAAGGGCCGTTACTACTTCTTTATTAAATATGAGTTACATACCTTGCACACCAAGCCCTCGGTATGACACATCTACATAACTGTACATATATCTTCTCTTAACAAGAGCTGTCGGAGAATACAGTGTACTCAACTAATTTGATAATACATTTAAAATAGTAATTTTCAGCAAAAACCTGTAAGCATGCCAAACCCTAAACAGGCAGTTTCATGTATTTCATATAAAACTGCTTAAATTCTAACCTCTCACGAGTCACAAACTTGAAAGAAGCACTATAACTTGGATACAATTGTATAAACACTGTGATTTTAAATCATAGATAATACAAAACTCAGTATAAGAACACAGGCACTATGACACATTATTGAAACTCCAAAGTAGCATTAACTATAATGCACACCCAAAATACAAAAAAATAGCTCTATAGTTGTAAAGCCTCTTACTATATAATAAATAATAACTTATAAATATGCATATGTTTACTTAATGTCAACATCATACCCCAAATGAATTTTTCTACATAAAATCTAATTTAAACCCACAATATCAACATTCAAATCACAAAAATGCTTCATACATTTTTCTCTATAAAATCAGACAAGCTTAATATGTTAATACATGTACACAATGTACCAGTTTTGCAGTCAACACATCAGTCTCACACTGGTAATCTAAGGACCACTAACTGTGTGGGTTCAATCCCCTTCACGAGCAAGCTGTTGTTTCCTTTAAGCAAGAAACGTAACACTTATTGCTTAGTCTTGGTTGGTTCCAGGAATGAATTCAAGAGTTTACAGCTTTCTACACACTCAAATTATGATTCAAATAAATTCTGCATAAACTTATAACTATTAATACACAACGTTTCAATTTCATTTTCATTCAAGGCAAAGGAGCAATTTAAACAAATGGGAGTTCTTGAGTCACAATATATTTCTGAATTCATCTGTAATTTAATATTAAAGTTTAATAAGAAACCTGTTTTTAAATCAATTCTAAAAAGTACTGAAATTGACCATTTACAATAAGGCATGAAGACATTTTAATCATTGTTACACTTTACAGCCTAAAAATACATAAGTTACATGACTTATCAAACAAGAAAGAGTGAACTGTTTTAGACACCTATCTTAATGCTAATACATTGCTCCAATTTTTTATAACTTAGCTTGCAAAATAAGCACACAAATATCAGTAAGATATGAAAAAAAAGTGTAAATATCATAAAAAAATTTCCAAACATGAAGAGTAGTAATGATATTGATTTATCAAAAGGCAATAAATACCATAACAAATATATTGTGCAAACAAAAGTGTGATGTAATAATTCTTCCCAATGTTATCATTCTTACATAGTACATACATGTATTTACAAGTGATAATAATGGTTAAGATACAAAACAGAGAGATGTTGATAATGGACTCAATCAAATGACAATGAAATATGTATTAAAATCCACACAATACAAAATTTACAATGATTCTAAATTGTATGGCCAAATTAACATTTTCTGACAGTCCTTATAATAATAACAAGACCTATCAGATTTTTTGCATATTTTGACCTCTTTATGGAAATTTACATGGGTTGTAAGTGCCATTGATAATGTGTAAATTGCATTCTTTTGGTAATTTCACAATATTATACTGTTAAATACATTCTCAAATTTTCATGAAAATTAGCATGAATCTGGAAGCGTGCTGCTTTAAACCAAGAAATAACTGATTTAACAACCTGATAAATTCAGTAAAAAAAATTACCCTGCTAGAGATGTTGGTCTTTATTGTAAAATATTATAATCATCACCAACACAGTTGTAAAATTTTACTTTTGTGACTTATTATGTGATTAATGGATATACAGTTCTTCATGAAAAAAAAAAAACAACATTAACCATGCACAGTCATACATGTGAACAAAGACCATCCAAGGGAGGGACTGACTGGCCTTTATATACAAGTGGTCTTTATAACAGGGTAAGTCGGACAGGCAGACTATTTCTCAAATAGTTCAGCTAAGAAATTCTGAAAGTTTCCCAACTTTATATATTAATGACAATTCATAAAATAGTTTTTAACATTAAACAATATTTCAAAGCATTGCACAGTAATTTTATACATGTATTGTAAAAACATTTTTTTTTCAATTTTTTTTTCTTTTGAATGTTTAAATCTGATTTTTCATTTAATAACTTCATTTTCATTTTAATATAACCTTTACGAAGCTGGAACTGAAAATGATTAGCCTATACATGTACTACTAGTAGAGCGAGGCCAGAGATATGTTAAGTCTGACCAGGTTCTATATACTGTTTGTTGGCTGCTCAACTTAAATTCTTTATATCTCAATATCCCAAAAAATCATAAATGAACTGTTAAAATAATGGAAGCTGGGCAGGTCCATTTGTAAAAATTCAGCAGATGAAAATCTCATGATTCTGAAATTTAATCCTGGCTTACATGAGCATGAAAGTCCTTTTCTAAACAATTGTTACTGTTTAGAGTATTGAATTTCAAATTCTTCCTTACAACCATTCATCTTTAACTACACAGCATCATTCGCAAACAAAACATTCACACTTCTTTTTATTCAGATCACAGTTAAAGTTTTCCTTTCAAACACTGTTATTTCAAAAACAGTACATAAACAGCCATTAAAGTACATGTGAGTGCCACTGGAATATGTAATCTAGTCCCAATCACTGATGCTGAAATGTAAAATAAGACATACATGTATATTCAAATGTATATTTAATAGTTAAGCCTTTCAGCCTACCTACTGTAACAACTATCAATCTACCTGATTGTTAAATTATGTGTTTTGAAGCAATATTACACCTAACAGATTAATATTCCAAGTTAAAACTTACTTTTGCCTTCTGATTTCAAAATGTAAAGACCAAAGTACACATGGCCTTTTACTTGAAATTGGTATCAAATATGTATACAATCAATCTCATTACAGGGTTCTCTCCAGTTGTTGAGGCAAGACTATAATGCCTATTCTTTGAAAATTGCAAAAACTTAAAGAGCTCAGTAATGAAAAGCACTTGGCGTAACGGTAAACTTTAACATTTAGTTTTCATCAAGTTAATAATCAGCGATTACTGTAAACAGCTGGTAAAAAATGATAGCAAAACATCACTTTTCTTATATTAAAGAGTTTGAAAGTTTAGTACCTTTATAGAACACTCCAAGGAAGCCTTTCTTTTCTGACAAGAACCACTGTTTCAATCGTGGAACACGTCTCATATAAGCACAGGTACAAATTACCAACATGCTGAAAATCAGCACCCCGTCAAAGGAATAAGCTGCAAAACATGTAACATGCATTGAATAACATGATCATATAAAACCTTTCCATCCAAGGCTAGAACTTATAGAAAGGAAAATTTACAGTGTACAAAGTTTTCACCATCAACAAAAGCCTGAAAATGAAGCAGGTCTGTGGGTACAAATGGTCTTTCAGAATGATGGAGTATTTCTAAAGCAAAACTAGGACTCTGAGAGTCGGATATGTCGCCTTGTGAACAGTATAGCTGTCACAATATGTCGCCTTGTAAACAGTATAGCTGTCACTTCTAAAGGCATTTTCTTCTTAAGTATAGGCTCTTTATAGGCACTGTTTTTACAATGTACCAGTAACTTTTGTGGCTTTTGAACTGCTTGTAGCAATGTTACATCAGCCTCATCAGGATTAATAAACCTGTTATTTATACTTTTGATTATATAACAGGTTTACACTGACAGATCAAATTGAGGACTCTGTGAGATGCATTGCACTTCAGGTCAATGAAAAAAGCTTACATACCAAATTTGGAGTCAATCAAACTTATAGTGATCAAGTTATGCTCTGGACAAGCCTATTAAGTAAGTAAATTAACAAACAGCAATAACTCAAAAATTATAAAAGTGCAGAGTAACAGTTCTTGTGCACTGCACTTCTTCTCAATAAGATCTACCATCTTATGAAGTTTCAAGTCCATAGCTTTTATAATTAAGAAAAATTGGCCTGGACTAAAATAAAGTAAGAAAATTAACAAAGGGCAATAACTCAAAAAATAAGATGTGAAGAGAGTACTGCTTCTTGTTCATTGAACTTCTTCTCATTAAGATCTATCATCCTATGAAGCTTCAAGTCCGTAGCTTTTATACATTTCATGTAATTTAGGAGAAATGGCCCAGACAAAAATAAAGTATGAAAATTAACAAAGGGCAATAAGTTGAATAACTCAAAAAATGAAAAATGCAGTGCACCAGTTCTTGTGCAATGCACTTCTTCTTAATGAGATCTATCATCCCTTGAAGTTTCAAGTCCAAAGCTTTTGTAGTTTATGAGAAATGGCCTGGACAAGAATAAAGTATGAAAATTAACTCAGGGCAATAGCTAAAAAATTAAGAAGTGCAGAGTGACGATTCTTATGCACTGCACTTTAGGTCATTGAAAGAAGCATGCATGCCAAGTTTAGAGTCAATTCAACTTATAGTGACTGAGTTATGCTCTGGACAAGCCTAAGGGGACACCACCACAGCTGCCGACACTGACGACAAAAGTAACCCCTATGTGTGGCCTTTTTCAAGGCAACACAAAAAATAGAGTGTAGTAGAATCACAGGGTTTCACATGGATGGATGGAAGGAAGGATAGATAGATTCACAATAATTATCTTTGTTAATGCCGTAAACAATGATAGTAGATCTAGCACTAGTTTTAGAAGTTAATACCGAGGTATCTGATCTTTTCAAATTTGAAGAAAAATAATCCTGTCTCATGACAATAGAGCTATTCTTTGAAAACTAGCAATAACTTTACAATGTAACTAAGCAAAAAAAAATCATGTCGCGAAAACCAATTACAAATAGGATGATCATACAGTCATAAGATATCAATAGGAACTGATTAATTTAAGAGTGAAATGTGCTTTCATATTCATACCATTGGTCATACTTTCATTCCCCGGTTAACCATTAGTTAAATAAAAAGTAATTTTGTAGCGTCCAGTTGTCACCGGAAGTGACAAAAAGGTAAAGTTGATTGCAAATTCCCAAATTCCGTTGGAATATGTTCAACCGATCGCAACTTTTCGGCCTCTTCCGTGTTCCGATTGATCGAGCGCTGTCTATAGTTATCCTTTTATTTCGGAAATATCTGGAAAAGGTGTTCCCTCGGAAGCATAAAAAACAGCAAAATTACGTGAAAATTGCAGGCCAGGTTTGAGTCTATACTCGAGGGGTAGGCCTAACGAAAACGCAACATCTCTCACGCCCCCTGGCACCGGCTTGAGCGGTACTTTTTAAAAGTGCTGGACTCAATGATCCCGAAGGACCAGGAAAAATATAAAAACACTGAAGTGAAATACGTACGGGACAACTTTTTACGGCTGCCACACAGCACTTTACACAACTTTTTACGGCTGCCACCTGCTAAATTGCTAAAGTGAGATTTTTGACGAAAGCTAGTGAGCGAAAGTGAGCGAAAATGACTTTTAGAATTTGAATTGTACCGTTTTAATAAAATTTTACAGTAAAATTGCTGTTTGTAGACATATATAAATTAGCAACTAATTATATATATTATAATAAATAACCCAGTAGTCATGATTTAATCGCCATTTATTGGCCTAATTTCTATATATACAAGTTCAGCGATCTTCCTTTCTCTTGCATAGAAAAATACGAAAGTGACTTGTAAAGTATAAAATATAAAGTTTAAATTGACAATGTACTAAATTTGCAGTTTGTGTATTATAAGAAATTAATATTATTTATTTATTAAATTAATCATTATGATGATTTATAGTGTTATACCCCATTTTTTTTTTATTGTTTTTTTTTTCTCATAATTTCTATCTACAATATCAGCGATCTTCCTTTCGCTTACATTGAAAAAAAATGACATGTAAAACAACAAAAAGAAAGATCTCAGAACTTGTGTATAGAAATTTTTCAAACAAATGGTGATTAAATCATCATAATAATTATTTTTGAAAATAAATATTATATATTTCTGATAATATACGTCTGCAAACTGCAATTTTAATATAAATTTCAGTTTAAACTCTATATTTAATATTTTACATGTCACTTTCGTATTTTTCAAAGTAAGCAAAAGGAAGATCTCAGAACTTGTGTAAAGAAATTGTGCAAATAAATGGCGATTAAATCATCATAGTGATTATTTTTGAAAAGAAATATTATAAGTTGCTATAATAATATACGTCTACAAACAGAAAATCCACCGTAAAATTCTATTAAAACGGTACAATTCAAATTTTAAAAGTCACTTTCGCTCACTTTCGCCCTCTTTCGTCAAAAATCTCTTTTTCGTACTTTAGGCATACCGAAATTGCAGGATAACTCTGATCATTCAAGATTAATTTGTTTCAGAAGGACCTAAAATTTCAAGAAAATTACTAGTACTGAGAGGTGATGATTTAAAACTCATATTGGTTAGAACGGGAATTTTAGACTGGTTTCAAACATTGCTTGTTGGCAGAATATTGTTGCCTATAATTGGTATTTGCAACTATAAATTGATATACCGATGTTTGATCCTTTAATAGATAGATTCTTAGTGGAGGGCCCTTCTTTTGAATTTGATGACTGATTATGTTTTGTTGTCAAAAACAAGACTTAGTCTAAATGGTTAATCCGTTGCCTTGTTTTTCAATCAGGTGCCCTAGATATTTACACGGTAGTCATATAAAACATACTGCAAATTCGTTACTGGACAAAACATTTTACTGAGTTATTCCTACAATATATGAAAACATAGTAGCACACAAATTAATTATCCCGTGGCCAACACTATAGTATCTCGTTTGCACCACTTAATTGTCTTGTGCGCACATATGTCACCACTCCCGTGCCACCGTAATTTTGTCTGTAATCATTCCGATGCTTTTATGGAACGATTACATACTGAACTATTGATCTCCTAGTGATAGATGGTCACTTTACTTTTTAAGAAATTCGAAGCTAAGAAATTTGACAGGTTAAGTGTTAAGATATTGCGCAGGAGTTTCCTATTAATGGCGGCAATTTCCCCGTTTGTTAACGAATTTTCATATGTAGCTACATTGATATAATGCGAATGTATGTCTAATAATTAAATGTATCAAATGAATGCATGTCAGGAAAAATAACATGTTAACTAACATGCATTAATGAGTTATAAAATTCGAAAGTGTTATATAAAGTGCAGTTTGATAAAAGTGATCAAGATTATATTCTAAATCAAAGCACTGCAAGCACTGAGGTATACATTTGCTTGACATTATGGCATCCAGTCTTGCATAAGGATTTTTCAGAAAATCATCATAAATTACTGTTCAGGAACAACAGACATTTTATTAAATAACAAGAATTTGTAACAGAAGTACCGACGTCCCCCGGCTCGGGGGAAGTTTTATATGAAGCATAAAATTGTGATATTTCAAAAGATTGAGGTATTGATCTTAGGACTTTTAGTCCAAAATTATGATCAATGCTAGATCTGCAAATGCAACAATAAATTTATTAAAGAAATAAAATGAATGTTAAGCTTTGACCTCTAAGTGTGACCTTGACTTTGGAGGTAGGGGTGCAGGTGCTGTGCATGACATATCGACTTATTATTGTAACCATTTGTACCAAGTATTTTCAAAATCCCTTGAACTATGAAAAAGTTATAGATGGGACACAAAATATACCCTCTAACAGACTATGTTAATCTTTGACCTCCAAGTGTGACCTTGGAGGTAGGGACCCATGTTTTGGGCCTGACATATCGTCTTATTATTGTGATTATTTGTGCAAAGTATTTTTAAAATCCCTTGATCTATGAAAAAGTTATGGACTGGACACAAAATATACCCTATAACAGACTATGTAAATCTTTGACCTCTACATGTGACCTTGACCTTGGAGGTAGGGACACTGGTGTTATGCATGACATGTCATCTTATCATTGTGACTATTTGTGCCAAGTATTTTCAAAATCCCTTGATCTATGAAGAAGTTATGGACGGGACACAAAATATACCATATAACAGACTGTTAACTTTTGACCTCTAAGTGTGACCTCGACCTTGGTGGTAGGGGTGCAGGTGTTGTACTTGACATATCGTCTTATTATTGTGACTATTTGTGCCAAGTTATTTCAAAATCCCTTGAACTATGAAAAAGTTCTAGATCGGATACAATATCTACCCTTTAACAGACTATGTTAACTTTTGACCTTGAAATGTGACTTTGACCTTGGAGGTAGGGATGCAGGTTTTGCGCATGACACATCGTCTTATTATAGTGACTATTTGTGCCAAGTATTTTCAAAATCCTTTGATATTTGAAAAAGTTATGGACCGGACACAAAATATACCCTTTAACAGACTATGTTAATCTTTGACCTCCAAGTGTGACCTTGACCTTGAATTGTTGTTATAAATTTTCAACATCAAGGTTCTTGAAATAGCGATTAACTAATAATTAATTTTTATGAATGTTGAAATGAATTTAATTAGAGAAGAAACGTGCATTTATTGTTGATAAAAAGACTATGATAGATTTACAACCAAAAGAAATCGCGCTTTTTCGGGGCAGCCCGGTTTTGATGGTTGTCAGGTTTTGGTGATCATTTTGCATAAACAACAATAAAATAAAATCTGTTGTCTAAAGTCTCAGAAAATTTTGCACAATGACAGGGAATAAAGTAAAACATGAATTTTGATGAAGAAATAATATATCCCAAACTGTGATTTTATTGCTCAATAACATCACTGTTTGGAGTTCGGATGCGGGGAATTATATCACTATCAGCATTAAAGTATCATTTGTTTATATGTTTAGTTTCTTAGGGTAGGTTAGTCCGAAATACCGTATCTGTTCTTTGTATTCATACTATTGTGTTCGAGGTCCTTATCCAAAGATAAACAGAAAAGACAGAAAAGTCGCGATTGTACCACAACATTATGGCCTATTCAAAATATTAATCAAACAAAATATGGCCATATGAAAGATGCTCGAGCATGCTCTTTTATGCATAAATGTATTTTGTTTTGAGCTTTACACATTATATTTCAAATAATAATTTACAAGATCATCAAGCCTTTATGCCTATACATCCTTTAGAATGCACACCCTTCATTCACCGTCACTGTACCTAAATACAACATAAGCAAGCAGTCATTTGTGGCGGGTTTTTTTTTTTGGTCTTGTGTAGGCATACTTAATAACGCTTTGCAAAATTTTGAAATTATTGATATGTTGCATGATTCACCACAGTAATACTATAATGATAATAACAGATGATTTCTATAAATTTAATTACAGTGTTTAATTTAATAATGAATACTCCTTTTTTCCACAAAAAAACTTTCAACCATAAATTATAAGTTTTTCAATATTGGTCATACGTGCATGTTACACTAATGACTATACTGGTTGGCTTTTGGTATGATATAGTTCATGAAAATGCACTTACGACTGTTTTAATATAAATAACCTCAGTTCTAGGACTGAAGATGTATTGAGCACGACGCCAGGCAAAGAGTTTAATGAAAGTATGTCAAATAAATTTGTAGAACAGAAAGAAAACAGGATTGCTTGTCAAACATGATTTATTTACAATATGAAGGATAAATACATTTATACAGCACAAGTGTGCTTAGCAATGAATGCAGAATTTGTAACAAACATTTAACAAACAAAAAGTGCCAAAATAAAGAAACAACATTTTGTAATTGTAGTAAATATTAATCCAGCTTTCATCACATAGGTGAATAGTCCAAACAAACCTTAGCTACATGTGTCAGTAACAGTTAAATGTAATTTGAGCCGCGTCACGACAAAACCAACATAGTGCGTTTGCGACCAGCACGGATCCAGACCAGCCTGCGCATCCGCGCAGTCTGATCAGGATCCATGCTGTTCGCTTACAGACCCTATAACATTCTTTACTGATAGCGAACAGCATGGATCCTGATCAGACTGCCCGGATGCTCAGGCTGGTCTGGATCCATGCTGGTCGCAAACCCATTATGTTGGTTTTGTCGTGACACGGCTCATTTGTAAATGTGAATTTCTAATAAATAGAAAACAATCAAAAACATGTTTGCACCAAAATTTAAGATGTATATATATTATACAATAAGCTGTTATAGTGAAAAAATATAGACCCCACACTTTCTAACACACATTACGAGGATAGAAATCTATGATTGCACGGAATTCGTGGTATTAACTAGCTTTAAACATACAGATTCAATTTTATATTTCTTCCATGCAAATTTCATTTCCAACAATAAGAATTTGAAACTTTAGCTGCAATGGAAATTCACAATTGTTATTGGCTAGCACTACTAGAATGCATATCTTAAAAGCTCAAAGAATCACATTGTCTCAATAAATGTTAATACGTTCACGTTAATGCATACCAGAAAAAAAGTGCAAAGTCATTAATATTTTAATTTTAATCAAGATTAAACGGGCTTTTTATATGTAATGCAAGTGTTTGTCTCTTAAGACCAGAAATGATCATCTACAAGTAATGAATATATAAACAGCCATTTCACCTGCCATTCATGTATAGCACTTAAATTATATAACAAAAAAGCTATCATATGACATAAAAATAAAAAAAAAATAAAGAAAAACAAATATAGCACAAAACAAACATTCAAAAATGTTAATATTAATATATGTACTAGAAAATATTTCAGTACAGTCTATTCATCATCATTTTTATCATCTTCATCATCAGCACTTTCTTTTGAAATTTCAATCATTGTACGAAACAATATAAATACAAATTATTTGTATAACACAAGAAAAACGAAAAACAAACAATATAAAACAACAGATTGTTCACAAAAAGGGGAGATAATTTTAGCAAATCATAATTATACAAAATGATATTTACATCAGTAACAAAACCATAGACTATTCTTTATGAACTAATAAACACTACCCTGCTTAATTTCTTAAATGGATTCGTCCAGCTTACATTTTTTGGAACTGTTCATTGTTAATCCGGAAAAAAAAATCTAGTCAAGTCAGCCCAGTGTCGAGCCTGTGCAGACAGCATGGATGTGCACGCTGGCCTGGCTCTGTACTGGTGGCATAGCATAGGTTGATCACATTCCCTTTCCGCAGGGTAAGGCTTAATAGTGGAACAGCGGTCTTTTTTTAAACACAAGAATATAATTTCTCTTAGAAATAGACTCTTTTAACTTTCAACATTTTTGACTGAACAATAGGGTATCATGTCTTTACTTACACAAATAAAATGAAACAATGTTTTCTTCACATATAACACAATACTGCTATAGTCTATGTGAATTTATGTGGTCACCACTTTATGTAATAATTTGTCTGATCACCAGCTACAATGGTTACTCAGAAGCAAAAAATATTAACAGAATTAGTTATTCTAAATTTCATTATGTACACAATATAACCAAATATAACCATCTGATTCTCTAACTCTATATACATCTTAATGGGAAGTTAAATGCACATAAATTTTGTCTTTAAAAGCAATTTCATTTCATTTTTGAACTGAAATCATACTGAAAATTCATTAGAAAAGTATCACCATTTTTTTTGGATAAAAAAGATATATTTTTTCTTCTAAATGTGTCAATTTTTATCAGCTTTAGTAACAGCTTCATAAACAATTTTAACAATGTAACCAACCCTAAACAAATCGCAACTAAAGCTGTGAATAATAAAGAGGAAAAAAAAATCACAAAAAGTTCAAAAGTTCATTGTCCCATCACTTCCATCTCACTTTGATGAATTTTACCGCGTTTACAGATCTACCATATATAACAATGTTTGTTTCTTGTACGAGATATCTCAATATCTCCACCACCATGTAGATATTATGCCAAACCAAATCCCTCGGAGCACTCATTTATAGCAAGAAGTAACATGTGTCTTAATTTATCGTAAGTTTCGTAAGCTGGTAAATCAAGCTGGTTGAAGCTGAAAATATATAACAAGATTTATACATGAGAAATTCTTGAATCAAATATGAAATATGAGATATGAAATTTAAAGTAAATTAAACTATACTGCCTACATTACAACATTTTTCACAATAATATAGTTTCTCTGTAGAAGCAAAACAGTCCAGCAAAAACATGTTATCATGGACAATTGGGGCAGTTCATGTCAATACATACCATGTGTGTGCTGCAGGCAGTCTATCAGTGGAACGGTCATCTCTATGAATCTGGAATTTCTGTGTGCCATTCATTCCTTCCAAGTGAGCGAAACCTTGTAGTGGTACCTTAGATGTGCCCGTCACAAACTGAAGGAACCGTGCCCGGTCAGCTTGGTCAAATGATCTCAGAGCGCGCCAGAACCATTGTATCTGTAAAAATATCATAGAAAATGTTCTATACAAATAGAGTTGATATATTGAATGTCTACAGAGACATTAAACTGCTGCAATAATTTTTTTTTTTAATCTGTTCCCAACTGGAGACATTACTTTATAAAACAAGAGGGCCATGATGGCCCTGAGGTCGCTCACCTGTATATAGGCCCCCTGAGCGGGGCCAGTTTAAACCCCAGGGCTTTTATTTGAACAAACTAGGAAGACACCCATAAGAAGTTAAGTTTTTACTACACACATATAATGAAAAACAATGATTTGTCCCCTCCCCCTTCCCCCGGCAGGGCCAATTTCAACCCAAGGGCTTTTATTTGAACAAACTTGGTAGACACCCATAAGATGTTTCATGCTAAACATCTAAGCTGTAGCTCATTGGGTTTTTTAAAAGAAGATTTTTTAAGTTTTTACTATTCACATATAGTTAAAAACAATGACACCCCTTGGGCGGGGCCAGTTTTGACCCCAGGGCTTTTATTTGAACAAACTTTGTAGACACTCACTAGAAGATGTTTCATGCCAAATATCTAAGCTCTAGCTCTTTGGGTTTTTTAAAAGAAGATATTTAAAGTTTTTTCTTTCGGTTGCCATGGCAACCAGAGTTCTGCATGGAATTAAATTCTTTGAACAATTTTTAAAGGTGACCACCAAAGGAACATTCCTGTGAAGTTTGGATGAAATTGGCTCAGTGGTTTATGAGGAGATGTCATTTAAAGTAAAAGTTTACGGACGGACGCCGGACGGACGGACGCCGGACGAAAAGCGATCACAAAAGCTCACCCTGTCACTTTGTGACAGGTGAGCTAAAAAGGAAATGGATCCTTTGTTCAAGGTTTGTTCCTTCATTAAAGTAAAGCTGGAACATTGCCAAATAATCTGTACAACATAACTTTCTCTACATAACTTTTACAATGCCCATGTGACTGTCTTTTCCCAAAAACAAAATGTTGTAACAAAAATTTCAGCTCAAACATTCAAGTAAGACTGTCACATCCAATACAATACAAGAAGTCTATAACATACCTGTAAGGAATTAGACTGGTATTTATGATACTCTGAATTGGACTTCAGATCCTCTATATCAAAAGTGGGCAGTCCCGACAGTAACAATTCTAACTCCTGCTCATTGAAGATGGCGATCAGTTTCTTTGGTATGATGTCGTAGAATCCCTCAAGGAAGGCACTCAGCTGCTGACGTATGGCTCCAGTCATCTTCATCTGACACACGTGTTTAACATATTCGTACTTCGTTTCCTCTGTAACGTTGATGTTACGTCCATTAGGTATCAAATCACGTACCTGGTTGATACCAAACTCCATGATCTGAAGAAAACCAAGTTAACAATTAAATGTCATATTTTTATTTGAAAAGGTTTAATTTTGTTACAAAGTATTTGATTTTTTATGAAAATACCTCAGATTTCCTTTACTCTAAATATACTAAATTCAACTCCTTGCAACTTTCAAGGACTTCAGATATGCACAACTACTGCCCTAACAAGACATCACAGTTCTTAATTATATTCTTAGTTATTAATAATAAACAAACACATATTCAGTAAATGTAAACCTGAGTTTTTGTTGTATTTCAATATATGCTTAGTGTATTGGGTGTTATCTATTTCTTAAAATAAACACATAGACCCCACAATCAGTGCATTATTTTTTTCCCCGTTTATAAAACCATACAATCAACATTTATTAAAATTTACATGACACATCAAACCATAGTTAAAAGTCTATCCAGTTGGACAAATAAACAGAGATAGTGGTTCAAAATGTTATAAACAACCACGTTTATTTATTTGACACCTGTTCTGGTTAAGTAAAAGAGTTGTTTGAATAAAGTCCAAAAATCCATGAAAATTTGGCTAAAAATAAGATTTTATCCTAATAATCATGAACAAACAGTACAGAATGTCACACATCAGACCATGGTTATCATTTTAAATTTACCTCTGTGCTGAATGTGAGATCATATCCCAGATCTTTGACATCATTTTCCAGCAGGAAAACAAGACCCTGGTAGAAGGAGTAGTCTTCTGCCTCCATGTCTGTGTACCTGTATATACAGATATAATTGTATTTTACCATTATAGAAACACAAATCTATCAAAACAAATTATCATACTTGGAAGTTTTCTAATGAAAGTATAGTTATATAACTGAAGACAAACAAACAGATTGATTTTCACTATTTCACACTTCGGGGGTAAGTCTTAATGTTTCATGGATCAAATAATTAGCCAACAAAAAATGTACATACAAATGATTAAATTAAGTCAACAAATTTCAAGTTCAAATCATCTTTCTAATAATACATCAATGCAAATTTAGAAGTTAGGTTAAATTAGTCAATAACAATTCAGTGTTTCAGTTCTTTCACAAATTAAATTACCCCTATCAAGCTATGGTATGTCTTGTGAAAAATACATGTACCTAAAACATAACCATGAATCAAAACTTACTTGACAGCAGCACCAATAATATGTTTGTAGAAAGATCTTGTGAAGTAACAATCCATCAACTTGTTGTCATATATAGCCTTGGCAATAATCCGACCAACAAACTTAAAGTAACTAAGGTGGTTACTGTTACAATGTGACGAGGCATTGATCGTGTACGTGACACGGTCTCCAGGTGACGTGATGAACAAGGCGTACATGGGATTGAAGATTTCACGTGCGATGATGATGTACCATTCTCGTAACAAACCACCGGCATCCTGTCCATCCTCACCTAAATCATACAACAAATAAATACAATAATTTTGAAAACAAATATCTAAATGAAACTTCCCAAATGCAGTAAAATTCTCTAAAATGCATTTCTTTTCATTTTGGCAATAAATTTGAGTGGCAGTGTGTACAACTGGTTAACTAGTCAGAATAGTTTCAAATGACTTATAGCCACATGGGTTCAAACCCCGTTGAGGCAAGCTGTTGTTTATTTGGGCAAGAAACTAAACATTCATTGCTTAGTATTGGTAGGTTCCAGGAACAGATTTGAGAATGGCTTCCAACATAATTGAACTAAAATAAATTCATATAAACTAAACTAAATCTTGATGAAATTACCTAATAAACAAAATAACAATGTATTTTCAGAATTGTACCTTCAAACACAATGTAAAATCTGTGCTTCCATTCATCAGCTGTTTTCCTAAATAATTCCCTAAAGGAATCTTCGAACACGTGTTCTCTACGAACATGTACGGCGAGGTCTTCTCTACGTATGCCTTCATCTAATCTCTCTAGTTCTTGCCGAAAGTAACGTCTCTTTACATCAAAGTCAAGAACACGAGTATGATCTACTAACACTGCAAACGGTCCATCAGCAAGTGGTGTTGTCGACTGTCGTAGAATTTGATTTAAAACGGTACGGTGGGTCTCTGTAAATACACAAATTTTTTTTGTAATAAATACAACAATAAAATACATCATTAATTGTCTACAAGAATAAGGATATAGGTCTGATAAATTCCTACAGGAAATCGAAGCATGGTGCTAACTTCATAGTGTATTAATAGATCACTGTTTCAAAAGTTTTGATCATACATATATAGAACTCATCTTAGATACAGTAGTCTTTGACACAGTCATGCAGTTTTAAGTCTAAACTTTAGGTAGAATACCAAAATTTAGGTACAGTTATAAAGATTTCCTCAGTAGGAGATCTACTCTAAGAAACAAGTTTAAGCTTCACCATAGAATTTTAGGTAAACAAGCATTTGATAGTATTGCGGGCAATACAGTAGTCCCCTACCGGTCCCTCAAAAAGTTCTTTAATTGTCATACACTCCTGTGTATTGCCATTTATAATGAATTTGAGGATGAAGTCTGTATTTGAAAATATCAACCACAAAACATAATAAAATAAGTTTGTCTATATCACAGTAATGTGTTAAGTTTCCATGCTTAGTAAGGAAATTATGTTTATACAACCTTGTCATATTATTACGATGTCGGATTTTAAAGTAAATCCTATAAGGAATGAAGAAGTTGGAGTGAAAATACCAGTTTCTCGAAAAAAATCTAAGTTCAAGGGGGACATAATTCTGGAAATAGTCTTGCTAGAGTATTTAACCTTCTCAAAAATGTTGAGTGATAATAAGAAACATATATATGAAGTTTGAAGTAGATACATTAGGAAATAAAGAAGTTATTTAAAAAAGACAACATTTTTTCCCCTAAAAAATCTAAGTTCAAGGGAGGTAATACTGATATTTTGTGCTAGAGTTATAAACATTGTCACATATGATGCGCTTGATGACCAGAAACTTATATTTAAAGTTTGAAGTAAACACCTTAAGAAATAAAGAACATATTGTGAAAAAGCTGAAAAATTTAAATCAGAAATCTTGAAATTCAGGCTATTTGTTGCCATAGCAACCAGAATTTTCAACATAGGAAGAAAAGAAAAAGATGTGCATAATCTCCAGACTGCCATCTACCCATATTTCAAGTTTCATAAAAATATTTTCAGTACTTTTTGAGTTATCACTGGATCCAGTTTATGTGTTAAATTTGCCATATTTTCAGACTATTTGTTGCCATAGCAACCAGAATTTTCAACATAGGAAGAAAAAAAAAAGACGTGCATAATCTCCATACTGCCATCTATCCATATATCAAGTTTCATAAAAATATTTTCAGTAATTTTTGCGTTATCGCGGGATCCAGTTTTGTGGACGGACGGACTGACGGACTGACAGACGGACAGACAGACGGACGGAGGGTAAACCTAAAGTCCCCTCCGGTTAAACCGGTAGGGGACTAATTACAAAATCTTTGATACTGGATCATGTCTCAATCAGAAGAAACACATTAAGACAATAAGACCATATCCAGTTAAAACTGCACCAAGATGTAATATCTCACCAGCAAACTTGAGGAACTTCTGTGTATCAGGAGGTAGGTTGGACACAGACGTCTGTAATGAATTCTCCCTGTTTAGAGCTGGAACATCGGAGGTTGATGTTGAGGGTGCTGGTTGAGGTGAGGGAGGCATGTCCATGTTGAGATGTGCAAGTTGATCCTCTCTCTTCACTGGCTTATTATCCTTCACCTTGTTCTCTTTCTCACCTAAAACAAGTCAATTTACTTTGAAGCTTCACTTTGCTAAATTTATGCAATGGATTTGCTTTGTTTTAAAACTATAACAGTACACTATGAATTTTAGGGATTTAATATCAAGATAATAAATGTAACAGTTGAGAAATAAACAAAATAATAAAAACATTCACTGCAAAATATACTCCTGATGTATGCAGTCCATATAAATAAATCAACTCGACATTGTTTTTTTTTCTTTTCATTATTAAGCTGGCTTTATAACATGTTGTTATTATCTTATCAACATACTGAGCAAACAGTTTTAAAAGTATGTGCATATTGAGCTTGATATCAATTAGTCTGATTTCCAGTTTTAGATAAGAATTTCATAAATGGGGATAATTCAGTCAAAATCCATGCTACAGGTAGTGACAAACAATTTTGTTTCAAATAAATTATTTTAGTTGTTACTTTACAGAACTTGCATCAAAAAGTTGAAGTACATTTCAGTCAGGCTGCATGCTAGAATTTTTGGCCCTGAAATTTGATTAAGTTATGCCAAAACTAATACTGAAGCCATGGAGAGCATGGTACCTCCTTTGTTATTCATAAATGCATAATAAAATTTAATACATACCAGCATGTACAAGGAAGAATGCCTCTACTGCAGGTTGTAGAATAAGTACAGCATGATGATCTGGTGTTTTATCTAACTCTGTTAAACATTCCCCTAGTGTGAACCACAACTCTTCTAGATCAATCTGCTCACTGAGCCTGGGTAACTGTACCTCAGTCTTTGTTGCCTCTGTCTCGGAGGAAGTACCTAAATAACATACAAATACAATTTTTTTAGAGCTGAACAGATTCAACTTCAAACAAAAATACTTGTCCAGAGATCTGCCGAGGACGCGATTTTGCGCCATTGGCGCTAAAAAAATGAGAATGGCGCAGGAAAATCGGCAGCAAAGGGCCATGGGCGCATCTAAAATCTGTGCCAGAGACTTATAAGAAAACAAAACTGTCTGCTGGCTTAAAACTGGTACTAACAGCAACATGTTACCAATTCCCCAGTAATTACGCATATTCTTGAGTTTATCCATTCCCCTATAACTTTTGTCCATGTTATCTACTCACCTTATTTCTTCTCATAATCCCTTTCCCACACAGATACTCATTTTTACTACGTAAATTTAATCCAATAAAACAAACAAACAAATTATACAATTACTTAATATTTAAAATGACTATTGGTAACTGAAAAAAAGTGTTGCTATTTTAAGAAATGCTGTAAGTTACAGTAAAATCTGACAGGTGTACAACTGGATTACCCCTAAGGTCACTCAGGTTCACGTAAGCTTTGGCTGATTTAGTGTAAAAAAAAAAAAGATGTCTATTTCGTCATCAGAATATTTGACAGGGTGATTAACCAATCAGGGAAACATAGTGCATGACTTTTATCATGATCAAAAGGTCTGTCGGCAAGTGTCTTTGATGTATGCTGTCTAAACAGAGGCATACAAGGGGCAAAAAAATTCGTCAATATACAGTGGTAAAGGACATTTGGTGCAAAGTAGGAACAATTAAATGGATAATGCACAGTATTAGACATTAGAAGTAAGAACCAGCAATTATGTAAATAAATTTGCATATAAAATTTTTGAGCAGCCATTTGAAAAAAAAATTTTGCCTGCAATTAATATTAGTTAGAAAGTTACCATGTAGACATAATTTTTAATTATTGGTTAAGTAATGAATCATAAGTGAACCACTTGTCATAAAATATGGTGTAAGTTTTATTACCAGGGAAATTCAATTATCTACTAACTTTTTAACAATTATTTAGGTCAATGTTTACTTATTTTCCTAAGGCCCATACTTTGGTAAAAATGGCCCATCATTTTCAGACCAAGTGGGCCCAAGGCCCAGTACTTTCAAATTCTAGGCAGATCTCTGCTTGTCACATTTTGACTTTGTATTTAAATACATTTGTATTTTTATGTCAAGTTTAAAGTCAAACTGATGGTGCTGAGACCCTATGGTGACTTTCTAGCTTAACAGGTGGAGTGAAGACATCAGATGCCACTCTTGCCATTATTTTCATGGAAAGAATCATCAAATGCCTACATTTTTATTTGGAACCAGTAATGCACTTTCTAGAATAAATGACTAGACAGCAAAATAGAATTATACTTTATTTTGAGACCAGTAACAAGCATTATAATACTGTTTTCAAAGGTTACCGGTTGATATGATTGCAAGAAAGAATATTTTGATTACAACTGTATCTAATGAGTGATATCTCTAATACCTGGTTTATCTGTTTCCATTGGAGATTCCCCAGTGGTATCCCCACCAGTGGCCCCTGCTGCTGGAGGACCCTGTGCAACAACTTCTTCATCCGGAGAGTCCCTCTGTTGTGCAGCCAGGCCAACTGAACCATGAACTGGTGGTACATGTGGGGTGTCAGGTGTATTGTTGTCAGAATCACGTAAATTGAGCTCTACAGCTGGCGGTGGTACGGCAGCCGTACCGTCTCTCCGATTGTTCACAAACTGCATGATGGCATCAGCCTCGGCCTCTAACAGTGCCATCGCCTCACCTAGGTGACGTAGGTCACGGTTAGTTGGTGTAGTACCTGGTAAGCAAATATTTACATCATGGCATCAAGTAATACGTTACGGGTAAGTAGCAACAAATTAAGAAATAATATGCTGAAACAGAAGTTTCAGTCATTAAGACAAAGTAATCTGATCACATATGTGTTTTCTACTACACAGGACAATATGGCTTTTAACAAAACACTAGAACTCCGCGAGTCGGATGTGTCGCCTTGTGAACAATATAGTTTAGGAGAAATGGCCAGGACAAAAATGAAATACGAAAACTAACAAAGGGCAATAGCTCAAAAAATAATAAGTGCAGAGCAGCAGTTTCTATGCATTGCACTTCTTATCAATAAGATCTATCATTCTATGAAGTTTCAAGTCCATATCTTTTATAATTTATAAGAAATGGCCTGGACAAAAATAAAATATGAAAATATATAAAGGGTAATAACTCAAAAATAAGAAATGCAGAGTACCGGTTCTTGTACACTGCACTTTTTCTTAATGAGATCTATCATCCTAAGAAGTTTCATGTCTATAGCTTTCATACTTGAGGAGAAATGACCTGGTTAACTGAAATACGAAAACTAACAAAGGGCAATAGCTCAAAAAATAACGAGCAATTATCATAGTATTGCAAGCAATCCATAAGTCCCCTACCGGTTAGAACCCCATCATCATTCTGAAGGGCCAATGGCCATTCACTAATGTTTCAATTTTTCTATATTTTAAGTAAATTTGTTGGAAAAGTTCTTTAAAAGTGATCACAGGAAACAGTTTTTATGAACACACAGACAGACAGACGGACTGAAGGACACTCAAAAGTTAATATTTGAAACATCCCTGCTACCAAAATATAACATTTTTAAAAGCAAAATGCTTAAAGAGGAGATAACTCTTGAATTAAAGATGCAATTTCATAAAAAAATTTCAATAAAAAAAAAAAAAAAAAAAAAAAAAAAAAAAAAAAAAAATAAATAAAAGCGGTAAAACAGATGAAGAACGCATTACATGCGCGTTTTCTTACAAGACTGCATTAATGATGACATCGTACCGAAGGGTCTTCGTCTATCTTTGAAGGTGAGCGTCGGACCAGATGGTAAAGAATTACAGGATGACATAAACAATCTACTTCATAAAGTAAGTGTTGAAATTTGTGAACGTATTAAAGAGGACCATCTCCGTCACAATGACAAAACAGATAATATGATTGAAAATACGCGACGTTTATTACAAAATAAACTTACTACTTCCGATTTCTCCAATCTTGAAAATGAAATTACAAGTTACACAGAAGACAAAAAGAATGACATTGTTATTAAACATGAAAAAGAAACTGACATATTTGAGAGAAGAAATGAGTAAATCTAGATCTACATTGAAATAAAAACGGAAATCATTCCCCTGTCACCACTGATTCCATATCAACGTCGCCGCAAATTGTAAATTATAATAGTGAACAAGACTGGCAAACGGTAAAAAAGAAACAAAGATCATCTAAATCGACAAAGAAATTTACGGTTAACAAAAATGTCAATAATATTTCAACCAAAGCTTTCAACAACTACAAAAACAGGTATAATCCAACCAACCTTAGAAAATCAGAAATCAAAAAACGTGAAAACCCCGGGCACCAAGAAAACATACAGGGAGGCCGTGATCAACGGGGAACCAAAGAATCTGAAAACAAATCAACTGCTACAAAAAAATGGATATAGTGTTACAAGAAATAAAGGAAATCGCAATGATAACAACAAAGCAAAATCACGAAGGTTCAAAAAATTCCAGACACGAAATCAATATAAAAATATAAAAAGCGGAAAAGTCAGATACAACAAGGTAAAAAAACAGTGTTGAACTTATCATCACGCCCAATGTCAGAAACTGAACTGATAGTGCTTGGAAAAAGGGTTAGGATTTTGTCCACGATATAATTCGCATGATAAGGTTCGATTAGCGGAAGAAGTTTTTCATTTTTCAAGACGTTTAAGACTAAAAGAGTACTTCAACGATTTGTATAAAAATGATAACAACGAAAGCGATGATAATAACCAAAACGAAGAATATCAAAATTTGCCGTTCTATAATAAAACATCATCTACCTTTACCCCACCTAGCGGGAGAGACATTTATTTGGATTTTTATATTGAGGCTATAAGTAATGAAATTATGCACTCTTCTAAACAAAAACGGTTTCGTCCTAATATATCCAAACAAGAACTCCAGTCGCTTAAAGACCTATCTCGTGATACAAATATTATTATCAAAAAGGCAGACAAATCCAATACCATCGTTATAATGGACAAACAGAAGTACATCAACGAAGTGAATCGGCAACTGAACGATGAGCGATATTACAAAAAAGTAGAAAAGGAACAACATAATTTGACTAAGTTAAAAATAGAAGAATGTGTAAATGAAATACAGGAAAATAATGTAAGCATTACTAAACAATTTGACATGTTCCCGTCTACTATTCGTACACCTCAATTTTACATTTTACCGAAAACGCATAAATCATATGATGAGAAACTTCCTCTTGGATACCCTGGTCGTCCCCATTGTTTCAGCATGTAGCTCCAGTACTGAGAACATAGCGAAATACCTAGACTTTATTTTAAATCCTTTTATGCAAAGTTTGCCTTCCTATATCAAGGATACCACCGACTTTATAAATAAGGTTCGTAATCTTAAATTAAACAAAGACACCTATCTAGTTACCCTTGATGTTTCATCATTATACACAAATATCCCTCATAATGAAGGTATTGAATCTTGTATATATTTTTTTACAGAAAGATAAAGGAAACAATAACATCAAAGCTAATGATATAAGGAAATTGTTAAATATTGTTTTACATAATAATTGCTTTGACTTTAATGATCAGAGTTATTTACAAAACCATGGGCACAGCAATGGAAGCCCTATGGCACCTTCTTATTGCTTCATTATTCATGGGTAGACTAGAAGAGCAATTTCTTAACTCTACTTATGTAAAACCTGATGTCTGGTTACGTTTCCTAGATGATATTTTCATGATTTGGAATGATTCTTTGGAAACGCTAAACTTTTTTATAGATTCCTTAAATAGTTTCCACCCGAATATTAAATTCACTTACAATATTTCTAAAAGTTCGGTACCTTTTCTTGATGTTTCTGTATCTAAAGACGTAACAGGAAAAATTGTTACGATATATTTTGCAAACCTACAAATATGCATTTGTATTTAGATTTTACATCCTCTCATCCTTTATCATGTAAGCGTGGTATCCCGTTTAGTCAAGCTAAACGTTATAGACGTGTCATTTCCGATGACGGTACTTTTAAGCAGTCTTTAGATACGTTAAATAGATATTTTTCTTGATAGAAATTATCCTAAATCTATTATTGAGAAAGCGTTTTCTAAAATTGAAGGCATGTCCCAAAATGATGCTCTAAGTCCTGTCGTTAAAAATACTAGTTCAATAATACCTTTTACTGTATGTTTTAATACATCTCTGCCTAATATTGGTGAAATCTTAAATAAATATTGGGATCTATTACTTTTGTCTGATAAGGTAAGCGTTAAAAATATACATACCAAGTTCAAACCTATTTTAGCATATAGACGTCCTAAAAACATTCGAGATTATCTTATGAGAAGTGCTTTACGTGATCGCACATTTTTATCTAGCCAATGTTTACGAAGTAGATGTTCACATTGTAACAATATAATTGTTGGTTCCCAATTTAATAGCAGCATAACAGGTAGTTCTTTTGATTTACACAATGATGTTAATTGTACTACGCGTAATGTAATTTACCTCATTACATGTAAAGGCTGTAAAAAGCAATACGTAGGTCAGACTAATCAAAATGTATCATGCAGAATGAATAAACATAGATTTGATATAAGAAATTGTGACGTTAATCCAGTTTCACATGTTGCGATCCATTTCGGATCAAACGATAATAAGTGTTCATTGTCAGATTTTTCATTTTTACCTATAGAAATTATAGACAACAACATGGACCGGTTATGTAAAGAATCTTTTTGGATCCATAAATTAAATACTATGATTCCAAATGGACTAAATAATAAAGTATTGTTTGATTTATAATAGGTTACATGAATATTAATATGTTTGTCTATTATCTTATTTTTATTAACACTGTCTAATAGACATCTGTATCACTGTTGATCCATTTTAATTCATGTACCAGCTTTATTTATAGCATAAATATTTGTTACTACATGTTATCATAGTTTTGCCGCTAAACGCCATAACGTTTTTCGCGCGTTTAACGCGTGTTCCGTTATGACGTCGCTTCCGGTAATTTTATTATGTTTTGCACTGATGAAGGCATATAGCCGAAACGTTTGCAATTAAATTAAATTACTAAATGTTCGTGTTTGTGTGGCTTGTCTGATTATAAAAAAATTTAAGCTCTTTTTGACTTATCACCAACAATGTTATATTTGCCATGTTTTAAGCCTATTTGTTGCCAAGGAAACCAATATTTTTTCAAAATAGGGAGAACAGATAAGACATGCATAATCTCAAGACTGCCATCTACCCATATATCAAGTTTCATAAAAATATTTCCAGTACTTTTTGAGTTATCACTGGTTTCAGTGTAAGTGTAAAATTTGGCATATTTTCAGTCTATGTGTTGCCATAGCAACCAGAATTTTCAGCATAGGAAGAAAAGAAAAAAACGTGCATAATCTCCAGACTGCCATCTACCCATATTACAAGTTTCATAAAAATATTTCTATTACTTTTTGCGTTAACACAGGATCCAGTTTATGTGTAAAATTTGGCATATTTTCAGTCTATTTGTTGCCATAGCAACCAGAATTTTCAACATAGGAAGAAAAGAAAAAAACGTGCATAATCTCCAGACTGCCATCTACCCATATTTCAAGTTTCATAAAAATATTTCCAGTACTTTTTGTGTTATCACTGGATCCAGTTTATGTGTAAAATTTGCCATATTTTAAGCCTATTTGTTGCCATAGCAACCAGAATTTTCAACATAGGAAGAAAAGAAAAAGACGTGCATAATCTCCAAACTGCCATCTATCCATATATCAAGTTTCATAAAAATATTTTCAGTGCTTTTCAAGTTATCGCGGGATCCAGTTTTGTGGACGGACGGACTGACGGACGGACAGACAGACAGACGGACAGGACAGACAGACGGACAGACAGACAGACGGACGGAGGGTAAACCTAAAGTCCCCTCCGGTAAACCGGTAGGGGACTAATAAGTGAAGAGCAGCAGTTTCTATGCACTGCACTTCTTATCAATAAGATCTATCATTCTATGAAGTTTCAAGTCCATATCTTTTATAATTTATGAGAAATGGCCTGGACAAAAATAAAATATGAAAATATATAAAGGGTAATAACTCAAAAATAAGAAATGCAGAGTACCGGTTCTTGTACACTGCACTTTTTCTTAATGAGATCTATCATCCTAAGAAGTTTCATGTCTATAGCTTTCATACTTGAGGAGAAATGACCTGGTTAAAATAAAGTATGAAAATTAACAAAGGGCAATAACTCAAAAAATAAGAAATGAAGAGTACCGGTTCTTGTGCACTGCACTTCTTCTTAATGAGATCTATCATCCTATGAAGTTTTAAGTCCATAGCTTATATACTTTCGGAGAAATGGCCCGGACAAAAATAAAGTATGAAAATTAACAAAGGGAAATAACTCAAAAAATAAGAAATGCAGAGTACCTGTTCCTGTGCCCTGCACTTCTTCTTAATGAGATCTATCATCCTATGAAGTTTCAAGTCCATAGCTGTTATACATTAGAAATGGCCCGGACAAAAAATAAAGTATGAAAATTAACAAAGGGAAATAACTCAAAAATTAGGAAATGCAGAGTGCTGATTCTTATGCACTGCACTTCTTCTTAATGAGATCTATCATCATATGAAGTTTCATGTCCATAGCTTTTATAGTTGAAGAGAAATGGTCCGGACAAAATTAAAGTATGAAAATTTACAAAGGGCAATAACTCAAAAATTAAAAAGTGCAGAGTGTGCCCTGCACTTCTTCTTAATGAGATCTATCATCCTATGAAGTTTCAAGTCCATAGCTGTTATACATTAGGAGAAATGGCTCGGACAAAAATAAAGTATGAAAATTAACAAAGGGAAGTAACTCAAAAATTAGGAAATGCAGAGTACTGATTCTTGTGCACTGCACTTCTTCTTAATGAGATCTATCATCATATGAAGTTTCATGTCCATAGCTTTTATAGTTGAAGAGAAATGGTCCGGACAAAATTAAAGTATGAAAATTTACAAAGGGCAATAACTCAAAAATTAAAAAGTGCAGAGTACCGGTCCTTGTGCACTGCACTTCGTGTTATTGAAAGAAGCATGCATACCAAGTTTGAAGTCAATCCAACTTAAAGTGACTGAGTTATGCTCTGGACAAGCTTTAGGGGACGCCGACAACGACGACAAAAGTAATCCCTATATGTCGCCTTTTCAAGGCGACACAAAAACTGTTTTGTGTTATCAAATACTGACACATTTACACTGACTCAAGAACAAGCAAATAAATTGTATCTTCAGTATTAAAACACTTGGCATTTTAACGACATTTGATAAAATGCCTGTAACTAGTAAAGTTGCTTGATGATTAAAGCTTCAAAAGTAAGTGTATTTCTTCACATAATTGAAAAATTTTATTCTGATATTTTTCTCTTTAACATACTATTTACTGTACATCTTTAAGCTTTCTAAACATCTGCCTTGATCATATACTTTTTATAAAGATAGAGACCTGCAGTTACTCAAATAAAACAAAAGAACAATCTTTCTTTTTTAATGAATGCTTTAGTAACAAAGATTAACCTGTTCCTATTTTTTTCTTCTTGTTGGCAGTTCTGGCGGCATCTCTAAGTTGGATGATCACTTTCAGTATTCTCAGGAAGAAATGTTGACTAGAAGATTTACTTGTTAATGCCGACATTGACGGGACCTGTAGCTCACGACCACTCTTCATTTTCTTAGGAGCAACGACAACCACTGCATGTCCAGAATACCTGAATACAATAATACCTTGCAATATTGCCTAAATTATTTCATCATAAGTTCAAAGTTATACTAGAGGGGTGATAATTATCTTTCTAAATTTGGGTATATACAGCAGTTTTTCTTCTCAAATCTTAAGACAGGAAGAGGATGTTAAGATTATCTCTCTTTGAGTTTTCATACTACTTCTGGCATTCTATGTTTAACACTCTGATTTTTTTGATTTTTTTCAATATCAATAGAAAAGCCATCAAAGAGTTAAAATTACTTATTCCCAAGGGAATGGCAGAATGAACATTTAAGGAAACTTTATATTGAATAAACTGGGTTGTATGGTAAATATTAACAAAAATACAAGTCATTAAGTCTATAAAACAACAGTGTGGTAAAATTAACGTCACTTTAATAGCCTTTTCTAATTTTAATACTAATGTGACTTGAAAAAATTGGTAGGGATGAATAGCCTAGAACAGAAATAACATTCAAGCTCAATCATTATGAGAACATGATGATCCAAAAATCAAACCAACAAATAATATGATATTGTACCAAATCTTGATAATTTACATTTTACTTTTAACACTGTAACATATGTTGCTGAAACATGAAAAGCTGTACAGGCAGCTTTTCACCAAATAGAAATTAATAGTTCAGTAAACTCACCAACAATTTCACCACATTTGTTCACCCTGAAGGGACAATTCCCTTTGCCTACAATAAAATGCTTTCAATGGAAACATATTAAAGTCATTAGAGAGAAAGAGTACCTGTCTTGAAGAACTCCTCTACCCGTACTTGTTGACATTGTGTCCATTTCCTTGCCTTCATCTGAATCAACATCTGGGCTTAACTTGTTTAACTGGTGCAAATCGTCCAACAATATCCTAGAAACAGATCATTCCATTAAAATTTACACAACATTTTTAATATTCAATAATTTCTTTTCATTTCTGAAGCTGTTAGTGTTCTTTTCATTACTTTTCATGAATTAAGTGTATTTTAACATTGTTTCTGTGATACATGTTTTTAAGAACCTTTATTGTTATTAAACTTCACACAATCCTATGAAAACTAGAACTGCCTCTATCATGGCGTGAATACCCCCGCATACCACTTTGTCAGAATCAACAGTGGCAATTTAGAGCTCAAGGACAACCTCCCTGCCAAATCTGAGGTTACTAAGCCAGTGCATTGCTAAGTTATGTATTCTACATGCTTCAAATGTCAAAATCAATACATTGCGGAGAGGACATTCTTTAGCAAATGAGAAGAAAAGCTTTTTTTTTGTCAAGGTCCCTGTGACCTTGACCTTTGACCCAGTGACCTCAAAATCAATAGGGGTCACCTTATAGTCATGATCAACATCCATGCCAAATATGAAGACTGTGGGTCAAAGGAATCTAAAGTTATTGGGCAGACAAACTTATTGAAGTCAAGGCCCCTGTGACCTTGACCTTTGACCTGGTGACCTCAAAATCAATAGGGGTCATCTACTAATCATGACTAACCTCCATTCCAAATATGAAGACTGTGGGTCAAAGGAATCTTAAGTTATTGGGCGGACAAGCTTTTTGAAGTCAAGGCCCCTGTGACCTTGACCTTTGACCTGGTGACCTCAAAATCAATAGGGGTCATCTACTAATCATGACTAACCTCCATGCCAAATATGAAGACTGTGGGTCAAAGGAATCTTAAGTTATTGGGCAGACAAGCTTTTTGAAGTCAAGGCCCCTGTGACCTTGACCTTTGACCTGGTGACCTCAAAATCAATAGGGGTCATCTACTAATCATGACTAACCTCCATGCCAAATATGAGGACTGTGTGTCAAAGGAATCTTAAGTTATTGGGTGGACAAGCTTTTTGAAGTCAAGGCCCCTGTGACCTTGACCTTTGACCTGGTGACCTCAAAATCAATAGGGGTCATCTACTAATCATGACTAACCTCAATGCAAAATATGAAGACTATGGGTCAAAGGAATCTTAAGTTATTGGGCGGACAAGCTTTTTGAAGTCAAGGCCCCTGTGACCTTGACCTTTGACCTGGTGACCTCAAAATCAATAGAGGTCATCTACTAATCATGACTAACCTCAATGCAAAATATGAAGACTATGGGTCAAAGGAATCTTAAGTTATTGGGCGGACAAGCTTTTTGAAGTCAAGGCCCCTGTGACCTTGACCTTTGACCTGGTGACCTCAAAATCAATAGGGGTCATCTACTAATCATGACTTACCTCCATGCCAAATATGAAGACTGTAGGTCAAGGGAATCTTAAGTTATTGGGCGGACAAGCTTTTTGAAGTCAAGGCCCCTGTGACCTTGACCTTTGACCTAGTGACCTCAAAATCAATAGGGGTCATCTACTAATCATGACTAACCTCCATGCCAAATATGAAGACTAAGGGTCAAAGGAATCTTAAGTTATTGGGCGGACAAGAAAAAACCGCCGGACGGACAAGCTGATTCCAGTATGACCCCCTTACAACTTTGTTGTGCGGGGGTATAATAAGAGGCAATAATAACTAGCCCTTCTACAATATAGTGCCAATCTTTTATACACATCTTCTCATTCTGACCAGGGCCACATGTTCACAAAGATATAAGGGTCAGAATGAAAAGCAATAACAAAATTTACATTTCCAAGTCATAGATTTACTATTATTCAATATCAAAGTGGACTTGAAATGGCACAATTTCATGAAATTTTAGAAAAATTCATGATTACTTTACAAGCGGTTTGACACAGAATGCTTGATAGATAGATCCATCAATGATAGATATGTACATTTAAAAGTTGATCCAAACATTGATCTTGATCCTAAATTTGATCCAAACTTTGATCCAGCAATTAGTGTTATTTGTTTTGTAAATTCTAAATTATATCAAAAATCAGTTTGTTTCTTTGTGAATCAGCAATGTTTACATTTTGTTTATCTACCATATTATTACAACCTAATATAATCAGTGGATGTTTCATACAGCAATGAAAATAAAATCAGGATCTGTAGAGTTCCTTGAGCAGAAAACAAGTCCTTTCCTCAAATTTACCATGGTAAGGATTAAAGCATTGACAAACCTGATGTGGGAGCATACAGTAAGGCCGAGTTCACGTGCACCTGCCAGCAACAACTTGAGAACTGACAATCGTGTGGCAGTATTAGCGAAGGACAACTGCAGCAGTAGATTGGTAGCATCTTCAAGACCCTCCTCCGAGCATGACTTGGATATAAGCACCTGTACAGCCATACTAAGCTGGTTCTCTAAGATAGGATCCTCTTCCACTACCTTCTCAGGTTCTAAACAGAAAACAGGAATGTGTAAAAACAATCCAATGCCATATCATACTAAAAAACATTTATTATATCAAATATAAACATGTTTAAAATGTTTTAAACAAAAATCAACTTGGCTACTTCATATGAATAGTAAGCTTTGTTTGATTGTGTTTTTATGTCACACCAACATATATAGGTCATAAAGGGATGTTCCAGGTTTACTGGTGGAGGAAGTCCTCAGGTGCCCTTCTGTGCATTATTTCAGGTATGAACGGACACCTGAGTAGAACCACTGACGTTCCGTAAGCTAGCTGGATAGCTTCCTCACATGAAAGAATCCAAAGTCCCTGTCGATATTTGAACTCACAGCGGTGAGGGGCAAGTTGTTTGAAAGTAACGACCTTGACCACTCTGCCATGGACGCCCCTAAATAATACCCATTCAGAATACAAACTTCAACAACGCATCTAATAAACAGCAGCCAAAAGTTAAAGGTGTTAACACAAAGAATGATGCTACAATGTAGTAACAAATCAAACCAAGGTTCCTAAGAAGAAGAAACTTGCTTCAATTCCCAACACTTTCCTGTTGCTATTTAAATACTCCATTTTACACTAAAAGAGCAGAAAAATGGGAAGAGAATAGCTTATTTCACAAGAAATTCTTCTTCAACAAAGTCTTGATTTTCAGACTGAAGAAAAACAAATGTGCAAGCTAAATAAATCTTAAACATATGACTTATAGAAATGATTCATGTGTAAAAATGATTTCAGTATTTGGAAAGAATAACACAACATAAACATCATGTGTCAGAAGACTTGAAAAAGAGATTGGGTAATAGAAATAGTAAGATATTTGACGGTTAGATAACTGACAGTACAAAGTTTAGTAGTGATTTGGTAGTAATGTGTCTAATGAAAACAATGTTATACTCATTGTTATACTTGTTACTTGTATCAAACAAGTTTTCTCAGCCATATTAATATAATGTCAGGTTCAAAACTGAAAACTTAAAACATAATGTAGTCATTGAGTTATATCAAGATAACATGATATTAACTTGCTATAACTCCTGGCAGTTACTGTAGCTATTGAATTACTCCATGCATCACCACAAAGACAGAAACATGGGAAGAGAATAGCTTGCAGAACAACTACTGCTCAATCTATATATGGGAAATACCCATTAAATCAAAATTCCAACATTAGCACATTTGGTGGAAAACAGCAATTATGTTATTACAATTCTTTCAGAAAAAGCTCAGCACTGTAGGTCACATAATACTGATAAATGCTTAATGTAATTTTTCACAGTAAAGACTCACCTATATGAATAATACAACTAATATTTTGGAGTCTGCTATTATATTCAAGCAAATCTAAGAATTTTTGAGAATGTTTTTTTATAATTGTTGCTTGGGTTTAATTTATTGTATCACATGGACACTGTTAAGGTCATTCAAGAATCAAACACAATGGGTATAGACAAGAGATATGAAATGTAAAACCTCAACCAGTTGTTAACGAAGACCAATATTAGTGCAATGTAGTCACTGATTTACAGCATGGCATCTTGTCAAGAAACTTGCTATAAATCCAGACACATTACTATTGCTATTGAATTACTCCATGTAACACTAGGACAGCAGATACATGGGAAGAGAATAGCTTTAAAGGATATAAAGTTTATTTAAGCGATACCGAGAGCCAACTCAGAATATGTTTTTTTTTTCTTCCTTTTTTTGACAATATATTTGCAACTTCTTATGTACTTTTAAAATGATTGAGTGAAAAAAGGGTAGTTTTACAGCTCAAAATTTTTATATTTCCTAATCCCACCCTATTTCTGTTTGATAAAATCTGACAAATAACTGTTTCAATTAACCCCAAATTTAAGGAAAGGGCCCCTTCCCTTATCTGTGAAAAAAGTCCTGTCAATTTATACACCTTTATGACACAGATGGCAGGAAAGCATATTATAACACTACATTGTAAAAAATCTCACAAGATGCTAAAGGATTACAGGAATGCTGCTGTTTCATTACTACAGCTACATACCTTTCTTCTGTTGTACAGTTTGTTCAGTTTTCTTCTCTTGTTTGTTGGCAGCAGCTGGCGTTGTCTCAGATCCAGTACTTCTAGTAGCCTCCGTGCTGGCAGCTCCACCTGGTGCCTATTAGAGCAGAAGGTAATCCTGTTATTTATATCTATTATAACACCAAATGTTTAGAAATCTGAAAACTACTAATAAGTATCAAATGCAGAATCTTTAAGCTAATGTATCATCCATTCTAATGAAAAGCCAAAAAGTGTTGCATTTCCTTCAAATCATTAACTGCTGATATTTGTTTTTAATAACAAGTTGTTTTTGCCAGTTTGCCGCATCTGACCAGTGCAGATCAGTACATATTTTGTAATTTTCCTTGAAAGACAGACAAGTACATAAAGATATTTAGTGTGGTAAGGGTGTTTGTCTTATCAGAAGTATTTTCACTATGAGAAAGAAATTTCCTAGAGCCACAAAAACTCTTCAACGTCCAAGAATGAATATATATAGATTTTATCGAAATTCTTAATGAAAATCACTTTGAAAACAACTTGATAAGCAATTATTTACCTGAGCCGTGGGTTGTGGAGGGACAACTGCTGCTGTATTCTCTTGCCGTGTAATTATAGATGGCATTATTTCAATGGCACGAGCCTGACTACTGGTACCAGCCCCTGAACTTCTCTCACTCTCCGACAGACCGCCGGAAACCAAGCACAATAAACGCAGTAGACGGTCAGTGAGAAGCTGACTACGTTTTATCACAGGATGAGACAACATTGCCATTAATTGACCCAGCGGAGAACTATCAAATTCTTTAAAGCCTGGATCTTGTTCACTATTTACATTGCTATGAGTTCGTTGAATACCTTTTCCTTTTTTACTGCTACATAAAGAATCTAACTTCACGAGTAATTCCCAAAAGTCAGTGTCACGATTATCCGATTTAGAATCCTGCTTTTCTATAGTTTTCACTTTGGGGGTAGCCCCAGTTGCAGAGGTCATTGGAGTTTTTGTTTTATCACTCTCTTTTTCCTTATCATTATCACAAGTTTGCACTTCCTTTGCCTTAGATGGTAAAAACTGATTAGGAAACATTTTAGCTAAAGAGATCAATGCATCTAGTACATGGCGACACACTATCGGTGACGCCTGAGGATGGATTGTCACACAAGTGTTTCCACTAGACGAGTGTTTCTTGCCCATGGCTCTATGAATCTGGAAGACATTTGCCCGACAGCCTAATGCTGCCTCCAGACTGATTGATAACCATGGTCCCTGGCTTCTCGACTCCATCTTACTACTGCCTGGTCCCTCCGTCACCATGGCACTTTGTGATTGAGACTTTTTTCCTTTCCCTTTCTCCGGAGTTCTCATTCTTTCTTCAATATCTACTCTCGTTTCAGCAGTTCTACTTAAAATTGATAACATTGCTCGCAGTACCCATACCCTAGTGGGGCCATGATAACACAGATTTCTTAACACACGGTGCAATCGGCCAGTATTCAGTTTTGGCTCATCAACAAATAACAATACAAGAAGACAAGTTAAAGCCTCATGATCTAGTAAATGTCTACCCCGTAATTTTAATGTATTAGCAAATGCCATACTTTCTCTTCCTCCACGATCACCGAAGATCCAATTTTGGCCAGATCTAGGACCACGACCAAGTGTACATCTAATCGTGCCTACAACATAGAAAAAAAATCAAATAAGAAAGAGAAACTAACTACAGATGGAATCAATAAACCTATAGGAATACAGAGATGGCAGTACAAAAACAGTTTAAAAAAATAACATGCTTTTAAATCAGATGCTAAATTAAGTGTAAGAAACTTTGAGTAACATGCAATATCATTGAAGTATACTCCCTCAACCAAAGACCTTGATTGAAGTGACCTTTAACTCCACTTAAAAGTTAGAGGACCACGTTAGGCACCTAAGTTATGTACCTAATAAAAATGAAAGACATCTGTCAATAAATGAAGGCTATACAAGCAAATGTGTTAAAACAAATTCTTAGCATCATTGGTCTTGCTCTTGACTCCAGTCACTGAAACTTAATATGAAACAAGAGTGAAAATAAATGAAGTTGTTAGGAAAAACTTTGGGACAGTGCAACAGAAATTCAAAAGGACAAAGTGATGACTATATGCTCTGGAACTTTTTGGGGTATGCTTTCTGGACCAAATAAATATACACAGAGTAGATCAATGCTAGTAAAATGACTATTTACCTGCATGTCTGAGTATAGAAGAGAGAGAACCACCAGATCCTGGTTGTGTAAATAGTCTCTCTTGCATGATTCTACGATGACGGTCCTCCAACTCTCTCCTCAAAGTTTGAGCTTCAGCAGCGAGGTCTGCTGGTAGTACAGCCATCATGCTATCATCCATGTCGGCCAGCACAGACTGGCGCAGTGTCGACGGTAGTGTCGCAAAGAAACTAGCTGGGTCAACAGGTGTCTCTGGATTTGTTGTTGGATTTGTCTGTGCAGCCAGACGTTCTTGTTCTATACGCTGCTGAGCTAATACCTTAAATTGGTGAAAAATATAAACCATATTATATCACTTGCACTGAACAGTACATGTGTAAATTTAATAAAATGAATAAAAGATGTGAAATACATATAACAAAGTGGGTCAGGTTTAAGTAGATAATAAGTATGTTTTGACAGTTTAATAGCCTTCATCAGGGTGTACATTTGTACAAGTTCACAGCCTGAGAAAAGAGATACAATATTGGTTTTAGTTTCTCAATCTGAATAAATATATTTCATAGAATAATGACACTTCTTTCATCAATGGTTTTATTTCGGACACATGAAAAAGTCAGCTTTACGTTAACAAAGTCATTGGATGTTGATAACAGGTTATGATAATACAACTATAGTAAGTTTATATGTAAAATTTAAGTAAAAATTTTAAATTCATGTTATTTCAATATAATGTAGTCTCGACTAAAGCAAAGGACCTAGAAAAAGGTACCGTTCTTTAATGGCAGACACATTACTATTGCTATTGAATTACTCCATGTTACACTAGAACAGCAGAAACATGGGAAGAGAATAGCCATAAACTGGAGTAGTGAACAACCTGGTACAACATCAACCTCCAACAAACAAATGACAATGAATCAATTTTACCTGCGCCCATCAAAATACAAGCAAACCTAGTAAAGAAGTTAACATAGACCAGCTTGATAAATGTTTGCATCTGGCATTTCTGTCATTTTATAATCTATCAAATCTTTCCTGAAGAATGTTTGCAGACGGAATTCTTTCTGTATTTTTTATTTGTTGAGGGGCACAACAGAGGCAGGCTATCTAATAGCTTATACAATTTACAAATGGAGACAATCCATTTAATCAACACTATGCACACGGATCCTGAATTCATTATTACCTCTTCCTGAATATTTGGTGGTAAGGCAGCCAAGAACTCTGGGTTGACCTCCATCCCCCCAGCAGTCTGGTTCTGTTGCTGTTCTCGAGTTCGAGCCTGTATACGCTGCATTCTCAAGTGGTCAGCTATAACCTCAGCTCGGATGTTTTCAGGAAGTGCAGCAAGAAACGATGGATCCAAGCCTTCAGGGACACCACCTTCACTGCCTTCACCAGCACTTGAACCTGCAGAGGGTTGACTACTCTGTGGGGTTGATTCTGAAGGCTGGGTGCTGCAGTTACAATAACAATCACTGAGTATTACTCAAGTTATGACAATTTTTAACAATTACTAAACCTATAATTTCTATGATCAAAAGAGTGATTACTGTTTCAGTACAAGAAATGTTCTGATTTTTAGGTAGAACTGTCTAAGCAATGACAGTAGTGAGGAGGATCCCTCTATAGAATGCAGTCAAGGTCTTCAGCATACATTAAAATAAGAACAAAATGCCACTCTCAAGCTATGGATTGGAATAATCAATAGCACCAAGGACATCAGATCTTTTACATGGTTAGGTTATGCAGCTAGATGGCTCGCCTAACATGACCACCAAAGTCTGAAATAATGGGGGGCACCTAGGTTCTTCTTACATCAAAAGACCTGGACAGTCACTATACCACATTCACAATGTAAGTGGGACTTCTTGAAACCCAAAAACAGCAACAAAATACATTTAAGATTTCATCTATAAACAAATAATTCATATTTATTGTTTAAAGTTACCTTGCGAGTGTAGAGACTGGTGTAGCACCATCTGTTATTGATGTCAGATTGGCTAATAAACGATCAGCACTTATCTCCTGTGGACTCCCTATATCAATAGATATATGTATAAAATATATTTTCAAATAAAAACTTAAACTCTAAACTTTAAACAGGTATTTCTCAACCATATGGCAATAAAAACATCACATGAAGCAAAATGCATCTGTAAATCTATCATTAACTATAAAGGAGTAACTATAGACTTCTATGGAAACCAAATTAACACTTTTTAACTAAGGATTTCTTTTACAGGAACAAAACATTTTGGTTATAAGATTATTAAAATTTGGTTTAAGATATATCAAATTATCTTAGCTTATTTGAAGCATGTATTTTGCTGACGAGTTTACATAAATGTAGTAAATCACCATTACATAGAACAGAATATACCATATCTTGGCTTAACTCACCAGAAGTAGAAGAATGCACAGTCGCTGCATCAGAGCTTGTAATGTTGGATATGTCCTCTGGAGTTATCAATCCTGATTCAATATCGGACCTAGGTGGCGCTCCACCTGTACTTCCAGAACGAGGGCCAGTTCCGGCATCATGGGATTCATCAGCATCCGCTGTCAGCAACAATGATGCAAGGTGGCTCATTTGTAGATTAGAGGATCCCGTCCCTCCCTCGTTTGTTGTTACTGGTGTTTGAGGAAACATTGAATTACGCAGATAGGACTGGAAAATATCTGTCAGATTGTTCCTGAAAATAATTACAATACCTCTAAAATAACTATTCCCAAATAAAGAAATTTATTTCCTTCTGAACTTGTTGGAATATTCCAGAAAAATTATTTTGAAATCTGGCCAGCCTTTTTAACACAAATAATTAACACTTTCCTCAAACAATTTCAAATAATAGATAATTAAAATGTTTCATTCTATTCCCTACTATCTTTAAACAAAGTAAAATAATTCCAAAGTAAGACCATCATTTCTTATTCACATTCAAATATGAAGGAAACGAGACATGTAACAATTACACTTGTATTCCCGTAAAATTTCCTGGAGTAAAATATCATAATCAGTAGGATAATCGAACAAGGTTTTATTGGCTACATACCCTGTTGCTTGCTGTCCTGATCCAAACCTGTCCAATCTTGGGGCCATAGGTGTAATGAGAGGTATATTTTGGTAGGCAGGAGTATATTGTGCTGCTGTGGGTACATTACTGAAAGATCCACTTGTGGTTACCGTAGAAACAAGCCCTGATGGTATTGGTGACACAAGTGGTGTCAACTGAGGCATCGTCAAGTTCGGAAACTGATCTGACATTCGACTGGAAGAATTTGACGATGGCGTAAGTCCCATTGACACGGGAAGAGGCTGTCCGCTAGAGGGTGTGACTTGTTCTGGAAATGATGGATTCGGAACTGGCATGGTAGGTGGTGCAAATATACTAGATACTGTTGGACGGGTAGCCGAAATCGGAGTTGTGAACTGTAGAGCTGTTGGCAGCGGAACGAGCATCGGAGTGGACAACAAAGGATTTCTTGTCGTTTGGGACCTCTGTAATGCACTTGCCTGACTGGACTCGACCACATCTGGTGATGGGGGTGACGGGATCATTACTTGGAATCCAGTTGGAATATCAGATGTGGTTACAGCTGTACTAACAGCTAATGCTTCTTCAACCATCTGTTCAGCAATGACTTCAGCAGCTGCTGCAGCTTCTGACGCACCTTCAAATACATCAAAAATAATTTGATAAACACCAGTAATTTCACCCAGTTTTCTTTCCATTAACATTTGATTTTTTTATTTACAATGCTTTTAACTGTTGTAAAAAAGACTTCTGACTTTAAAATGTATTCTGACTTGTAAAGATGAAAAAATTATTGAGAGTTTCTGACATCATTCAAAATGTGGCAACACAACAAATAGTACATAGTTTTATGAAGTCTACAAAATTCATTTGTCTGAAATACTATACAATTCATCAAATATATATATATATTTTTTTAAGGGATGGTTGGGTTTTATGTCGCACCAACATAGCAGAGGATACATGGAGATTTTCAAGCTTAAATGGTGTAGGAAAACCTCAGATGCCCCTCTGTGCATTATTTCAGGAATGAATAGGCAGCTGAGAAGTACCACCCACATTCCGTAAACTAGCTGGATAGCCTCCTCACTTGAGAGAATCCGAAGTTCTTGATGGGATCCTAAACTACAGCGGTGAGTGGCAAAGTAGTTTGGAGTGAATGACTGTAACCACACAGCCACAGACATCGCTACAAATACAGTCGTATCTTATATGATGTGACCAATAAGAAGCATAAATTATACCCCATAGAATGGCCAAACTATGGTTGCCTACTGAAATATAGGAAAAACTCAAATACACTGTTATCTATGAACTGACTTTCTAAGTGGGTTTGAATTCAGTTTGTACAGCTATAATTCTATATATAACGTATGCTAGTACTTACTAATTTGTCCAGGTTGTGTTGTGGTGGTTGTTGAACTTGTAGATACTGCTGTAGTTTCACCAGGTAGAGGGATGTTGCTAATGTCAAGTATACTTGTACTCACTGGAGGTAGAATACTTGTGGTTGCTGGTGATACCTACATATACAAGTCAATACCAGATTAGTTCATTGGGTAGAAAAAAACAACCGCTCTTATCATCTGTGTAGGCCATTATGAATTTTCTATACACCAAACCTAATTATGGGGAAGGAATGATTGGAAGGTATATGGTGATTTTGATATGTTTCAATTCAAGTATTTGTCTCACCAGCACTGCTATGACAACTTTCCAAACTTTTACCGATGCAGACTGGGATGCTTCTTAAAGTAAATTCATGGTTCATACAAATTATCTGAAGCAAACAACTTTTTTCAAGGCCTAAAATTTCAAAATGAAGAAGTAAAATGCAGTTAGAAGCATTATCACCCATAAATAAATTTCCTTTGATTTTAACTTTTTTACAATCTTTGTTGAATCAAGTCAAAGGTTTTTTTTAAGACCATTCAGTTAATCATAAATTTTCTTTTTAAGGTTTTCTTCTTTTTTCTTCTTTCTTTCTTTCTTTTTTTGGATATCATATATCATTTTCAAGAAGTGTTTTGCAAGACCTGTGTGAACTGTGTATATCAAGAGTGACCAAGCACCTCACTTGAACCATCAGCCCAGATAATCCTATGAGCCGCGTTACGACAAAACCAACATAGTGCATTTGCGACCAGCATGGATCAAGACCAGCCTGCGCATCTGCACAGTCTGATCAGGATCCATGCTGTTCGCAAACAAACCCTATTACAAGTAGAGAAACTGATAGCGAACAGCATGGATCCTGATTAGACTGCTCGGATGCGCAGGCTGGTCAGGATCCATGCTGGTCCCAAACGCATTACGTTGGTTTTGTCATGACGTGGCTCATATAAAAACCAGTATCACTAACCTCCATTTTCTGTTGTTCAGCATTTTTCTTGGCCTGTTCCTCTAACTTCTTAGCAGCTTCTTCTTCTAATGCCTTCTTTTTCTTCTCTCTCCTCTCGGCCAACTCTTCATCACGTTTCTTCTCCAAAACCTCAATAATTTCTGGTTTTATAGCTGCATTAAAATAATTATATATTCTCTCATTATAAACAACCTTTATTTCTTGATGATTAACATATCTATAGACTACAGTTTACTGGGGAGCTTGAATTCATCACTACATTGTATTTGTAAAAATATACATTGTAATTAAACAAAAAAACATGTTTATTGCCTTTCAAAATACGTTTGGTTTATACAAATTTATTTTAGTTTGTGTTGGAAGCTATAAGCTTATTGAAACACTCTCGAATCCGTTCCTGGAACCAACCAGTACTAAGCAATTTAAAATTCCTTTAACCTGGTCTTAAGTAATGCAAACATGTATACTTCTCTACTACAGTCCATGTAGTACTTTGGAAATTGATAATGTCTAATAAAATGTTAATTTAAATTTGTTCAGGTTTAACACAAAGCACAAGCTTTCTGCAGAACAGCATGCTCCACTTGCAGATCTAAAGAACTCGCACAAAAAGGATCTCTAATGCCACCATGGGTAAGGGTATAATGGCAACAAACATTTTTTCTAATGTTTTTAAATACTCAACAGTTTGAGACAAAATTATCATTGTTGATTTTGAGATATAGAAACAAGTTAACGTTTTCAACAATCTTATATTCAAAGATACAATTCCTACCTGCCATACAATCGTGTATACTGTCCCCATCCAAAACTTTGGCCTCTTCTGTCCACCTGTTTAGTGTATTTGGCACGCTGGATAGGGTCCCGATACCCATGCCACCTCCAGTGTCCGGTGGGTACGAGTCCTGATAATGATAATAAATGGACAGTGAAAACAGACCTGTTTAGTTATACATCAAAATCTTAGTCACTTATTACAGTGAGGATCATTTGACGACATTATGGAATGATTTACCTCTTATGCAATCTTACCCATCTATACCACTCAAAATAAGTTTTTGGTACTGTTCCAGTGAATTAGCAAACATACAATGTGAATTAATCAGAACTAAGAGATTTTCCAAGATAGTTTCTTGAATGTGATCAAAAGTTTCTTGTCATTAAACATGCAAACAAAATTCTTAGAATGAGGGAAATCAACAAAGCTTAATAGGAAAGACATATTCTCACATGTAAAAAGGGGGCATTTTTTCTATTTATATATTTAATAAAATAATCACTGTGACCTATCTAAAAAAATTTTTTTGGTCACATCTAACAACTATGGAACAAATAGATTACCTTTACCATATTGTTCCATAGCCATTAAAATAGAAGATTGTCAGATTATGGTAAGGATAACACCAGAATATTAACCCTTAGCTGTCTTAATTAACATAAGGATAAATGAGCCGCGTCACGACAAAACCAACATAATGGGTTTGCGACCAGCATGGATCCAGACCAGCCTGGGCATCTGTGCAGTCTGATCAGGATCCATGCTGTTCGCTTACGAACCACATAACAAGACAAGAAACTTGATAGCGAACAGCATGGATCCTGATCAGACTGTGCGGATGCGCAGGCTGATCTGGATCCATGCTGGTCGCAAACCCATTATGTTGGTGTTGTCATGACGTGGCTCAAATAACACATACCTGAAATAGTTCCTCTAGAATGTCCTCATCCTGTCTAGAAATGATTCTCAGGTCATTGTTGGAGAGAACAACTCTAGTATGTGCTGGTCCAGCCTGGGTGTTCATAGTGTTTGTTAACTGTAATACTTCTGCAGCAGTCTGTGGACCCAGTAACCTAGAAAAAATATTCCGTTTTATATAATATTCAATATAATATTTCCCCATTAATGAAATAAATAATTTGTTTGAATCCTGTTGACAATTTCAAAAGATTAGAAACTATTTTCTTTCCCTGTACACAATGACAAGTATAAGATATAGCTTAATTTTTTTTTCTATAATATTTCATGTTAAAGTAGCTGCCATTTAGAGACCATGTTATCATTTATTCCTGTTGTCCTTGATAAATGACAAAAAAACATGTTCATTAAAAATCCTCCACAAAAAAAATATTGTCTAATTTGTTGAGACAGGTATCAAAATGTTTTCTCTGTCTTTCCAACACAAGCTTTAAGTCTAGTCCTACAGCAAGTGGAACATTAATCTCGATTAATTATTTCTAATTCTGTCATGTTCTGTCCCTTTAACAATAATTCTAGCATGCAATCCAGTTAAATTTGCCAGCCAGATTTCATCTTTGTCTTCATCATAGTATATCTCTCCCTAAAATACAGATAACAAGTTATACCTTTGCAATATAACTGGTGGATTCGGTGGACGTGGGAAGTTGACGTGAATGGTCTGGGAGAGAGGGTTATATCTACACGTGCCACGCTGCCGTCTCTGTAATCTCTGGAGCCGCGTCGAGTCCGCTTCTGATTGTCTCACTAGTAGAGGATGGATCATTGTAACATTGCTCGGTGCTGGTGGCAAACTAGGGGCTGAAATCACACAAGTTTATATACATGTACACTATGATACCCTCATTTAGTCAACAAAATGCCACATCATCCTATCAAATTCTCTTCAAAAAATTAATTTCACAATAGTCACATTTTAACTGAAGCATAGGAAAATATGATCAACACACAAAAATAAATATACAATAGATATTACTGAATTTATTAGCTTTTCCTCCCATAAACTTTTTTTTAAAATTTTATGCACATTTAAGTTTTTTTTTTTAAATTCTTTTTTAACAAAATTGCATAAAACATACATTCAACATGGCTAAATTGAACTTCAGCACAGACTTGCTTAACTGTAACCTGGTTATCTCATCAAATCAACCATTTTGATCTTTATATAAAAATCTTCATAACAATGGCAGATAATAAAATATAGCAAAAGCAAGGTCATTATATAAATCTATGGTTTACAACCACACCAACATGGTCAAATGGCAACTTTTCAGCATTAATCACACAGCCACCATAGGCAAGTTTAATTTAATACTGCAACATTTATAATGTACGAGAAGAAGTACCTGAAGTCTCATTGCCATTGTTATCATTATCATGGAGTGATATTGGCATCTGGTAGGTACGCACATGGCCATTATCTAAAGCATTGAACACAACATGCTGTGAATTGGAACCTGCATTCAACAAGAAGTCTTCTATACAGACAATGTGGTAAAAAATAGAGTTGAAAAAAAGGTACAAAAAAAAAGAAGAGAGTGCTAATACTGCTTATTTCTAAATATAAAAAGTTTGTTATTGCAGTCAAATGATTTTCATAACAAACTCTTATACAGTTAAATTCTGTTTACACTAAATCTTTAAATCATAAATGTAATATATTTTTATTTTTTTTGGTTTGGTTTTACATCGCTCCACCACAGTATAGGTTATGTGGCGACTTTTCAGCTTTACTGGTGGATGAAGACCTTCTTCCATGTATTATTTCAGGCACGTGAGTAAAACCACCAACATTCCCCATAAGGTAGCTGGATAACTTCCTCACAATTTGCACCCACAGCAGTGAAGAGCAAGTGATTTGAATTTAACGATCTAAACCACTCAGATATGGTCACCCCTTCAGTAAAATAACACCGAAACAATAAATAACATAACATAAACTAATCCTTCAAACAACCAATCTACCAATTTTTCAGGCACTTACCTGAACCACCAAACATTTCATCAGCATGTATTACAAAGTGATCATTGAAAGGTCGACCAAATGGGGCGTTCTCTGGCTGAAAATCAAAGTTATCGGCCTCCATATCTGACCCCTGCAAAATGTTAAACAAAGGAGATGTTAAGTTAACGATTTATAAAAATTAAGCAAATAATCAAGACCACATTTTGAAATTATTGTTTGAAGGGTAAAGGTTGTCTGCCTTTTAACACAGGCACCTGCCTTAACAAGTACCTGCCTTAAAATCCAAGATCATGCTTTTCAACCTTCAACACAGGAAATCAGTTAAAAAGTCAAACTGAATTCACAACCATGTTTCTTCATATGACAATATAATTTTAATAAACAATTCATCTCAATCAAGCCAATTTTAATATGTTAAATAAATCATAGGAGGAGACATTTTTACATGTACCAGCCTGTCTGAGGTCGGACCCGTTGTGTGCCGCATTTTGAACCACACCATTTACTGACAAGAATGAGTGGCTTCAGTAGGGAAAGTTTTTCTAGCTAACTTTATACAGCTCCATACATCAAAGTCTTCTATACAGACAATGTGGTAAAAGATAAGAGTTGAAAAAAAGGTACAAAAAAAAAAAAAAAAAAAAAAAAAAAAAAGAGAGAACGAAATAAAGTGCTAATCCTGCTTATTTCTAAATATAAGAGGTTCGTTATTGCAGTCAAATGATTTTTATAACAAACTCTTGCACAGTTAAATTCTGTTTGCCCTAAATCTTTAAATCATAAATGTAAATTTTTTTTTTTTTTTGGTTTGGTTTTACACACTCCACCACAGTATAGGTTATGTGGCCACTTTTCAGCTTTACTGGTAGATGAAGACCTTCTTACAAGCATTATTTCAGGCATGAACAGGCATGCGAGTAAAACCACCAACATTCCATAAGTTAGCTGGATAACTTCCTCACAATTTGCACCCACAGCAGTGAAGAGCAAGTGATTTGAAATTTAACGATCTAAACACTCAAAATATGGTCACCCCTTCAGTAAAATAACACCGAAACAATAAATAACATAACATAAACTAATCCTTCAAACAACAATCTACCAATTTTTCAGGCACTTACCTGAACCACCAAACATTTCATCAGCATGTATTACAAAGTGATCATTGAAAGGTCGACCAAATGGTGCATTCTCTGGCTGAAAATCAAAGTTATCAGCCTCCATATCTGATCCCTGCAAATGTTAAACAAACAGGAGATGTGTTAAATTAAGTTAACGATTTATAAAAATTAAGCAAATAATCAAGACCACATTTTGAAATTATTGTTTGAAGGGTAAAGTTGTCTGCTTTTAACACAGGCACCTGCCTTAACAAGTACTGCCTTAAAATCCAAGATCATGCTTTTCAACCTTTCAACACAGGAAAATAGTTAAAAGTCCAAACTGAATTCAAACCATGTTTCTTCATATGACAATATAATTTTAATAAACAATTCATCTCAATCAAGCCAATTTTAATATGTTAAATAAATCATCGGAGGAGACATTTTTACATGTACGAGCCTGAGGTCGGACCCGTTGTGTGCCGCATTTTGAACCACACCATTTACTGACAAGAATGAGTGGCTTCAGTAGGGAAAGTTTTTCTAGCTAACTTTATACAGCTCCATACATCAAACTTCAGTATGGCCATATAAGATAGCATAGACAATTTTATTTCCTCAAACTAATAATTCATGCATGAGGATTTCAACAATGACTGGTCAGATGGCATAAATAGCTTTACAGAGATTTTTTGTCATTTAATGACTCCCTTCAACCTAATATTAGCACATACAACAGCATTAGTGATGGGTAAAAATAAGTGAGCATCCTGGCGGTGGTCTTTCAAATAAAAATACACCACATTTTACATGTAAATAGCATTTCTGAAATTTGAACCACAAAAATTTGATGAATCCAGAAATCATGTTGACTTTTCTTGAACTAAGGAATTCAACAACTCCCTAGCTTGATTTGAAGTCAGTTTTTTATAGCTATCCAAGAACTCCACCAATCATCCCTGTATCAAATGACAGTGGGAAGAAGATAGCTTCATCTGTTACACAGTTACGTTAAACTAGAACTCCGCGAGTCGGATGTGTCGCCTTGTGAACAATGTAGTTTAGGAGAAATGGCCAGGACAAAAATGAAATATGAAAATAACAAAGGGCAATAACTAAAAAAATAATAAGTGCAGAGCAGCAGTTTCTGTGCACTTCACTTCTTATCAATAAGATCTATCATTCTATGATGTTTCAAGTCCATAGCTTTCATACTTGAGGAGAAATGACCAGGACAAAAATAAAGTAAGAAAATCAACAAAGGGCAATAACTCAAAAAATAAGAAATGCAGAGTATCAGTTCTTATGCACTGCACTTTTTCTTAATGAGATCTATCAACCTATGAAGTTTCAAGTCCATAACTTTTATACTTTCGGAGAAATGGCCTGGACAAAAATTAAGTATGAAAATTAACAAAGGGCCATAACTCAAAAATTATGAAAAGCAGAGTACCGATTCTTGTGCACTGCACTTCTTCTTAATGAGATCTATCATCCTATGAAGTTTCAAGTCCATAGCTTTTATACTTAAGGAGAAATGGCCCGGACAAATTTAAAGTATGAAAATAAACAAAGGGCAATAACTCAAAAAATAAGAAATGCAGAGTACCTGTTCTTGTGCACTGCACTTCTTAATGAGACCTATCATCCTATGAAGTTTCAAGTCCATGGCTTTTATACATTAGGAGAAATGGCCAGGACAAAAATAAAGTATGAAAATTAACAAAGGGCAATAACTCAAAAATAAGGAAGTGCAGAGTACCGGTTATTGTGCACTGCACTTCTTCTTAATGAGATCTATCATCCTATGAAGTTTCAAGTCCATAACTTTTTTAGTTCAAGAGAAATGGCCCGGACAAAATTAAAGTATGAAAATTAACAAAGGGCAATAACTCAAAAAATAAGAACTGCAGAGTACCGGTCCTTGTGCACTGCACTTCGGGTTATTGAAAGAAGCATGCATACCAAGTTTGAAGTCAATCAGACTTATAGTGACTGAGTTATGCTCCGGACAAGCTTTAGGGGACGCCGACAACGACACAGACGCCGCCGCCGACGACAAAAGTAACCCCTATATGTCACCTTTTCAAGGCGACACAACAAAAAATGTTTCTTGTTAAGCTTTTACCCTACTTGAACAGTAAGTGATTAGCTTTTGTCACCAGTATAGAGCCTAGTCAGCCTGTAAATCTGGTCAGCCTGTACATCTGGCCAGCCTGTACATTTATTCAGCCTGTACATCTGGTCAGCCAGTACATCTATTCAGCCTATAAATCTGGTCAGCCTGTGCATCTGGTTAGCCTGTACATCTTGTACATGTGGTCAGCCTGTACATCTATTCAGCCTGTACATTTGGTCAGCCTGTACATCTAGTCAGCCTGTACATCTCTTCAACCTGTACATCTATTCAGCCTGTACATGTGGCCAGCCTGTTACATCTATTCAGCCTGTACATCTTGTACATGTGGTCAGCCTGTACATCTGGTTAGCCTGTACATCTAGTCAGCCTGTACATCTATTAAGCCTGTACATCTGGTCAGCCTGTACATCTGGTCAGCCTGTACATCTCTTCAACCTGTACATCTGGTCAGCCTGTACATCTATTCAACCTGTACATCTGGTCAGCCTGTACGTCTGGTCAGTCTGTACGTCTTGTCAGTCTGTACATCTTTGTAGTCAGACTAGGCTCTATACTGATGGCCAACAACTTTAAATTTTCATCTTGATATTCCCCAAAAAAACAAGCAATTATCATAGTATTGCAAGCAATCCATAAGTCCCCTACCGGTTGGAACCCCATCAACATTCTGAAGGGCCATTCACTAATGTTTCAATTTTTCTCTATTTTAAGTAAATTTGTTGGAAAAGTTCTTTAAAAGTGATCACAGGAAACAGTTTTTATGAACAGACAGACAGACGGACTGAAGGACACTCTAAAGTTAATATTTGAAACATCCCTGTTACCAAAATATAACATTTTAAAAGCAAAATTCTTAAACAGGAAATAACTCTTGAATTAAAGATGCAATTTCATAAAAATTTTCAGCTCTTTTTGACTAATCACAAATATTGTTATATTTGCCATGTTTTAAGCCTATTTGTTGCCAAGGCAACTGATATTTTTTCAAAATAGGAAGAACAGATAAGACATGCATAATCTCAAGACTGCCATCTACCCATATGTCAAGTTTCATAAAAATATTTCCAGTACTTTTTGAGTTATCACTGGATTCAGTTTATGTGTAAAATTTGCCATATTTTCAGTCTATGTGTTGCCATAGCAACCAGAATTTTCAACATAGGAAGAAAAGAAAAAGACGTGCATAATCTCAAGACTGCCATCTACCCATATGTCAAGTTTCATAAAAATATTTCCAGTACTTTTTGCTTTATCACTGGATCCAGTTTATTTGTAAAATTTGCCATATTTTCAACCTATTTGTTGCCATAGCAACCAGAATTTTCAACATAGGAAGAAAAGAAAAAGACGTGCATAATCTCAAGACTGCCATCTACCCATATGTCAAGTTTCATAAAAATATTTCCAGTACTTTTTGCGTTATCACTGGATCCAGTTTATGTGTAAAATTTGCCATATTTTCAGCCTATTTGTTGCCATAGCAACCAGAATTTTCAACATAGGAAGAAAAGAAAAAGACGTGCATAATCTCCATACTGCCATCTATCCATATACCAAGTTTCATAAAAATATTTTCAGTACTTTTCAAGTTATCGCGGGATCCAGTTTTGTGGACGGACGGACTGACGGACGGACGGACAGACGGACGGAGGGTAAACCTAAAGTCCCCTCCGGTAAACCGGTAGGGGACTAATTAAAGCTGGACAAGTTCAGTTTAAAAATTCAGTGTGTCAAAGCTGTACGCCTCCAGATGAGCCAAAATGATTCAAGAAATTCTAACTTGAGAAAAATGTACTAAAATCTTAAGAAGAGTAAAAAGATTCAAGATTAAGTTAATAATATACATGTTGTGTGCGATTAATGACTGATTCTGCAGTATTTACCAACATATTTCTACTGCTTGAATAATGCAGGGAGGGCTGTTTTTGGTAATTTCTATAGATTGTAAGTGCCATTTTCAATGAGTAAATTACTTTCACTTACAATATTTTAGTTTAAAACAAATATTCAAAATTTTCATGAAAATTGGCATGAATCTGGACGACAACAATGTGAGATGGCATTGATATTTCAATCTGCATGGCTTATCCACTTGAATATAAAAAGTTTTAAAAACTTCAATTTATTGATATATATAAGATATCATTCATTTACTACAGCCACAGAATACAGGTTAAATACATCCTTTATCTGGAACTAGAAAGGTGTATAAATCTTTCTTGAGTTTTTACTCATAAAAACTCCTAAACTCTCATATATATTCTAATTAATTTATATATTTTAAAGCTTTACTGCCATGTGCCTGTAGTTAACATCTTGAACAAGGAAGTCAAAACGTCCTAGTTTGATTTGTTATCGATTTAATATTGCTATCCAAGTACTCCATATCACATCACTAAATTTAATGTGAATGGGAAGAAGATAGCTAATGATATCTAAAAATAACCTTCAGTTTATTAATGAATATCATCTAATTTATCAAAGAAGCAGGCTCATGTGATAAATAAAATTGAAGGAACTCCTGAAACAAATTTGTTTAAACTAGCTTTAGAGAACATGTTATTTAAAGAAATTATGAAAAATCTTCCAACAATAATCACAGGGTTCGTACAAACATCCAATGCAAAAATTCAAGCACTTTTTAAGCACACTTTCTCATTTTTCAAGCACAATTTGTTGCACATAAATCATTTGTAACCAATGATAAGTCATAAAACATTTAGAACTTTATTCTTGACAGCTAAATAACATACATTGTACCTTATGTGATAATTAAAAATATGTTTTCACGTAAAGTGCAACTTAATTATTCTAGTATGACCAGCAAATTTAATCATTATCATTGTTTATAAATTTTGTTATCAAATTTGATCGTCGTATTTGTTTGTTTTGTTTTGTTTTTGTTAACTGTCGATTTTTAATATAGTTGCAGCAAATTTAAGCGCTTTTATGAGATTAACCAAATTCAAGGACTTTAAAGCACTTTTTTCATTTTCAAGCACTTTTTAAGAAAGGGACTCAAATTTAAGCACTTTTTAAGACTGTAGAAACCCTGAATTAAATTGCTTTTTTACCCAAAATGTTGTTCTACAACTCACCTCATCATCTTCATCTTCGTTATCATCAACACCACAATCATCATCATCATCATCGTCTTCATCATCGTCATCATCATCATCACCATCATTATCATCATCATCATCCGGGTCTGAACAACTATCAGCAGTTTCCTCATTTTCGTCTATATGGTCAGCCATGTCTAAATCAGTCAAATGTTAAAAGGTTAATCCCTTAGTATCATTTAATCCTTATTACAATCTTTAAAAGTACAAATAGTTCGAAAAAACATTATATATTTTTCTGTTTAGTCACACTGTAACAACAGGTGAAGGAAAACCAAAGCACCTCACCATGTATTATATAAGACACTGGCTTGTTTGTTGATAAAGCTACAAACCTGGTAGATACCTAACACTAGAGAATTCAAAGTCAAAGAAGTAAAGGGCTTAGTATATGAGCATTCAAAATAGTCATTATGAATGACTGAAATGTCTGAAGACACAAGCCTGACTCTGATCAAAACAAAATGTTAAATGCAGGCTTATCTGATGGATTTAAGAATATACAAACAACAAAAGTCTGCATCACCCATCATTCTTTTTTTACCAGTTGACACTAAAAATTATCTGAAATGTGTATCACCTATCTGATTTTAACAAACTTGATTATAAACACAATTTAGATAGAATTTTACACCAAACTTCTCAAAACATTCAGAACAAACAGTTAGCAAACATACTACTTGTATCATTAATGTCAAGGTCAGCCTCGGATAATATCTGACTGATCATTTGTGAGTCATGGTGATCATCTATCTCTCCTTCTTCTATATCAACATCTACCAGCACATCTGGTTCCTGATTCTGATCTGTAAACCAAAACAACAACAATACTATTTTAATACATTAAAGTCATTTCAATGTAAACAATAGCCACAAAAATTAGTCTCAAGAAAAACAACATTATAGACATTTGAAACATTGCAAGATTTTATTAACACAAGACATCGGCAATGACTAATTTTCTTGCTCTAGGGCCATCCTTAAAAAAATGTTTGTTTGCAGTAACGCGACCGACTCACAAAATTTTCCCCTACTCAAATTTTTTTTCATGGTCTGGATAAAAATTTTTTTTTTTTTGAATTAGAAAATTATGCCTTGTGCTTTGTTTTCCTTCTTTTAAAGGTTAATAGAAGAAATAAAATGTAGTTCTTATCAAATAAGAATTCAGTTATCAATTTTTTAATTGTTACCAGATTATCAAAGCATATTTTGTCCAGCATTTTGAAATTCCATGTTTATTTGAGAGTACAGTTCAATCAAAAAAAATAAATAAAAAAAATCGACCTACCTACCCACCTTGAAAATTCTGGGTCGGGTTACTGCAAACAAACATTTTTTTAAGGATGGCCTAGGCCTTTTTAAATTATATCATTTCTCTTTCTTTTTTTCAAAACAGATACATGTTTAAGAAAATTTTAATCTCACCAGTTTCCATAATTATTTCTCCCATGACCTGAGATTCGGGGTTTGTGGTACGATCCCTTTCTAGAAGGTCATCCAGCACGTCATCCAGCTCGGACGGTTCGTTTCCCGTCGGTTCTATAACACTATCCTGGTGAGTCTCCTCTAGATCATCGGCCTGCGTGTTGAGAACTTCCTCTATCTGTACCTCACTTGTATTACCAGTGTCGGCTAAACTTGCCGACGCTACCTCTACAAATAACAAAACATCATGGAAATGTTACATGTTACTGGTATAACAGTATAATTGAGAGAGAGTGATGCTAAATGTCTTAGTCAATAAGAGATTCTTATAATAAGGCAGCTAACAGTGTGGATTTATTATCTGAATGCACAGATTCAAAAGATGGTCTAACTATACTGGAGAAACAGGAAAGTCATAACTGCTACAAGTTTTCCAAGCATAACGATTTTGTTTATTTTATTTTTTTTGTATACAAAAACTGTCTGTATATCCTAAAATAACTACTGTTTAGATAGTGTTACAAAAAAACAAACCTCAACAATAAAAGAAACTAACAAAACAAACAACATACCTTGAGTATTTGGGGTAGAAGTATTAACTTCTGGAACATCTGCAGATTCCACTATAGACTTTGTTTTCTGTTTTGCAGACACATTCTGACTGTTCATGTTAACACTACGTGTTAATGTTTCCAATGGTTTCAGAGCGGCGTTAATAGTTGCCGCCATGTACGGACTAGATAAATCCAAACTATACGGAATACGTGCTAAATCAGTCACTAATCCACGTTTCAATAAGTTTCTTACTATGCTATTCATAATATTCTGTTGTCCTTTGAACACTTGATTGGGGATTTGTCCTTGTGTTGGGCATGACTCTATCATTGTGCTTATAATGCCGGTCAATGCCTGCACCCTGGAATGTTTATCCGAACTCTCCGGCAGATTGAGAGCTCTCTGTAATGCTGATTTCACTTCACTAACCAGAGCAAGCTGAGCTTCAGGACTGTGATTACACGAAGCTATGCTCGCGATGAACACACGACTGAGTGCCGGGCAGTCTGCGTCGCCAACATTACCTTGAGGGTGTAACAGATGATCCAATACAAAACCTAATACCGTGCAGTCCTGAAATAAAATATTTTGTAATGTAAAGTGAATAGATAATTTTTTTTTGTTAAAGAACAGAATAAATATGACAATACATTCTTTAACTTTATGTATTATTTTAACATTTCAATTTTTCAAACTTTGTTCACTCGGGGAATATAAAGCTTTATCGCTTAATATTTTAAGACAGGGTCAACATTTGTGTCATGGTTTCTCTGTTTTTTACGCCGATATTATCATGTTATTTGTTCAGATCTCCGTGGTCAATCAACATTACAGGCTTTCCTGGAATTACCAATTTCTCCTCAAGTAACAAGACTATTTTTCCCATTTAATATTTAAATCAGCAGTGAAAGATGTATGATCATTAGATCCAATGTCCAAGATCAACATATTTGTTTGTAATTTCTATTTCCCATATCTGTAAGTATTTCCCATATCTGTAAGTATTTCACATATCTGCAAGTAGTTTACATATCTGTGTAAATATTACACATATCTATGTAAGTATTTCACATATCTGTAAGTATTTCACATATCTGTAAGTATTTCACATATCTGAGCAAGTATTACACATATCTGTGCAATACTTAAAATATCTGTAAGTATTTCACATATCATATACAGTCTAGACTGTCATATGTGACTTTCCAAGGGATCTTCAGAAAAAGGTCACATATGACAGGGAGTCTCTAAATACAGTCTCAAAGAAAATTTAATTTAAATATTATCTATCTGTCTATATACCATTATGACTTAACCCTTTCACTGCCATAGGGACGGCTTAAGCCGTCCCTGTTATTTTCGGCGTATTTGCCATATGGACGGCTTTAGCCGTTTCTATAATAATAATAGTAATAATAATAAATTAATAATAATAATAATAAAAATAATAATAAATATAAAGAAAATTATACCATCGACAATAATTATTATTATACTAACAGATTTAGAAACATATATAATTATTATAATACTAATAACAAATAATAATAATTATATTAATTAATAATATAGTAATTTCTTAGAAAATCCTCCGGCAAATAGGTGAACAATAAAACAATAACCCTCTGGCAGCGAAAGGGTTAAAGATCCTGTATGTTTTGTGATTGACATTGTTACCGTGTGTATATCACACTTGCAAAAAAATGTACATTGTATATGGATATAATTATGCAAATAAAACAATTTTCAAACATCAAAGAATATGTAAAATGTGTACTACAAATATTTGTGCACATTATATTTAATCAATAAATTACATGCATTGATTTCTTATTGGAAAATTTGACTTAGAATTTATAGAAAATAAAGTTCTAATTACCTCCCTTTAATGGCCTTTATTCACATGAAATGTTAAATTGGGTGATATCTTTATAAATAATGTTTATTTGAACTAACAATATTGACAAATCTTAATTTGAGCATCATATTTATGAAATAAAACCATGAAAAAATTGTGTTACAGGATCTTTAAACATATCCATATCCACAGCTTTTCTGGTTTGGTATCAATATTTTTTCCGTATTAATTATGCAGCCATAGAAAGGTAAATTAAAAAAATGCTGCCTTAAAAATCTTCCGTGGGCACTCTTTAATTAAAAAAAAAGATCTAACACAAGTCTTAACTCAGTTTACTCAGGCCATCATGTACATTACACACACACATCGATTGCACCATGCTTGCTACGTCACTTGATACCTGCATGTATACATGTTAACTGTATAATTGAGATAGAGGTGTGTAGACTTTGTTTGCTACTGGATTATAACTGGACTTAATTATTTTGGCCCTCTGGGTGTTATAATAGGTATTATTTATCTGATTAACGGACAATTATAAGGTGTGAAAGTCGTTTAAATCAGACCAAACATTGCATTGGGACCAGACAATTAGGGTCGCTTGTCACATATGACAGGGAGTCGTTTAATTCAGACCATTTATATAGGAAAATATGTTGAGAGTACTGAAACAAGGTCGGATAAGACAGCGAGTCGTTTAAATCAGGGGGTCGCTTAGGCAGTCTCGACTGTATGTGTAAGTATTTCACATATCACATATCTGTAAGTATTTCACATATCTGTAAGTGTATGCAGACAAGAACAACTTACCTCTACTATCAACTCAGATTGTCCAGAATGATACATATGCTGTGTTATAAGCTGAGTGCAGTTACAATACGATTTTATAATCTCCGACAGCATGCGTAAAACTGACGACTTTGTCAACAATGGTCGCTGTGCCTGCTTGTTTTCAGCAGCATTATTCTCTTTGGTCTTCAGTGATTCAGCTGCACCATCACTTCCAGTCTATAATTTCAATGTGAAAGTGTTTTTTAAAAGGCAAACATCAATATTTACACTAAACTTGTTGCAGAATATGTGTCATAAATCCGCCTATAATGACAATGGTGTTCTCCTGCATTGAGTTTCAGGAATTTTAATATCAAAGCAAATTTGCAGAGGTATCAAAATTGATCATTATCAGACAGCGCAGATGTGCTAGATGGTCGCTCTTTAAGCTTGGTGACATAGTGAAAATCATAATCAATACTCAAACTGTAAGGGATAACCTACTCAAGAAGAATGCATATTAAATCTATACGTTCCCATTTCATTAGGACATGCATCTTGTAATTTTCAACAGTATTTTACCGCAACAGTAATTCCTGCTACATATTATAATAGCATACATTCTCCATCTTTTCTATTTTCATATTTCCCATTTATAACAAATACTGTGTCTTTAAAGTTTTACTACTACAGGGAGACCTCAGGTGCCCTTTTGTACATTATTTAAGGCACAAGCAGGCATCTCAGTAAAACCTCAAACCATCTGTTAGCCAACGGTGGCTTCCCAACAAAAAAGAATCCAAAGTCCCTTTTGGGATTAAAATCCACAGCTATAAAGGGATTTCAAATCAACAATATTAATAACTCAGCTGCTATAATAAATTTTCATACAGCTTAAGCAGTCTTCACAACTCATTTGAGTCGTAATTCATCGTCAAAGAAGATTTCCATCAGAAATTTCAGGTGTAGGTGATATTAATGAATTACCTGCGTGTCATCATCCGCCTGTAACATCTCTGCTGTGCTGTTTTGTCGTGTTATTTCAGACTGTCTATCAGATAATTCATTGACAACATCTGCAATTACTTCAGCTAAACTCTGTGAACCCTTTCCTGTAGTATCATTAGATTTACCTGCAACATAACATAAATGTCAATTCAGAAACATCACAGTTTAAAATCATTGTTATCATTTTGTTATACACAAAACTAGCATTTGTTTTTCAACATGTCCTCTAACATTTGGCTTTCACTTAAGTAGATTCCATGGTCAGTTAAAGAGATTTTTATATAAAAATTCTAAATATTAAAGGCACATTAAGCCTAGAAACTATCCATATTTTTTCAATTCTTTACAAATGTTGAACATGTGTTTAATAATGTTTTAATAATGGATTTAGAGCATATTAGATGTTTAACAACTGAAGAAAGTTGTGTTGAATGTTCAGTAATGTGTCATAAAGGAAGTAAAATGTACACAAAGTATTATTTGAATTCCATACAAAATCTTCATTTACTATGTCTATGCCCACTGCCAACATAGCAAAAGAAGTAAAAGACAGTTCATTTATGAGGTAAATGAATATTTGTTTGGAAACTGTTACAAGTTAACAATAATTAAATGTTTTTGAGAAATAAAAATAATAGCATTTTTGAATATTTTTTTGTAATTAACTTTCCAAATCTTTGTAGAATTATGAAAACAGCTTACCATCTTCTGTATTCCATGAATATTTAACAATCAAAGCATCCATAAGACTTTCTATGACAAGTTTCATTGGAGACTGTATGGTGGAAGATGTGGCTTGGTGATCACTAGACACACATTTGAGTATCTGTGGGGAGTTAGGTCCTGTTAGCCTACTTTCATCATCATCTGTGGAAACAAACAGATCATCAGGATTGGTGTTTTGTTGTTTTTTTAAATGTACTTGTCTATTTATAACCATCTTCCATTATATAATGTCAAACAATAAATCTTAGAACAACAGAAACAATTCAGTGCCTAGCCACCACATTCAAGACAAATTTTTCAAGCTAAAACTTACAAAATTTCTATGACAGAGCTTCTGAGCTCCTCTCATTGAAGCAGACATGTTCATTTATGTGCTATAGAACATATACACACATTTAACTACACACATTAGATACTCTCACTTTAAAGATTTCTATATAAAATTAATAAATTTGATCAGCCCTCTCTAAAGAGCCTTGTCACACTGCACAAGTAGGTACTTGTAACATAAGCAAATCACCTCTGGCCTCTAAAAAGTTAAGTTACAAGCCCTTAGTTTTACTAAACATACCTCTTTTTGATGGTGGTGGAAGAGCTATTCTCATACATTGACGAGCCAGTTCAGAAAACAGAGCTGGATTTCTACAGGCAGCTGGTCCCAAAACACGCAATACATAATGCATTTCTTTGGCCCCAACACTCCTCTGTGACACACCACTAAGACTAGAACCAGCCCCAGAACATGTACTCTTTATAACCTGTACAAATAAATCAACTTTCATACTGTACAAATACAATTTCGACTATACGGTAATAGCTTGTACACAAAATTTTCATAATTTATAAATAGTATCAATAAAATCAGAGAGCTATCTAAAAATTAGAAACAGACATTTACCATTTATGTCCAAGATTACAATATCGAAATTACAATCTCTACTCGTGTTTAGATCGGATAAAATACATTTTTCAGATAAAGTTGTTACCTTTTCAATTGCTTACTAAATTTAGTTGTTTTTTGTGTTTTTTCTTTTCTTTAATCACTAATTTAATACAAGGAGTAACCACGGCAGTCATGTCGAGTATGAATTCAACAACACTTTCACATACCTTTTCCATACAGTATCTAAGTGACGAGGGTTCTTCTAAAATATGTCTGAAGATCAGTGTAACGAGTGACAAGAACCCTTGAAAAGCCGAGGCTTGTGTCAGACCTAGTAACAGTTTTGGTCCACCAAGTTCAGCAAACTGTAGTGCATATTTGTGTTCCCTCGTAAGACGTAAAATAAGTCGTAATGCTGCGTGTAACGTCTCCGCCTCAACTGGTACACCTATCATACTCACTATAGAACTGAAATTAGAATGAAAATCTCATAAAATTAAGCAAAATCTTTTTTCTTAACCCATCCTTCTACAGCTGGAAGTGCAAAACAAACTTTCCTGACATTGAAACTGTCCACTGATTACAGGCTTAAGTAACTGAACATCGAAATGCAAAACATAGTGCCTGCTGATCTAGTTGTACACTGGGGGCATTGAATGGCCTTGTTAATTCACACCCAATACTTGTGAAGGTGATGCGTTTCAAAATCAGGGACCTTAACCACTATCATCAAGGATATCATACAATTGCTACCAATTTTGTATCTATGCTTAAGTTTAGTCAGGTAGGAAACATTGATCAATGTCACTTAAATGGTAATTTTATATCAGCATTTAACATTATTTACACAATGAAGAAATTGAATATTGCTTTTAATCATCTGACATTGACAACACACACTGCTTTTCCATTTCCATTTTAACAAACTTATGTTATATAGAACCAATATTGTTTCACAACGTGCTAGTCAATAAAACTTATACATTTCTTTTTTCATGTATAATACAATATCTATGAATAAAACTCTATAAAATAAATACAAACTAAATACTGAATCCATAAGACTCTATCTATTCTTGCATATCAGACTGGTGTTTGGGTTAGTTTTACCCATGCCAGAAATTTCATCTGTCATGAGGGGTGGCCAGATGAGCCGCGTGCTATACAGTGACATCATTTTAGCGCATTTTATGAAAGAACCACATTTAAATGACATGCAGTCTCGGCAAGCTTGTTACCAATCAATGGACAGGTCCCCACGGGATGGATATTCTGAACCGCAACATTTGTAATTATTATTACCTAATAATGTTTGATATTTGTTTTGTAGAAAGGCCATGTACAACAACAGCATCTTTTTTCTGAGCACTAGTTGACGGCATCTCAGAGTCTGTGTCCATCTTGCTTTCTGTAGACTGGTTCTCTGTTGTGTTCTCTTCTTTCTTCTCATTAGACTGCTTCACTTCCGACTGTGACAGACACGTCAACATGATCGGACGCCTGTTAGCCGTGTCCTCATTTATCTGTTCAAAGTAAAGAAACAGTCTTCACTGTTTTAGTTCCATTTTTAAGACAACCACATGACCATCGATTCAAAAGAAATAATTATACATATGAAATAAAATGTTTTCCCTAAGTATGTTGCAGGTTAAGTTAGATATCAATGTCAATCCAGCGTTCGCCAGATGTTGAACAATTTAATAATCCCATAAAATGTATAAACTACATGTATAAGAACAGTGAATTTTTCAGCAAAAGAGGAATGGTGGTTGTGACCTTTTGCAGAGGAGAAAATTCTATTGCAAAATAAATCAAGGACTATAGAAAGTACGTCAAATCCAGTGAAATTTTTTTTTTTTTTTTTTTTTTTGTGAAAATTGTCATTCATCTTGAGAAATATAATTAAACAAATGGATTTCAAATATAGTATTACATTAGTTAATTGAGAGCAATTCTTTTGTTGTTTCACAAATTCATGTTTATATAAATAAAACATCACTGTAATGACTATAACTAGTGTTGTACCTGAACCATGGAACTGAAGTACACAGTATAACGTCTCCTGCCAGCTGTAAACTTGACACTACTTTCACCAGCCTGGTATGCATCGTCTATTGTCTTATTATTACTAGCACTGTACTTACACCAACGTCCACTAGTGTCATCAAACCATTTCCATGTGTGACAATCAGCCTAGCATTTATACAAACATCTATTTATAGATTCATGGTTAAACAGTAAAATACATTACTTGTACAAAACTGAACTGTTAAATTTCCTCTTTTTTTTTTTTAAATTTTATTTCCAAGATTATAACTAACAACCTTCTGCAAGCTGTGGTCAAAGTGTTTGAACACAAGTGAGACCCTCTTAATAACAAAACTGTAATGTAAACCAGGGGTCATGTGTGTGTGTTTGTTTAGGGGAGGGGTCCCCTAGCAAGATTCCAACCAACAGCAGTACCAGGCAAGTGCAATGAAGAAGGCTATCAAAAAGTGAAGAAAATATTTAAACACAGATATTGAATTAGTGACTCCAACTGATTCTATTAGTATCACCACATTATTCAAACCAGGCATTTTGTTTTACAAAGTTGTCTTACCAAAGTTTTTTCGGCTTCAGCTTTCCTTTTTGAAATGACAGAAACTTTCTCATACAAGTCCAGGAGAAGTAACAGGGGTGCCAGCCACCTAAAGTTGACAAAAAATATAACAACATGAAATACGAAAACAATCAAAACTGCATATTCTATCTTTTACATAAGAATAAAAGAATCCATTTTCAGGTTTAACTTATTTCAAATGAGTGAAATATTAGAAATACCACTGAAAGCTATTTACAAACATTGCATTTAATACAAGAATATATTTTTTTGAGCCAAGACAATTAAAATTTTACTCGAAGTCATTACTGAATACATACTTGGGGGTGCTAACACTTTTCACTGCCATGAGATAATCTTTACCGGCCATCATCACTTGTACTAGCAGATCTGTGAGATTGTTGTTCTCTACTGCTTCTGCACATGGCATCATAGTCTCCTGTATGTAAATAATATCCTAGGTAAACTTAGGTTCTAGAACAAGAGCGATCAGTGATCACATGTGTCGCCTCATGATGGCCAATTTCATGTTAGGACAAGTTTTGTGACAGACAGACAGTGCACAACAAGACTTGGTACAGGTGTCGCCTCATGATGACCAATTTCATGTTAGGACAAGTTTTGTGACAGACAGACAGTGCACAACAAGACTTGGTACAGGTGTCGCCTCATGATGACCAATTTCATGTTAGGACAAGTTTTGTGACAGACAGACAGTGCACAACAAGACTTGGTACAGGTGTCGCCTCATGATGACCAATTTCATGTTAGGACAAGTTTTGTGACAGACAGACAGTGCACAACAAGACTTGGTACTGATCATTCCTGTAAAGTTTGGATAAAATTGCACCAGTTCTTTATGATAAGTAGTCCGAACAAGCTTTTGTGTATCTGGCAACACATAGAAAAAAAACACCTTTTTATCAAAGGGCCATAACTCGGCCAAAAATCTTTCAACCAAAAAACCCGTGCAATGTGCGCAAGGACTTGAGCTACAGATCAATTTTGTAAAGTTTCATTGAAATTGCATTAGTGGTATAAGAGAAGTAGTCCGGACAAACTTTAAAAATAAAAATTATTAAAGGGCCATAACTCTTACAAAAATCATTGAACCGAAAAATGCTGACAATATGCACAACTAGACTTGGTACTGATCATTCCTCTAAAGTTTGGATGAAATTGCACCAGTAGTTTATGAGGAGTAGTCCGGACAAGTTTTGTGACAGACGGACGGACAGACAGACATACGACGGAGAAGTGATCCCTATATGTCGCCACTACTCCGTAGAGACGACACAAAAATGACCAGTAAACAGTTAATTGTTCAGTCAAACCTCAATGATAAATTACTTCCACTGAATAAAAACAACTTCACAGTCTCTCAGTTTTTGTTGTTCTTGTTTTTAGTATGTAAACAGTTTTCATTAGTAAAAAGATGTACTTCAACGAAGACCTTATTTCTTATTTACTATGGCCTTGAAAATGTCTACAAAAAAGCTTTCTATATTCTTTTTCACAAAGTAAGGTCTTGCAAATCACTACTAAAATTTTGTCTATGTCCACAAGAACAATGATTTTTGGTAATATAAATACCACAGTTAACCTTTAGTATCTATCTTTAGTAATTCTGTCTTATACAATTATGATACATTATAAGCTATGGTGCAAAACTCTCTCCTGGACAAGCATTGGGTCACTCGTCCTGCAGGTGTAGCTTCTAAATCCAATGTGTAGGCAACATTTTCTACTTGTCCTACATCAAGTTTTCTTAAATCAATTCTACTCGTAACTACAAGCGGACAGGTGGAATTTATTTTATCTCTGACTCCAAATCTTTATCCCTTAGTGCTAGCAAAATATGTTACCTCAAACAGGAGACTAAAGAGATGAATCCTGACAGCAAATTTGGCCGCCTCTGTCTCAGCAGTCTTGTTACTAGTGTCCGACATAGAAGACAGTGACAATATACTCTTAGCTAACGTTTTCACCTGTAATGTAATATACAGAGGATATTGAATGAGTGTGAGTTTAAAACTGCATTTAATGGATTGAATTACTGAATTGAATTTTTTGAACTCATGGAATAAATGATATTAGCTCGCCAGTGGCTAGCATAATATGATTTTTTACAACAAGTTCAATAAATTTAGTATTAAAGTTACACAAATATAACATTCTATTTATCACATAATAAAGACCGTTTGCAGTGAAAATAAACCATTTTCCATTGTTGCGCCTATAGTATAACGCTAACATTTAGTGAGTCTTAATGCTATGTTTATATAACAAAAATAACGTCGCATCAAAATATATACATGGCTTGTTCTATTAAAGAATTAACAAGATTACTGACCTCTGCCACCAGTGTATTTAGCACCATGTTCTGCCATTCCTGACCGTTCCTTTGTGTGACAACAATAAGTAACTCACAAACTCTGTACACTGTCTCCGGGAGCGTATCTAACAATGTGAGACAGCCTGGGAAAAGTTTCTCAGTGAAGTCATCCAGCACAGATTTATCAAGTGGTTCCTGAGAATCCTGTTTTTCCTCCTCTTCTTTCTTCTTTCCCTCGTCCTCCGTCTTACTCTCACCCTGAAATTATTAGCCAGGGTATGAACAAACAGGTAAATGTATAAATGAAAATATCTATCTGTTATGTCTTGCAATTCGAATGAGACCTGGCAGGTATCTGAGGGATGGATATTCTTATTTGAACCGCACATAGATTTTTTCTCACATGGAAATTTATTTTTTCTCACATGGATATTTATGGGATTTCATAAATAACAATGTTAGTATAATAGTGTATAAATTTGCAACGTCATTTATAATGGAGTAATGACAATATTTTTGAGCACGAGACTCATTTTTCACCCCTATGCCAGATGAAATTTCAGGCATGTATAGAACTATCAGATAAACACAGTTTGATATTCAATACAGAAAGTAATACATTAGGTATAAGTTATTAAACAAGAGGGCCATGATGGCCCTGAGGTCGCTCACCTGTATATAGCCCCCCCCCCCCCCCACACCACACTAAGAAGATGTTTCATGCTAAACATCTTAGCTCTAGCTCATTTAGCTCATTGGGCTTTTTAAAAGAATTTTTTTTAAAGTTTTTACTATACACATAAAGTTAAAAACAATGACACCCCTGGGGCGGGGCCAGTTTTGACCCAAGGGCTTTTATTTGAACAAACTTTGTAGACACTTACTAGAAGATGTTCCATGCTTAAGATCTAAACTCTAGCTATTTGGGTTTTTTCAAAGAAGATTTTAAGTTTTTGCTATACACATATAAGGAAAATCAATGACCCCCGGGACGGGGCCAATTTTGACCCCAGGGCTTTTATTTGAACAAACTTGGTAGACACTTACTAGAAGATGTTTCATGCTTATTATCTAACTTCTAGCTATTTGGGTTTTTTCAAAGAAGATCTTTTAAGTTTTTGCTATACACATATAAGGAAAATCAATGACCCCCGGGGCGGGCCAATTTTGACCCAGGGCTTTTATTTGAACAAACTTGGTAGACACCTATTAGAACATGATTGATGCTAAATATCTTAGCTCTAGCTCTTTGAGTTCTTTAAAAGAAGATTTTTTAAGTTTTTACTATATGCATATAGGGAAAATCAATGACCCCCTGGGGCGGGGCCAATTTTGACCCCAGGGCTTTTATTTGAACAAACTTGGTAGACACCCATAAGAAGATGTTCCATGCTAAACATCTAAGCTCTAGCTCATTGGGCTTTTTAAAAGAAGATTTTTTAAAGTTTTTGCTATACACATATAGTTAAAAACAATGACACACCTGGGGCGGGGCCAGTTTTGACCCCAGGGCTTCTATTTGAACAAACTTTGTAGACACTCACTAGAAGATGTTTCATGCTTAATATCTAAACTCTAGCTATTTGGGCTTTTTCAAAGAAGAGTTTAAGTTTTTGCTATACACATATAAGGAAAATCAATGACCCCCGGAGCGGGGTCAATTTTGACCCCAGGGCTTTTATTTGAACAAACTTTGTAGACACTCACTAGAAGATGTTTCATGCTTAATATCTAAACTCTAGCTATTTGGGTTTTTTCAAAGAAGATTTTTTTAAGTTTTTGCAATACACATATAAGGAAAATCAATGACCCCCGGGGCAGGACCAATTTTGACCCCAGGGCTTTTATTTGAACAAACTTGGTAGACACCTATTAGAACATGTTTGATGCTAAATATCTTAGCTCTAGCTCTTTGAGTTCTTTAAAAGAAGATTTTTTAAGTTTTTACTATATGCATATAGGGAAAAATCAATGACCCCCTGGGGCGGGGCCAATTTTGACCCCAGGGCTTTTAATTTGAACAAGCTTGGTAGACACCCATTAGAACATGTTTCATGCTGAATATCTTTAGCTCTAGCTTTTTGAGTTCTTTCAAAGAAGATTTTGTAAGTTTTTACTATATGCATATAGGGAAAATCAATGACCCCTGGGGCGGGGCCAATTTTGACCTCAGGGCTTTTATTTGAACAAACTTGGTGCACACTCATTAGAAGATGTTTCATGCTGAATATCTTAGCTCTAGCTCTTTGGGGTTTCTTTAAAAGAAGAAGTTTTAAGTTTTTACTATATGCATATAGGGAAAATCAATGACCCCCTGGGGCGGGGCCAATTTTGACCCCAGGGATTTTATTTGAACAAACTTGGTAGACACTCACTAGAAGATGTTCCATGCCAAATATCTAAGCTCTAGCTCTTAGGGTTTTTTAAAAGAAGAGATTTAAAGTTTTTTCTTTCGGTTGCCATGGCAACCAGAGTTCTGCATGGAATTAAATTCTTTGAACAATTTTTAAAGGTGACCACCAAAGGAACATTCCTGTGAAGTTTGGATGAAATTGGCTTAGTGGTTTATGAGGAGATGTCATTTAAAGTAAAAGTTTACGGACGACGGACGGACGCCGGACGGACGCCGGACGAAAAGCGATCACAAAAGCTCACCCTGTCACTTTGTGACAGGTGAGCTAAAAATTAATAAACAATCTAATAACCATTTTTTTTCATATGGAAAACCTGGTTAAAAATCAGTTGCTGAAACTGTATTACCATGAAAATGTATCAATTCCTTCAATGTATAGAATTAAGGGAAAGTATGATATACCTCTGTATCTTGTCTTAAAGATAGAGCTATTGCCTGTAACATTTGTTCATCCTCATTCATATCCATACTTGTCATGGTCTGAAAATACATGACCACATATTACTGTATATACAACTGTCAGTCATCGAGTAACAAAATATACAACAAGTGTAATTTATAATATTTTGCTACCAGATACATATATGTTGAAGTTTGGCTCATTCATAAATTTAACAATATTGATTTTAAAGTCAAATATTTTTAAATGAAGTGAAAATACCTTCATGCCATGATACTTTTGCATGCATATGCAAAGAATTGTGACCGATCGTGTAAAAACTGAACACTTTGGTTTGGTTATTTTCATCTATTTTCTTAATTATTATCTTCTTTTCAGAGTGGATGGGGTCCTTTTTGAAACCCAGACACAAAATAATAAAACACTTTAATTTTATTAATCTGTGGAATATATACTCTTTTGTTTGAGCACATATACAGAACAATTCCCTTCAGAACAAATAAAACTGTTCATATAATATATATGAGTAAAAAGATTTAGTACCAGTACAGTCAGCATATTCAGAATTCTATCACTAAAGCAAAAGTACATGTATGTCAAATTCAGACCAGTTTCAGTGTTATGTACTATATGTATATACTTCGACCTAGTTGGAATACTTACAGGAGGAACAGGTTGTGGTGAGAATCTACTGGTACCATCAGATGTGAGCAGGTACTCTGTAGCCTCCTCCAGTGTGTTTGTGTGTAACAATGCATCTACACACCTACTCCTTGTAAATCCCATTTCCATCAACTATCATTTAAGAATACAGAAATCATTACTATTGATGCTTTTAAATAGTTGATTCATGCTGAATATGAATCTGTATGCAATTAATATTTTACAACTGCTTTCATTCCTAAGCATACTTTTTTGCCTATTTATTCATTTATTTCTTTTCTTATTAATTTACTTCTTATCTCGGATATTAACGTTTTACATTCTCTCATTGAATTTATCTTTCACAAATGCCATTTACACATTACTGAACAAATAAAATTTTAAATATGCCCATTTGAAACTACTCCAAATTGGAGCTGGACTTATCCAGAGGTAAAGTCATTCTCAGACGACAAGGATACATGTGGGAAATTTGGAGATATGTGTTTAAATACATGAATAAAATGAAGATCAAAGAGTAACATACAGCATCTACATGCGAGTCATTGACTGGTCTCAATGATGCTGGTGCAGCTGCAGCTGTTGCCCCTGACAACGCCGATATTCCCGTCGCTGGTACTGGCTGCCCTACAACACTTGTTCCCGGCACTGTAGCACTACTACTGGAAGTACTAGCAGAAGCCACATCGCTGGTTGCAGGCTTCACCTTAGCCATATGCTCCTGACAAATTGAATTATAAACAATTCAGTAAATACTGTCACTTATAATCTTCCTGACGAGAATACTATATGTTGGTTAATTATCATTCATCAACATTTGGTTACCAATCAGTTTGTGAAAACAACAATTTTATTGTATATCCTGCCAAAATTGTATGTTTGCTTGTACTTTATAACTGTATTTAGTCACCAATCAGTTTGTGAACAATTATTGTAATGTAAATCCTTCCAATATATTTGCAACTACTATGGCCCTTTTTAAAATTCCTCTTTTAAATCAGTCTAAGTGTGGAAACTACATTGTATATCAAATTTGCATTCATTACAGCTCCTGTCCTATGTAACAATATCATAACACAGCTTCAGCCTTGTTTAACAGTGTAACACAGCTCGAGCATTGCATGACAAAATTATGACAATATTATGAAAGAGTGTCAACCTTGCCTGACAATGATATTATACTTACATTTATCACAGCTTCAGCCTTGATGATATGGCACATTATAGCAAGTATGGACTCTGACATTCTACCTCCATACATCTTTAATGGCTTCTTGTTCCACAAGTTCATCACTGCATTAAAAGCAGCCTGTCGAATTAAAAAGAGCAGAGAACATTCAATTAAACTGATGAAGTATTTATATTTTTTATACAAAATTGTAAACTATAACTTGTTAAGCCAGCTTAACTTAAACCATTGTCGAAAATAAGGGATTAGCCTTTGCCACTAGTAAAGAGCCAGGCCAGCTTGCATTGTACTGTTGGCAACTCAAATTTGTACTTTCTTTCTTAAATCCCTAAAAAATTGGACTTGGAAAGTTCCAATTTCAAAGCAGGGCATACTGTATCTGTTAAACAAATTTAGCAGCACAGGTTAAGGGTTAACGCTTCAAATACAGTTATCATGCACAATGCATTGTCTCAACAAAATGAAAATTTACCCACAAAGTTATTTCCTTCTTACCCAAGATCTTTAAGACCCCTTTTTGATGACTTATCTCAAACATAGACCTTGACCTCTAAACTACATAAAAATGCTTCTTATCATCCACTATCAACAACAAGAGGGCCATGATGGCCCTAGATCGCTCACCTGACTTATCAAACTCATCCAAACAATTACCTAGACAACCGTTCTGACCAAGTCTCATGACAGGTGAGTCAAAAATGTGACCACTACAGTGTTAACAAGAATTATCCATATTTGAGCAGTGCGACCTAGTTTTTTACCCAGGTGACACATATTCAAACTTGACCTAGAAATCATCAAAACAAACTTTCAGACCAATTTCCAGGATACTTGGATCAAAACAGTAGCAACTAGAGTGTTAACAAGATTTTTCTATTTTTAGCTCCGGTGACCTAGTTTCACATGCGATTTCTAACTCATCCAGACAAGCATCCTGACCAAGTTTGATGATAATTGAGTCGAAAATGTGACCACTAGAATGTTAACAAGGTTTTTTCCATATTTGGGCGGTGTGACCTAGTTTTTCATCCAAGATGACCCAATTGTTTGAACTTGACTTAGAAATCATCAAAACAAACTTTCAGACCAATTAACAGAATATTTGGATCACAACAGTAGCCACTAGAGTGTAAACAAGATTTTTCTATTTTTAGCTCCTGTGACCTAATTTTTCATCCGAGATGACCCATGTTCGATTTATTCCCAGCAATGACCTAGACAAGTTTCCTGACCAAGTTTGATGACAATTAAGTCAAAATTGTGACCACTAGAGTGTTAACAAGGTTTTTCTATTTTTAGCTCCGGTGACCTACTTTTTCATCCGAGATGACCCATGTTCAAACTCATCCAAGCTATCACCTAGACAAGCATCTTGACCAAGTTTGATGATGATTGATGCAAAAATGTGACCGCTAGAGTGTTAACAAGGTTTTTCTATTTTTAGCTCCGGTGACCTACTTTTTCATCCGAGATGACCCATGTTCGAACTCATATGAGATTTCAACTAGATAAGCATCCTGACCAAGTTTGATGATGATTGATGCAAAAATGTGACTGCTAGAGTGTTAACAAGGTTTTTCTATTTTTAGCTCCGGTGACCTACTTTTTCATCCGAGATGACCCATGTTCAAACTCATCCGAGCTATCAACTAGATAAGCATCCTGACTAAGTTTGATGATGATTGATGCAAAAATGTGACCGCTAGAGTGTTAACAAGGTTTTTCTATTTTTAGCTCCGGTGACCTACTTTTTCATCCGAGATGACCCATGTTCGAACTTATACGAGCTATCACCTAGACAAACATCCTGACCAAGTTTGATGATGATTGAGGCAAAAATGTGACCTCTAGAGTGTTAACAAGGTTTTTCTATTTTTAGCTCTTGTGACCTAGTTTCTCATCCGAGATGACCCATGTTCGAACTCATCCGAGCTATCAACTAGATAAGCATCCTGACCAAGTTTGATGATGATTGAGGCAAAAATGCGACCGCTAGAGTGTTAACAACTAAATGTGAACGGACGACGGACGGACGACGGACAATCATCGATCCTAAAAGCTCACCCTGAGCATGCTCAGGTGAGCTAACAAACTAATGAAAAACTGGAAAACCAGCCATTCATATTTCTGAAAACGAACATCGAAGTATAACTTTATTTCAATTTTCAAAAAGATAAACGAATTGCATACCTTTTGAGCTCCAATGAGAAACTGAATGGGATCAAAGGGTACAAATCCTAGCTGAGTGGATTTAGCAGGAAGCTGGTGTGAGGATTCTAGCACCGTCTTTGGGTTCACCATCTTCTCTATCAACATCAGCCAAGCATCAAGAAACTCTCCAGTACCAACTGAAAAGATTTTTAAGTATTATATAAACATTTAAAGTACAGATGGCAATGGGTACCAATTTCAGTACTTTATTATTTGGTCATTCTTCAAATTGAGTACCTCGTTACATCAAGAAACTCTCCAGTACCAACTGAAAAGATTTTAGATAATATATAAACATTTCAAGATGGCAACGAGTACCCATTTCAGTACTTGGAGTATCTGCTCATTTTTCCAGTTTAGTACTTGGTTACTAGGGAGATTACTTAGTACTTTTAAAGAATGTAACTGTAATCTATCTAAAGTATCTTATAATCCATTTCTGTCAAACCCATCACAAGAACGAAGATGGTAATTCAAAATCATGACATCGTCCGCCATCCACTTTCGTTTATTTTCTTAATACACAGAATTGACTGAATATAAAAACCTTGATTTTGGGTATAATTAATTATCATTCAAAGCCATTAGCCCTAAGTTGTTTATATATCAAGTACCTTGTAACAGATTTATTGAACACTAATTCTAGGTAGTTGAATGCCATAAGCAACCAAAAATGATATAAGCAACAAAGTTGTTGTTAATTGTATACACCTGTCCAACTACATTGTATTGACAACCCATTTCTAAAGTATTGAATGATACACAAAGCCAGAATCTTACCTGGTAGATCTGGGTTTTCCAGGCCCTCGTCCAATGATACCTGTCCGTTGATGGAGAGAGCCCAGTTAAATGCCTGAAATAGAGCATCTTGCCCACCGCATGACAGGAATTTCTGTAGCATCAGATGATAAGGCTGTTTCTTGTCATCAAACAACATTGGGGAAGTAAACCCAACAGAACACACCAGGAATGTTAACCTATTAGCATAGAAACATACATTTTAGAATGGCTGAAAATGAGGGAAGAAATTGTTACAAAATCTTTGTTTTTTAATTATACTGACAATGTTTTAAAAGCACATAGCTGGCAACAATCGGGTAGATGTATAACCCATTTTTAGTCACTTAAATATCTGACATCATGGTAGCAAAATATTCAGACTACAATATCTAGTTCAATACATTTGTAATTCACTTATGTGTCCCATGTCCAAACTGACTAATTTTCATAGTGTTAACAATGAAATTGAATAAAATAAATGTTTAGAAACAACATCCCCCCCTACCAAAAAAACCCTACAGAGCTAGAGGTCGTACCTTAGTTTAGGATGTGGAGAATAGGAAGGTGGTTCCCATTTCAAGCCATCAGTAAGCAGCTTTGTGAGAGCCTTGGCTACAGACTGGGCTGCAGGAGTTGGGACTATTGGCATTGTAGGTGGTAACTGGTTCCCTCTCTGTCTCAGCCTTCCTCCAACAGATAGCTTCACAAGGAGACCAAATAATTCAGCCAGGGCCCGTCCTAATCTTGAGGAGACAGTCAGCAATGGTTTGAGCTGCTTCACTTGTGCCTGAATTCATTAAATCAGAATATTTAAATGTGAATCAATTGCATTCATGATAACATTGTACAAAATCATAAAGTTTTACATGCAAATATACTGTGTAAAAAAAATAAAATTGTAAATTCAGAAATTTTTGTATGGTTTCATATGACTTATTTCTAAAATTTAAGATTTTGGAGGGGAAAAAAATGGAGAAAATGTTTGCTTAATATCTAAGAAACATATCAATTTAACAGAGCTGAAAGTAGAAATTTGAGAGAATTTAACCTTGCCACTTTGTCTGAAATTTAGATTTCACGAAATATGGCACTGGTGAAAACGTCTAACATTACAGTAAATATTCAGAGAATAGATATTATCATTTAGTATCTCAAAAATGATCAAGAATTACTAATGTATACAAAATAATCCAAAGATAGAAATTTAAAATCTTGCTTTCAAATGTTTTTTTTTTTATATTTGTAAGCAAGATAATAACCTGTAAAGCTGGGGACAATTTTGATTTCTTGCTGTCTTTGTCGCTAGGTGTTGTTTCTTCTGTATCCATGGTTACTGGAGTATCCGAGGTGGACAGAGACTCCATGGCTTGGCTGACTCCATTACTGCCAGGACTGACGGAAGCTCGGGACATTGCGGTCTCTTCATCTTTACTGTCCGTCTCATTTTTGAAGTCTTTCGGTAACAACTTGCTCATATCTGATCGTCCAAATTCGCTGTTGGCAGGTAAAATGTCCTCACTACACAAAGCTAGGAGCACCGTGCTCTCCCAGACTAAGGACGTGTACAACTTACTGAGGCCAGAGAGAACCTCTAATCCTAGTTCCGAGCCCCAATGATTTACAGATATAGTCCTTATGTCAGTCTACAACACAAAAATTAGTAATGAAAATATCTCTAGTATGTTACATAACTAGTTCAACAGTATCTACACAAAACTTTTCTAAATAACTTTGCAAATAATTTTTTTATCGATAAATCAAATACAAAATGTACTTATACTTGCATTATCTGCCATAGTTTGTAACAAAACTTTGTAACAAGGCACAATACTGGTATTCTTCAGTCACAAAACAAAATACCATAGTTCATGCACAATGCATTTATGGGAAAAATGATTCAACTGTGACACATTTTCAATAGAAAGGTCTCCAAACTATGAAACAAGTATAATTACCTGTCCCATCTTACAGACATGAACAAACATCATGATGTAGGCATGAGCTGATGAAAGATAATGTAGTAGCGGTGTAGCATTTGGAGATAGTGTAGCATCTGGTATATGGGCTACACTTGCTAGCTCCCTCAGCAGTACCGAGCCTCCTGGTCCATCAAGGGGCCGATGAAGAGGTTCAAGCCCCTCAAGAACTGTATTCAGCTTTTTCAAACCTTCTTCAAGCACTTTAGGGTCTCTTAATAGCGTCTGTAAACATGGAGAAAAGTTTATGTCATGTTAAAGAAACATTTCTTCTACATGTAAAAATAAATCATTTCCTATAGATTGTCAAACCAGCAAGTTTTGTTTTCTTTCTCCCACTTTTGGGAACACAACTGGGCCTACCAAATATTTTGAGTTAAGCAATTATGCATTTTATAGTCATCTGAAGGTTTTAATAACATTGTGTGAAAAACTAACTCATTTCTGCCATTATCAACAAAACTGTTCATCAGACAGGAAATAATACTGTATGGATCTATGAATAGATACAGGAATGAACTTTCAATCAAATATTTCCTATCTTAGCTATTTAAGTTGTTTGAATAGGAATACTACCACTATATATCTCACCAGAATAGCTTTGCAAACACTGGCAACAGCCTGACAGGCTGGCGATGCTGGAAACTCAATGGGAAGGTTCGGCATACCAAGAATGTCCATCAGTTCTGGTAAACCATTCTGTCCGACAAATTCCCGACAATGATCATCTGTTGAGTTATTACTGAGAATAGCCTCCACAAACTTCATCTGTAAAAACATACATGTATATTATTACATACAGAACTAATCTATTGTATACTGTCCATTTGACAAAGAAAATGTCAACAGTTTAACTGCCATTATGCCCATCCAACGGTATACAGTGAGTAACAGGTGAAAGTAAAAAAAAAGTTTACATTTTTCCTCTAATTTTATGAATTACTTCACATGAACAATAAATAAACACCCAAAGGGAATTTATGTAAATATCAATCAGAATTAACCTGCAACGTTCAAATTACAGTTGGGCAATCTTCTTACATTTTATGCAGATTTATAATTTATCCTGACAATTTTCAAACATGAACTGTTGGTCAATCACCATTATTAGAGTCAATCTTGAGACTTCAGAAATATTTACTAAATTCGGTTTAAAATGACAATGGGAAAATGAGCATAATATCACTTTAAGAGGAATAAGCCTCAGCATGTTTCAAGCACCTTGATTTGTGCAAATTCTTTTATGATGTTTATACAAAAAATTAATTTATGATCAGAGGTGTGCTAGCTTTTACAAGATTTCTTTACTTGCATTTGGTTAAAAACTGTTCATCTAGTAGAAATAACATCCATTTTTACTTTAATTTTATAAATATAAAAATTTATTGCCCAATTCATTAATGTTATAACAGATTTCGTAAGAAGACGACATTACCACATTCAGTACGTAATCCATTAACGGTATGGCACGTTTGTCAGTACTCTCAGTAGTTGAACTCCCAGAACTGAAAACATTCAATAAAATCAATGAAATATGATTAAATAAAGTAACTATACAAATCTCATTCAAAACAGAAGGTTACATTTGACATTTTCTACCCAACATTTTTATTCTTCACAACTTCTAAACACTTACTGATCTTTAATTACAAGCTATGTAAATTTTCGTCTTGCCAATTATCCATTTTTTTATTATTTTTTTTTAAACCCCCACCCCATGTAGCTTTGCTAAACATAACAATGTAAACTTAATAATGTGCAGTTACAAAATGGCAAAATATATGACGATACTAACGGTTCAGAAGATTTGGACTCGGATGCATCCACTTCCTGTTGGGCCTGTGAACTTCCTGACGGTGCCATTTCCTCTTCCTCCTCCTCTTCATCAGATGAGCCACCATCTTGGGCCTGTGGTGAGCGTAGATTGAGGAGCATCTGCTCTGTCTTTGGCTGAGGTTTCTGGCATATGTACATATTGTCCCTACCCAGGGAGTTCACCTCTTGTAACAACTATATCAGAGAGTATCAAACAACTGTATATTGCATCATAAATATTCTTATATATAAAAACATACACACAAAACATTTCTTCGACTTTCAATTTGAGAGGATAATGGTGAAATTTCCAGCATTTTTCAGAACTATTGAAATGTTTTTAATTCAAATTGGGCTAAGAATCACACAATAAAATAAAAATATTTGCTTGAGTACAATTCTCTATCATCTTTTGTATATTTTTCCATTTTAAGAACAACACTCTTGAATCAAGTGAAATATCAATGAATAAACACAGTAAGTTTCACATACCCGAATGATTGCCTTTGTGGCATCTATGCGTAGAGAGGGTTGATGTCTCATCAGTTCATCCATGGCATTACCAAGGTTACTCGCTGTATCCCCTGAAAAAAGGGCCAAAGTGTAGTTTCAAAAAACAGTTTTATTGGCACCAGTAAATACTTCATATGCTTTGCTTTTTTCATATTTGGCACTTCTGTCAAGTCTATTCACACGAGTTGTAGGATTTTTGACTAGCAGCCCAGTCCTTGCATTTATATAAAGTTTGCCAACCCATTGCAGCACATTTACTTCAAAGTTACAAATAATTACATTATGACACTCGAAAGAAACAATAGTTTTTTTCCTCAACCTATTGTATGTTAAACATTTATTAAAAGGATTTCTATGTGCAACTTTTGTTTTGTTCAGAAATTTGGTACAAGTTATGTAATGTAAAGTCTTACCAAACGGGTCAGCACTTCTTCGCCTTCTCATAGCAGGTAAATAGTCTGGCGACAGCAAAACCTTAAATAGTCTCTCAAATGGCTGGCACTTGACGAAGGACTCTAACCCTCTAGCATTAAGACAGAGGGCGCTGAACACATTTGGTAACGAGGCTAGCACTTCTCTTGTAGCTGGTACCTATCATATGGCAATATAACAAAATATGGTCATAAATTTATGGGAGAAATATTTTACAGAAAAAAAAAAAATACAATAAGGGGAGTAATTCTAGAAGAGCTTCCTCTGTTTAATGATTTTTTCTCCTTTCAGATCAGGGTATAATTCTAAATAAATATTGACAAGCTCTCCAGCAGCATGTTATAACACTGAAAGAGAATTTTGAATAAACTTTTCAGACAACTAAGATACTTCATTATGACTGACAACACAGTTTTTTTTAAATATCTTTGAAAAATCTGGATAGCCTGTAGAAACTCTGCCTATTACACAAAACCCAAGATTAAAGTTTATATTTTACTAATAACCTTCTCACTTTCAACACACCTGTTCCCTGTACAAACAGTACAATCTATTTGCCAACAGAACAGGTATACCCATTATTGCAATGTATGATGTGAAATTTTTCTAGCAAATACACTGTTATCTTACAATAGTTCTTGCAGTGAAAGAGTTAATAATCTCGTTCTTTTAGACGAGTCGATAACTATAACTACAAGTAACTATAACTAGGTGATAAGATATAAAGTATTTTACATCTTTGATCAGAAGAGCATGAAGAACAACATCAGTGAGACCATTATCTTGTAAAGAGGAAAGGAGAGACGGTTCCTGGAATACATACACTGTAACCACATCGGTCGCTGAAATATACAACAATACAGCAAACATTTAACAACATCTATTGTGTAAGTAAATCATGACATAATTATTATCTAGTTACCTAGTTTTGTTTGACAATGATTATGGCTAAAGCACCAACAGTAAATGTACAAAACAACTTTCCACCAACCACAAATGCTTATCTGTGTATTGTATATATGTGTGATACAAGTGGTGTTTGCATTCAACATTATTAAAAGCATATATATCACAGTACCTCACCAAGCTGGTCTGAAGACCTTATTTGAAACAAATCCTCTTATAATAACAAGCTATCTATACAGGAGTTCACTAAACAGTTTTATGAAAAGCAAGTATCTAGTAAAACAAGTTCAAGAAAAAGGTGCCAACTTAAAACCAATAAACAATAAAAATAGTTTTTAGTTGAGATTTCCAGAGTAAAGTAAAGTTAAGGTAATACTAGTTCAACTTTGTGAAGGTATACAACAACAGCTGGTCAATACTACAACCAAATCAACCCACACATTTGTGCAATCTGACAAGACAATAATTGCCTTATATGACAAATTTAGATTTGAATTTTATGGAATTTACTGTCATCTAAAATGTACCGTCAAGACTTAAAATCAAGTCATCTATATTGTTTTCAAAACTGAAACCAATTCAAAAGGAAAAGGGAGAAAATCATAATGATAAAACTTACCTAGGAGAAATAAAGATGGTCCATAATATTCAGCATTACTTATAATATGCTTTAACGACTTCGGTAGAGACCCTTCCATTACTGAAAACATAATGAAAACAGACATGTACATATATGTATACACAGTTGACATTTGTAGTGAAAGCCCTCAATAAGCTGGAAGTGGTTTTTTACTCTAATCATTCACAAGTCATTACTGGCAATAAGTTGTTCATATCATGCACAAATAAACATGCTAACACTATCGGAAATTTTTCTATATATAAACAAAGAAGGCCCGAAGCATGCATTATTCTGCAACAATGCACTCGCCGTTCTATTATCTCCCTGTGTATTTTCACATTGAGGGCGCAGGCGCAATTTTGTTTGAAAAATCTGATAATAAAAAAATAAAAAAAAATAATTGTGAAACTATCTAGAATGAAAGAAAATGGTCTAACTAAGAAATTGAATCCAAACACCAATATATTTAATTCAATTGTCAACGCTGTACAGACGTTTAAAAGTGTTGTTTACGTGACGTCACAATGTATCGCCAAACAGCACATGCAAAACAATCAAATCATGTAGGCTATTTTAATGTCGCAAACGAGTTAAGTTTTACATTTATTTCACATTTAGTAATTTGTATTTCGCTTGAAAAATTATTGAGTGAAATAAAATAAACAAACAAAGTTTTATCAACGTTTTTAAAATTCTTTAAAATTCAAAATGTTTCAATACACAGTAGATTTATCGACAGTTTTTCAACCCACTGGAACAGCCTTTAAAGGACGTTTCTATTCGAAAACTCTAAGGCGAAAACAGATTTAACCACCAAACATAAAGTCCAACTTTATAATAATAATTATATTTTTTCTTCACATGTTAGAATGGAAATAGATATTAATTCTTCATGCATTATTGTATAATAATGCACATTTTTCTTTCAAATGCTTTGTAATTAATCACTCGGGCCTATCGGCCTTCGTGATTATTACTACGCAAAATGTTTTTTTACTATCTACATGTCAGATCAAAATCATTGTACATCAGACCTGTTATTTTAATAAACACTGAAAACAAAAAAAAACTATTACCCAACTGTAGATGAAAATGCCCATAAATATTTTTACAGTCAGATTGAAAATGTAAAATCAAACAATTCTAAATTGTGCAAATGACCTATAAAGGATATCTCGTACACATGAATGCCATTCATACACCATCTCTTGTTTAAATTTTTGAAATATTTATTAAAGAACTTATGTAATTATTTTTACCAACAAACTCAGTTTGAAAGTGTAAAATCAAACAGTTTTTATTTTGCATTCTGCCCTGTCGCAAATGACCCATAAAGGACATCTCGTACACATGAATGCATTTATCCACCATCTCTGTTTTTTTTTGAAATATTTATAAAAGAAGTTATGTCTGAAAATATTTTTGCCAACAAACAAAAATAGCTTGAAAGTGTAAAATCAAACAGTTTTTATTTTGCATTCTGCCCTGTCGCAAATGACCTATAAAGGACATCTCGTACACATGAATGCATTTACCAACCATCCCTGTTTTAATTTTTGAAATATTTATAAAAGAAGTTAATGTCTGAAAATATTTTTGCCAACAAACAAAATAGTTTGAAAGTGTAAAATCAAACAGTTTTTATTTTGCATTCTGCCCTGTCGCAAATGACCTATAAAGGACATCTCGTACACATGAATGCATTTACCAACCATCCCTGTTTTAATTTTTGAAATATTTATAAAAGAAGTTAATGTCTGAAAATATTTTTGCCAACAAACAAAATAGTTTGAAAGTGTAAAATCAAACAGTTTTTATTTTGCATTCTGCCCTGTCGCAAATGACCCATAAAGGACATCTCGTACACATGAATGCATTTACCAACCATCCCTGTTTTAATTTTTGAAATATTTATAAAAGAAATCAATGTCTGAAAATATTTTTGCCAACAAACAAAATAGTTTGAAAGTGTAAAATCAAACAGTTTTTATTTTGCATTCTGCCCTGTCGCAAATGACCCATAAAGGACATCTCGTACACATGAATGCATTTACCAACCATCCCTGTTTTAATTTTTGAAATATTTATAAAAGAAGTTAATGTCTGAAAATATTTTTGCCAACAAACAAAATAGTTTGAAAGTGTAAAATCAAACAGTTTTTATTTTGCATTCTGCCCTGTCGCAAATGACCCATAAAGGACATCTCGTACACATGAATGCATTTACCAACCATCCCTGTTTTAATTTTTGAAATATTTATAGAAGAAGTTAATGTCTGAAAATATTTTTGCCAACAAACAAAATAGTTTGAAAGTGTAAAATCATAACAGTTTTTATTTTGCATTCTGCCCTGTCGCAAATAACCTATAAAGGACATCTCGTACACATGAATGCATTTACCAACCATCCCTGTTTTAATTTCTGAAATATTTATAAAAGAAGTTATGTCTGTAATTATTTTTGCCAACAAACAAAATAGTTTGAAAGTGTAAAATCATAACAGTTTTTATTTTGCATTCTGCCCTGTCGCAAATGACCTATAAAGGACATCTCGTACACATGAATGCATATACCAACCATCCCTGTTTTAATTTTTGAAATATTTATAAAAGAAGTTAATGTCTGAAAATATTTTTGCCAACAAACAAATTAGTTTGAAAGTGTAAAATCAAACAGTTTTTATTTTGCATTCTGCCCTGTCGCAAATGACCTATAAAGGACATCTCGTACACATGAATGCATTTACCAACCATCCCTGTTTTAATTTTTGAAATATTTATAAAAGAAGTTAATGTCTGAAAATATTTTTGCCAACAAACAAAATAGTTTGAAAGAGTAAAATCAAACAGTTTTTATTTTGCATTCTGCCCTGTCGCAAATGACCCATAAAGGACATCTCGTACACATGAATGCATTTACCAACCATCCCTGTTTTAATTTTTGAAATATTTATAGAAGAAGTTAATGTCTGAAAATATTTTTGCCAACAAACAAAATAGTTTGAAAGTGTAAAATCATAACAGTTTTTATTTTGCATTCTGCCCTGTCGCAAATAACCTATAAAGGACATCTCGTACACATGAATGCATTTACCAACCATCCCTGTTTTAATTTTTGAAATATTTATAAAAGAAGTTATGTCTGAAAATATTTTTGCCAACAAACAAAATAGTTTGAAAGTGTAAAATCAAACAGTTTTTATTTTGCATTCTGCCCTGTCGCAAATGACCCATAAAGGACATCTCGTACACATGAATGCATTTACCAACCATCCCTGTTTTAATTTTTGAAATATTTATAAAAGAAGTTATGTCTGTAAATATTTTTGCCAACAAACAAAATAGTTTGAAAGTGTAAAATCATAACAGTTTTTATTTTGCATTCTGCCCTGTCGCAAATGACCTATAAAGGACATCTCGTACACATGAATGCATATACCAACCATCCCTGTTTTAATTTTTGAAATATTTATAAAAGAAGTTTATGTCTGTAAATATTTTTGCCAACAAACAAAACAGTTTGAAAGTGTAAAATCATAACAGTTTTTATTTTGCATTCTGCCCTGTCGCAAATGACCCATAAAGGACATCTCGTACACATGAATGTCATTCATACACCATCTCTTTTTTAATTTTTAAATATTTATAAAAGAAGTTATGTCTGCCCTGTCGCAAATGACCCATAAAGGACATCTCGTACACATCAATGCATTTACCAAAGGACATCTCGTACACATGAATGCATTTATCCACCATCTCTGTTTAAATTTTTAAATATTTATAAAAGAAGTTATGTCTGCCCTGTCGCAAATACCTATAAAGGACATCTCGTACACATGAATGCCATTCATACACCATCTCTGTTTTTATAATTTACCATTTCCATACAACTTTCAATTGAATTGTTCATAATATGAAAAGAAAATTGAAAGTCCATTACCTGACAGCTTAAGAAATGAATAAAAATGATACAAAGTAGAAAATACTTACAGTGCCTCATACTTTCTGAAAACGATGGATCTGGTATGGCCTTCTTTAAGAAGTTTAGCATCGACTTCAATAGTGCAGCCCTCTGAGGAAAACACTGACGACCTTAAAAATAAATGTAAGCTTACAAATTTAACACACTTTAATACATTTCTGAGATACAAAAATTATCTATTACTAGCATAAGTGAAAAGAAAAGTAGCATAAACATAGCACTAATTACTAAGTTAAGTAACTTCATTGCTAGTCATTTTTTAATATCTTAGATAAAATTAACATCTGAATTTATCTTTAAAATAATCTATTAAAGACTCTGTCAAAAAAAGGTAACAATTACTTACATGTTTAATCAAAAACATAACTGTCTATTCATCAATTTTTGATATTTAATATTTCTATTAAAGATGAGACTAATAAACATATAGCCCTTAAACTGCTGGAATTTACAGTGACAAATAGTTCTAGAACTATATTATATATATTGCGTATGGTTATCATAAAATAATAACTTCTCAGTTGTATGATTGGAAGAAAAGGTTGAATTTTGCCTCTTTCTATTCACATACATCCCTAATACTTAACCTGCTGGAAATGAGTGATAAACCTCTGCCAATAATATTAATGAAGTCTCACCTGGCTCTATACTGTGGACAGTTAAATCTAGGGATTAAACGATGATCGAGTATAATCGATAATTGATCGTTTATAGGACCGATTAGCGATGATCGAATACAAAGTTCAATAATCGATCATCGGTTATTTATCTTCTTGCTGTTACTTAAGTGACTCACTGTATTATAACAACACTTTAAATTAAAGCCAGCTTTGGTTTACCCAATAATTTTCATTAAAATGAATGAGAAAGCATACTGGTGACCATGAGGTTAATAGTTGACAGTGAGGCATTCTAGTTTACAGACATACTATGCTCAAATTTGAAATTAGAAAATTGCTACACAGTCTATTTTTAAATATGAAATAAACATGTTTTGACTTCAAACAAAGAAGATATGCATAAAATTATTCTACACACTAAACTAAAGATGGTTACAATATAAATATATAGTGTCATTAAAAAAACCTGGCATTTTTATTAATGACCAACTTCTCTTGTTCCCATACATAGCTTATTCATTCCTTTATTGGAATTGAGACATAATAATTTCATAGATATAATGAATTTATTTGATTAAAATATTTTACTCAAGGATGAACATAAGCATGAGTAACTAGTTTATTTCAGTTGATTAAGTGGTAGTTACACAAAATATAGAATATTAATGGAATTCTTATAAATATTAAAGCATGATATGTGCATTGTGCATATTTACTTTGTTATCATAAATGTTTTGATTATATAATCGATGATTGATCGAAAAAGGTTGTTCGATTATTTTCGATGATCGATTATGATTTTTGTCCGATTAAGAAACCCTAGTTAAATCTTTGTATTTTGATATTGAAATTCCTTAAAGTTTTAATGGACTGTTTGTAATTCAAATCGGGGCAAATCCACTTCACACATTCATCAGCTTACAGGTTAACAATATTATTAAGTAATTACCATGCTCTATATTGTTGACAGTTTGATCTTTGTATTTTGATAATGAAATCTCTTCATGTTTAAAAGGACTGTTTCAAACAAATTTAGCATCTAACAGGTTAACAGTATTATTAAGTAATTACCAGTTTTTGCAGCAGAATAATCTGGTAGAGATGACTGACTAGCACCAGCAGCAGCACCTGTAGATGTAGAAGGCTGTGGTTCATCAACACTAGTTCCCTGGTCTTCCATTGATTGAGAATCACCGGCTTGTTCTGGGCTCACAGCATCCGTTTCCATGGCAAGAGGAGGCGACTCTGGCTGTAAATCCATGGATGAGTCGAGACGATTTGGACGGATTTCAAACGGTTGAACTTGGCGACAGATACTTACTTCATGCTGTGGAAACAAAAAAAACAGTAACAAATAATTTCCTAAATAGACAGTAGTTTTTTTCAACCTAAACATCTTGTGAGAAAAAGCTAATTTGAGAAAGAAAAAGGCTGGTGAAAGTTCAGAATTTCGGGAAAACTGCATGATTTTAAAAAAAATTCCATTGGGAACAGGCCTTTTATACGCCTTTATTATAGAAGGTGAAAAATCACTCGTAGTTTTGTTTTGGGTTTTATGTCACATCGACACAGTATAGGTCATATCGCGACGTTCCAGCTTTACTGGTGGAGGAAGACCTCAGGTGCCCTTCCGTGCATTATTTCAGGCACGAACGGGCACCTGAGTAGAACCACCGACGTTCCGTAAGCTAGCTGGATAGCTTCCTCACATGAAAGAATCCAAAGTCCCTGTCGGGATTCGAACCCACAGCGGTGAGGGGCAAGTGGTTTGAAGTAAACGACCTTAACCACTCGGCCACGGACGCCCCTCGTAGACATTATAACATTTCTAGCAGTTTATTCAATCAATCAACATTTCACATCGTTTGTGAGGAGAGAGAAATTTATTTACATAATTTTATATTAGTAAAATTGATGATTAAAAGATGGACTTCCTCCTATACTTTCAAACTAAATTTCAATGAAGTAATGGAATTTGATTTTATTAAAGAACAAGATCCTACTTATTTTCTACACTGTAATATGTTTATTTTATGCTTGACGAGTGAACCTGATTTTAAGATACCTACCTCTAATCTATTTATAAATGCCTGTAATCCACCTTGTGTCTGAAAGGCTGCCATGTCTAAATTTGTTATCAGGTCCACAACTCGAACAGCACGGGTAGCAAACTGTGGCAACATAATAAATAAATTATCAACTACTTTACTTAAAATATGTTGTCTTACAAAACTAGTCAACATGTGCAATGCAATGATTTTTGTGCTCACTAATGTCAGCCATGTTACACACCGCCATGTCTCAAGATACAATGTGAAATGAAGAGAAAAATACAGGATGTATTTCTCCTTTTCAATAGGGGTCCAAATATATTCTAAAATTAACTCAAAATGGTAAATCTGACTAAGACAAGCAGTATGATACAAAAGCAGGCATTGAAAAAAAATTTTTTTAAGGTCACTAGTCCTGCAAAGACGAGTAGCTTCTAAATCCAATGTGCAGGCAACATTTTTATACTTGTCTTGCATCAAATTCTCTTAAATTCCACTTGTAATTACAAGCAGATGAGTGGAATTTTTGATCTCTAAAAAGTTTAGAAAACAGTAGACTCACAGTTATGTGATCATGACCTTCTCCATACCAGTTGATCACTTTGAGCAAAGATTCCATCATACCACAGGACACTAACGCCTCCACACCTACAGTCACAAATTATATTACAATAATAACTGTAAGGAAGGAAATGTTTTAACTTAAATTCTTGAATTAACATGAATAAATGTAAGAACAGTGAATTTGGTCAGATAAATTTCATATTTAGCATACAGAGTCCAAAAATGTCAGGGATCGTTACCACAAGGAAGCATATGATATGTGTTCAAGATTACAGTGACCTTGACCTTCAACTTTGTCATCTTAAATAATTATGAATATCTTCCAGACATTTTTTCATTAAGTCTAAAGAATGGAGATCTATCAAACCTGAAGAAGGTATTGAGAGTTACTATGACCTTGACCTTTTACCTACGGTCCTAAGGAATAATAAAAAACACTAAGGTTCTTTATGAGTAATTTAACTGAAACTGAACTTGCCAAAAACATATATAACAGTACTATCTTGTAATGATGAGAATTTATCAATTGTCATGTAAGAAATTACCATTTTCATAGCTTGCCAAATGGTAGAGGAACGAGAACAAGGCAGTTGCATAGGGCTGTGGAAAAGCTTTCATCTCTGAATCTACAAATGAAAGAATGGTTATAGAAGTCAAATTCTCGATGATGTCTTCATACACTATGTATCAAACTTATTATTAAATGTATGGAATTATATCAAATATAATCTGTTTTTGTCATAAAATTAATAAATCGTAAAAAAATCCCTTTAAATCAGACAAAACAGATAAAGTATGTCTTATATAATGTTATGTTCATGTTATGTATATTGTTTAAGGTTAATTACAAGAAATATAATCTGTTCAATTTTGTCAGAAAATTAAGAAATAGATACTGTTACGTTCACTTAAGTGCAATGTTTAAGATAAGGATAAGACTGAAAGAAAAAGATAAAACATGTTACCTGTCATGTGTTGTATACAATTCCTGACTAGTACAGGAAGGAAGCCATGATAAGATGCCGCTCCCGTAGCATCTATAATATTGGTCAATCTGAAACAAATAATTTATGTCTCTGTATAGTTTACAGCACATATATGTACATATGTAAATCGTTATGTCTAAAATATCATTAAATTATGCCATAATCTTATAAATCTCCACCCCAAGTTGGAAACAAATGAAACAATAGGCAAATATCGGATTGATAACATGCAAATTTCCTGAATGGAATTGTCCAACCCGTTACGAAAAAAGTCTGTAATCACTAATATGAATATCCGTTTGAAATTTAAAAACTGATCTGCCAACAATATAAGAGTCTGTTCAGATTGTAAGCATATACAACCTGGCCTTAACACTAAACTAGTGACATAGCCAATTGGTGCATTCAAATCCTATAAAGGACTTTGAATTCTTTTATGTGAGGAAACTATCTAGACAGCTTAAGGATGCTCCATGGTTCTACTCGGGTACTGCCTGTGCCTAAAATAATACACCAAGGAGCATATGATGTCTTCCTCCACAAATAAAACCTGGAATGTCACCATATGACATGTACAGTGGACAAAAAAATCCCACAATATTGATCGAATGCTATACAAAAAGAATCTTGCATTTTCTTTTTTGATTTGCAGAGAAAAGCTATTGCCGAATGTGGATGAAAATCTAAGGACAATGTTACATAACTGCTCTTCAGTATATGACTAAAGAACGGTTTCAACCTGTATTATAGCCAATTAATTCTATCATTTACATAAACTAGAACTTACTTTGGGTTCCTTTCAAGATGTATTATTGAAGTCAAAGTTCTCAATGCAGCACTTTTAATATCCTGAAAAATGTATGTAATGTTAATGTATTGTAACTAAAAAGAGGCAAATCTTATTTAAGCCATAAAATTTGAGAGATCCTAAACATTTAAATTTTACATTTGTTAAATAGCAAGTAAAAACACATTATCTGTTAACATTGCATGATTCATGATCACTAACTTAACATACCTAGGTTCTAGATTTTAAACACACAAATGAAAATTAGGAAACATCTAGCATTTTAAAAATCAAATTAATCAAACTTATTATCTGCACTTGCCATGTTTGTGCTAAAAATTAGCTTACTTTCTAACACTATTCCTCAGTCACTAAAACATTTTACATCCTTTTCCCATATCATTTCTTCTAGACATTTGATTGGTATTATAAGAATTGCCAGTCAAAAACACGGTCATAACCATTAGGTTTGTGAGATATAAAAATAGTTAACAAGTCCACTTACCACTAGATTTTCCTTCTTTAATTCTACAATATCTACAAGTTCCTCTATAAAGCCAGGGTATAACAGTGAGTTGATATTTTCTTGCATCGCATTTGAGTACACTGTAAATATAACGATTAATGTCTCAAATAAATCCAAATTATATTGGGCAATAAGATAAAGCTACCAGTAAAACAAGAGCTGTCAGTAGGACAGTGTGTTCCACTATTCTCAGTGCTTGATAGTAAAACTAAAAGCCTAGATAATGTAGAATTTTCTAAGTTCAAAAAGGGCCATAATTCTGTCAAAATCCATGTTAGAGTTATGGACCTTGGACAGTGACCTCCTATTATGCTCTCAAGTAAGTGTATGAGGTTTCCACCCATTCTTTTCAGAAATTTTGAAAGTACCAACTTGCAGCGAAAAACTTAACAAAAGTATGATGCTGACACCTGGGTGAATACAATAGATCTCCCTATTCTACATAAAGGCGAGTTAAAAATGTACAAAGAAACTTCAATGTTTTTTATCAATGTTGCACCTATTGAAATGCAATTTTCCCTAAAGAAATAAAATTTCATCAAGCGCGCAGGACAAATCTCTTGAAATTTCAATAAAGCCTTTCAGCATTATCTTCAACAGGCATCTTGTAACATTGTCATTTATGACATAACATACTTTTATCTAAAAATTTAGTTTTGTTTCAATTGTTGGGTTATACAATTGTTTCACAGTAATTCAGTAAGTTAACAGCATTTAATCGGTAAAACAAATAACACTCAGATATTGAATCTGAAAGTTTAAATAAAGATGCTATGATATACAGGATATATTTTGTAACAAGAACATTTTGCTTTAACTCTTTGCGACAACCATTCTGTCTTGTAAATTTAATTCTTTCTAAGCCTACATACCTAGAATAGCTATAGACTGTAACCTCGCTTGTACACACTGAACCCTACATTCATGTTTTGTGAAAAGGTGCGCCAGTCTGATGTGTGTATATAACAATGTCTGAAATAAGAATTCAAAACAACAGTTAATCACCAAACACAATTAAAACAGGGCATTGCCACTCACAAAAGTCATGTCCAAAAGAACAAATACACAGCAAGATCTTATTGTTTTTGTTCTCTTGAAATTTAAAACAAGATTAACGTTAGTAAATATAACTAGTAATAACAATCAAATTGTTCTTGTAAATACATAATTTCTCAGATTTTCATTATCAGAATTTAACTCAGAAAATTAAAGAACACTTAACTATAGTGTCAGATACAAATTTGGTACCTTTAACCATGCCAGACAGGATATTCAATTTAAAATCTTTTTTACTAAATATTTCATTTGTTGGCTTTTCCACTCGATATATAGTTTCTAAATATAACTTTCGTGGAGAAATTTCATTTTGAGATTCATTTGCAGTTTTTTCCCCATAATAATTTTATTCCTAGTATATTTTTACCTGTTTATTTTCTGGTATTCTGTATTTACTGACTAGCTCTTCCATAATCTGCGATGGTAACTGCTCATACTGGTCCACATTTTCAATATGTATAGACGTAATAATATTTGATGTACCCTGTAATATACAACACATACGTTGTGCATCGTTGACCATATTCTCATCATATAAATTATAATAATAACACTGTTAGTGTACATTTCATATTGCTTAGTTGCCGGAATTTTTCACAAAAATTCTTGCTATTATTTCACAGACACAAACTATGTAAAAACACAAAGCCAAAAGTGCCATATCAAGCTATTAAGATGCTATTTTTAGCAATATCAGACATAAATGCAAGCATGTGACAGGTCATGGGTTTATTTAATGCCATACTTAACATTCCTATACTTTGGTTGAATTTTTATCCAAAAATCTTTTTTATTCCATCAATTACAGCCAATTATATCTTTAAACTATTTTAAACTGCTATCGAATACCCGATAGTTTTAATGTTTCACAAATGCTACAGTAATCTGTATTACTAAGAATGTGGAATAAATACAAATGTCATGCAAATACACTGTATCTATATACAATCAGGGCTCATCCGGAAGGGCGATTCAGGCGAAAACTTCGCCGTGTATATTTCCATTTCGCTCTCCCAATTGATCAAAGAGAAGTCAACATCGCCGATAAAATCTTAATTCCCAAAGACTAATTACTTGGCGATGTAAAGAGCAGAGATTGTATCCGCCCATATGACGACTGCTAATTATCATTATCCAATCAGAGCGTCGCTTTATACTACCCTTCTACCTGTATGCAAAGCGATAGACCGCCTACTCTAAACAGTAAATAATGAGAGCATCGGCCCGAAACGGGTATAATTGTGTGACAGTTTTGCGAGTTTAATACGGGATTAGGCGATAATTATAGATTGTTTTTTCCCCGATCATCTAAACACGTGCATATCTTCCCTAATTGATATACACGCGGTGTTTAACCCGAGTAATGGCGATGTGCAATGGGTTTTTCACGGCTATCACAAAACTGTTAGTCAATTAAAAATAATCAATTTCATTAATGATCAGCGACCGGATTAAAAACTTAATTATAGTTTTGAATGATTTCAGTCCGTTAACATGAATTAAAAATTGTTATGTCGCTCACATCATGGCTACAGGGCAAAATGCCCAAACCTAGCAGTAAAAGAAAAACTACGAATCATGATCGGCATGCTACATATCGGTCGTATGTACATGTATACATGGAGTTGAATAGACTGTATATCTGTGATGTATATAACAACAAATTTTGTCAGGAAAGAAGTGTTCTTATAGTTTCAATATATATATTTGTTCTAATGTCATAAATATGACGCTCATATTAAGATTTATCAATATTGTAAATTTCAAAAAGCATTATTTATAAAGATATTATGAGTTAAACATTTCATGAAAATAAAGGGAGGTAATTAGAAATCTATTTTCTATAATTTATCAGTCAATTTTTTCAATAAGAAATGAATGTATATAATTTTAGTGATCAAATATAATGTGCACAAATGTTTGCAGTACATATTTTACATATTCTTCGATGTTTGAAAATTGTTTTATAAGCATAATTATATGCACATAAATGTGACATTACATCATACAAGATCTTAAAAGAATTTCTGTAATCATTTTAACAGAACAGACAGATATTGTTCAGCAATATCCAATGCAACTTTATCTTCTAATAAAAGTGAGGAATGTATATAATAAAAAATTAATTTATTCATCATACTTTTTCTTACACATTATTATCAATAAATCTACATGAAAATAAATAAACAAATATTTAGAGAAAGCTTATAAATAGATTAATTGTGTTTATATTATAGTTAAAGGATGTATAGCCATGCATGTTAATGCATACACATTGGGTTCTTTCCCTTCTCCCTATTTTTCGCGAGGAAGTCACTTCTCCCTAAAATTTCCCCCCAGGATGAGCCCTGACAATTATATTCTTTATATTCCAGAACTGTTATCAACAATTATAACATACACATTATGATAACTCCTAACAAACCATACCTTTCTTGAATTTTTCTCCTCTGAATTTTCATGATAAAATTCGAAGTGGAGCGTTGTTGCGCTTGTTGGAAAACTCTGAAAACATTCAGACAAAGAAAATGAGCTGGTAGCTAAATTAAACCATCCTGATAAGAACAACCCCCCTTTAACTTAAAATAAGAAAGTCTTAAATCGAAGCAAAACATGTCCATTATATAAAATCAGTGGTGATCAGGTTCAAACGACTAAAATTGAGAAAAAAGGTCTAAAAATCAAGGTTTTAGAAAAACCTTCCTTCTTGTCACATCTTATTTCTGACAGTTTTACTTAAAAGATATTCTACCCATTTCTAAAATGATAAAAATAATGATGAAAAAAAACTAACTGATATTGGAATATCCAAACAGCACTCAGCAAGTCCAAACCCATTATCTTTGCCACCCCAGCTCTCTGCAAGGTGGGTCAGGTGTACAATCAAACCTTGCTTCTTATCTGAGCCAAGTCTTGTAATAAAATTTGATCTTTTGCTGTAAAAAAATAATAATAAATAATAACTCAATCATTTCAATTTCATACAGCATACAATACAGGGCTCCAGATAAGATGCGTATACGCGTAAATTACGCATGGAAATAACACGTTTACGCATTCAAAACAAAATTTAAGCGTATGAAAACGCACACAAAATTCAGGTTACGCATTGAGCAACATTTCTTTCGCATAAACGTAACCAAAAGTAAACTCGGTGATTATTTCGTCTGAACGCTTTGCAAGCGTCTACCGGTAACTTCCTGTAGTTCCGACCATCATCGTTTGTTATCGTATGGTGGTGGAATTAACTTCGTAACTATGAATGCTTTGCAACGTCTAACGGTAACTTCCTGTAGTTCCGACTATCATCGGTTATTATCGTATGTATAGTAAGGTCGTGGAATTAACACAATTTCATAAACATCCGGTACAATGTCGCTGTCAAATTGACTCGTATTTTAAGCTGAAACAAAATCGACCGGAAAGTAATTGTGAAGGTTATAATTAATGAAATAATTAGCGCTGCCACGTATGAGCAACAAAAACATTCCTCAGGTTCAGATAAAACGTATGCTGTTTGGAAATGCAAGATTATAAGAAATGACTTTGACATATCTTTTATTACAAGTATAATAATACAATATACATGGAAGCATATTAAATGTTTTACTCTTTTACAAACATTTTAAGGAGTAAAAATACTCCTGCAAAATTTCAGATTTCAAGTTTTACTCATTCACAAAAAAATCAATGAGTAAATACTCAATGCCCTAAAAAATTATCTGGAGCCCTGCAATACTGAAGAATTTCAAGATATTCATAAACATTGTAATTTTAATATTTTTACTAAACTGACATTTTGCTCCTTTTTTTATCGTCAAGTACAGTTGATTTGACTTCATATTTCAAATGATTAACTGTTATAATGGTGATTGACCAACAGTTGACAATGGAAAATGTTAAAGATAAAATATAAATTTGCCTAAAATATAAAAAGATTGCCCCCAATCTTTTTTAAGAATTGAACATTACAGGTAAATTCTGATGGATATATATGGAAATTTCCTTGTGCCATGTGAGTTATTTATAAATGAGAAGTAAATTATAAAATTTAAAGGTATTAAGGCAAAATGTAAACTTTATTTCGACTTTCACCTGTTCACACACTATAAACTCTTTGATGGACATAATGTCACTTAAACAACAAATTTAAAATTTCTAGAACCTAAGTGGGAACAAAGGAGACAGACTTACCTAAACACATATAGAAGATTTAGAACTTCAAGCACGACAGTCATGTCACACGAGGAAAGAAGTGTGGTCAAATGTTCCATTGAATTGTACATATGCCTTGAGAAACTATGCTCTATAAGTGTAGATGTGAAATTGAGAACTTGTAACAGTAACATCTTCAGCTGAAAATAAAGGAACAATTTAACGTCTCATTGTTATAATATTTGTTCAATAATAATCCTTGTTATTTACAGTTAATGTTAACTGCCAGTTATTGGATATGTTGTCATTTTAAGTCACAGTGACACTGTTTCTATATACTTTTAAAAAAACTTCAAACAGTCACATTTTATATGGTATCAAAAAGATAGTAAACTTGATACCTTTACAAAATTAAATTCACTATAACTTTCAATCAAAACTTATGCTGAAAGCCTTTAAACTTATTTTCATAACTAGAAACAACATAATGAAGAAAATAAAACTTTATAGCACAAGCTGTGGAAAAAAATGTTTACATACTTGTGCATTTTCTGGCAAGTCACAGGCCAGAGTCCATGACTTCTCAGTCTCTTTCTTACATGCCCTTTCCAGGACATCATCAAATATATCCAGCACATCTGCCCAGTGGTATAGTTCACACTGTAAATTAAAATAATATTTCCTTGTTACAAACTTTCATTGATATTACAAATTTTCATTGAAAACATTCATAAACACTTAAGAGAATGTCTAAAAAGAAGTCAGTTATGTAAAGAATAACAAGTCAGAAGTTTTTTGATTACGGCTTGATGGTCCTTTTTCTATAATTCATTAATATCCACTATTTTTTAACAAAAACTAAATAATGTAAAACATATTCATTATATATTCTAACTTATACATATCTTGTAAGGAAATTATCAAGTAACAAGATTATTTGCAATGCAGATACAGCAATTTATGATCAAAGAAATGCACAAACCTTGACAAATGTAGAATTTTTCAGGGCATTTAGTTCTGTAAGCAGGGAATCTTGTGTTGCATTCTTGAGCCTGTCTATATGAGCTCTGCAGTCAGCAGGCTAAAACAAAAGATATCACACAGTCAATTCAAACAAGACAATATCACAGCAAAATATACACTCCTGAACAAAAACTGCTATCAAATTTCACAAATGCTTCAACCAAATACAAGTTGCTTAATACACTGTCTGTTAAACAAAAAACCTTTATTTCTCAGCAGTTCTGAATCATTTCATTGCCTAAATATATTGCAAACTTTAAAAAAAAAAACACAAATTAGATTCATGTATAAATATGTGGTAAAACAAGGATAGATGACTAGGCAAATGTGGGTTTTTCTCAGCTAATATGTAGGTAAAAACAAACTTTTACTGTTATAGCTTCACGGTGCAATACCAGTCACGATAGATTAGTCAACCTGTTGCGCTTATTTTTGAAGCTGTAACTGTAAAAATTTGTCTGTAACACTAGATTAGTTGGGGAAAACCCAATTATTTTTAATTCCGGAGTAAGTCTATTCTCTAACCGTACATGCTGCTTTGCAGTAGTTACACTACAAGTAACACTAAACTTTTCAATACTAGAAGTACAACACTGGAGCAGGTGTTCAAATGGGATTACAACATACTGTCGTCAAGAAAATTGACAAAGACTGCTGTGTTTACAACTCAGTCTTGCAATCCACAATCTTTTCTAGCAGTTAAGCATGTGACTTACCACATTTACAAAATGTTTAAACAAGAAATAAACAATGCAGTTTACAAATCCCAGCAAACCTTAACTCCAAAGGTAAAATAATTATATAAATACAAGTTTGACATTTTATTGTGCTGGATTTATTAGCTTTGTAAACTCTTTTTTTAATTAATTTTCTGACCTTTAATTCAAGAGAGAAATGCTTTATACCAGCTCCTATGGTACAGTATTATATTGTCATTGATTCTATCCTTATGTTCCAGCAACCATGGTACTATATTTATTATAGTTGATGTAGATTATATATTTATACGAACTACAGTGTTGAATATCAATTAAATTTCAGTGCACTAAAATGTGTTGAAATATTATTATAAATTTCCATTTCATAGGTAGATCACATTTCTTACTTAACTTTATAAACTTACCACATCTGTCGAAGACTTCTTTAATTTATTTCTATCAATCTTCATGTTTGTAAGTGATTTTACCTGAAAAGGAGAAACAAATTACAGCATCTAAATATTTAAATGATCGTTTAATTTCAGGCATTGATGAAACTTAATTAGTTTACCTGTTCAACATACATCTGAATTCAATAAGGTATGAAAAAGTATCTAGACTATTTTGGGCTGTCAGCAAATAATACAGTATGGAAAATGAGAAGAAATTTCAGAGCATTCCCTTCCTGCCAAATTGTTTTCCTCCTCCATATTCAACTTCCCTATAATAATTTACCTGAAGGAACTTTATTACCAGTCACCACTTACCAGATTTTCAACCTTACCAAATATTAAGAAATGAAAATTTGATCAAATAAAGAAAATGACTCCCCAGAACTCAAAGAAAGAAATGATGCAAACAACAAACATTCCAGTTAATTATCAGACCGATTCCAAATTTGTCAAGTGCTAATAAATATTTTCTTCTGTGTGACAACCAATATTCTATATTGATCTATTAGGGTCTATTTTAGGATTTGAAAACTTAAGATGGACTTTCAAACTTTATTTTTTCTTTTTAAAAGATTCAACTCGGCCAAAATAACTCTTTATTGACTTTGCAGCACTTTATCTACAAAAATAATCATAAATTCATAACATTTTGATGTCTTCGGCACAGCAAACATCAAGTTTTTACATGAAAATGACAATTATTCAGTCATTGAGTCTCATTATCATAGATGATCAAAAGTACATAGTTGCCATACACCATTCTCATTTACTATATATCAATCAAAATCATCTTGATTTAGATTCGAACTAACTTTTTTGAAGGTTTAACAGTTCTGACTCCAACTTTCTTTTAACACCATTTCCTGATCTGAGGTAATAAATCTAAATATTGTCTTCTGAGCCGTGATTCGGTGCAATTAATGAAAAGTAAAAGTTCTTTAATCCATAATGATAATCCAAATTCTATCACATTTATATCAGATTTTATAACAATTGATATTTTAATAGCTAGCCATAATAATAAATAAATCACTCAATACAGTAAGAACTAGAGCTATCACTGAAGGTGATTAATACCCCCACCAGCAACTGTGACTTTTGTAATAAGAAGTGGTCTGAAAAAAAAATTGAACTCAACCTATAGTTCAATATCAACTGCGTTCAATTACTTGCAATACAAACCGGGGTCTTCATATGAGCTTGCTATACACCAAGTTTGATTCTTAACTCTAGTTATTGTCCGGACACCATTTTTCAATTTTAAGTTGCGGTGACCTTGACCCCAGGGGGGTCCAAATGCAATACCAACCAGGGTCTTCATATAAGCTTGCTTTACACCAAGTTTGATTACAATATCTCATTCCTAACTCTAGTTATTGTCTGGAAACCATTTTTCTATTTTTAGCAGTTGTGACCTTGACCTTGTCCCCAGGGAGTCAAAATGCAATACCAAAGGGGTCTTCATATAAGCTTGCTATATATCAAGTTTGATTACTATACCTCATTCCTAACTCTAGTTATTATCCGGAAACCATTTTTATTTATTTTTAGTAATGCTGACCTTGACCCCAGGTGGTCCAAATGCAATACCAACCGGGGTTTCCACATAAGGTTGCTATATACCAAGTTTGATTACAATACCTCATTCCAAACCCTAGTTCCCGTCCGGAAACCATGATGTGGACCAACATATTAACTAACAGACAAGCTGACACCTATATACCCCACAAACACAGTTTAGGGGGTATAATATTTGTTATCGTAAGTAACGGTGATAATAAAATTCAAAGACATCAATAAATGTTTGATGTAACTTAATTATCAATTAGAGTGCTTTAATTATCATCCGCCATTCATGGTCTTTCACAGCTTTAACAACATGTAAACAAAGCACATTTTTAAGCAAATGTGTCGCTTTGGCCACACTTCAGCAGGTGTTTTAATTACATCAGATTACACTCCAGGCAATTGTAGTGAAATATACATCTCAGACTTTTTCATAGAGATTTTTGGGCGACTAGACTTTCGGTTTTCCAATCAAATACTTAATAGGGAAAAAAAAAAATTCAACAACTTTATTTGACTGGCATTGCCCTAAACACTGTCCAATCAAAGTCTACAGACTCTGTATACTGTGGCTTTGGGGATTCTTTTTGAAATTTTCCATTCACAAAAATCAGCATTTTTTTTCTTATGATGTTTAAATGGGGGGGGGGGGGGGGGGGGGGGATATAATATTTTCTATTTGGAATATAACCGAATATCGGCTATAAAATCAGCCAAAAACAAAAAAAAAACAAAAAAAAACCAACCTGTACATGTATGGGTTTTTCTTGCATGTGTATTAGTCCAATATATCAGACTATACAGGCTTCAATGTAATAGTTTATGTCGGTCAAGCCTGATGTCTATAATAGTTATAGCTCATGAATGCATAGAATCATAAAAAAATCTAAAAATGTCTTTTGTCTTGCCTTCTTCTTTTCTTTTAATTTCATGCTCAATCATAAACAAAAACTCTCAAACAATGTACTTATCAATATAAAATGAAATACAAACATCAATCTATTTTTGTCCTTCAGCCATACTGGTTAAGTAAGGCGTTCTACAGATTGATTCAAAATTTTAGAACGGAAAATATTCCAACACGCTGACAGGGCACGGGCAATTATTTCCTTAAATTATATTCAGTTAGAATTTTCTGAATCAGTTAAACGCTTGCATTTGAATTAGCCAATCAGATTTCGCACACTAAATGGTGGCCATTTGTTTATTAGAGGTGCAACGATACCTTTCGATGCATCGAAAACCGGTTTTATGAGCGCCAATTCGATTCCCGATACCAACTGTAACATTTTCGATTCGATTCCCCACCCACAAATAAAAATGGAAAAAAGTGAGAGTTTAATAGTCTTTCCCTTCGTGCTTTATCACGTTACTTACGATTGGCCAGTTAAAACTCGGTCATCCAATCAGTGGGCGCGTAATGTTTTATTTTCGGCAAACAAGTCAAAATGGCTACCAACATCAATGTTGATAAAATAAAATTAAAAAATCTTCCTAAAAATTAAAATCAAAAGTTTGGGAACATTTTGGGTTTCGGGAAGGCCAGGACACGGATAAAGCTACTTGCAAAATATGCTGTACGGACGTGTCATATCCAAAGTCCTGCAGTACGTCTAATTTAATGCAACATATGAAACAAAAACACGAACACGATCATGGATGTGGACTTGTTTTGTAAGCTTTATCCGTGTCCTGGCCTTCCCGAAATAAGTTTGATTAGTACTACAGTAAGTAGGCATATTTGGGATTGATGATTATTTCTTTAGTCAAGTGTGAAAAAAGTGATAATTTCATGAATTTCATTTTTTCTGTATTGTTTACTAGACTAAGAAGTATTGTGTGACAGCTCTGGCATTAGGATTGGTTATTCATTTTACATATTATGGGAATTATAAACAGAATATCTGAATATCAGTTCTGACAACCTTGTGAAACTTTGTTCATTATCATTTACTTTACAATTTACATACTTTGTTAAATTTCTAGTCAGTAGTCAGCAGAAGGTATCTGTGATAGTCATGTTACTGAGATTAATGATTATTTGCCTGATTAAAATTATTTTCCAAATAGACAAGAGCTTTTTATTCTCATAAACACAATTATTTAGTCATATAAGTTTATATAATAGTTATATTACAACAGAAAAGCAAAGCACTAGGTTGAAGGCCACTCACTTTTGGAACAGACAAGCAGAATTATATACCAAAGATAAATTAGTAATCAAAAATGTATCGAATCGAAAAAAATCGAATCGAGGTGTCTAAAATCGAAATCGAATCGAACATTTGGTGTATCGTTGCAGCCCTATTGTTTATCGGCTGTATAAGGAATTTAATTACAGGAGAGGATTAAATCATGATTTTTCAGATGTGACAGGTTAATTATTTTGTCAAAAGGTATTTATTTTTAAGTTTTGTTCATAAATAGGTCAAAATTAACGTAAATACACGCTGTCTTGTTTTTTTCGTTCCGCCTGATTTTCTGGCAAAATGTACTATGGGTTTTTGAGCAATTTCGATATAATTGGTTTGCACAGAAGCAAAAATATCTCAAAACGACGCCATATTTATAGGACTAGCATGTGTATATGCCAATTAAACAAAATTGAATTTGATTGGTTTTTAAGGCTGGCCGCTATGTGATGATTTTATTCTACACACCAGTTCAAATCATTAGTGCAACTCCTAATTAAGTGTTAAATAGCTTAGCTCTGTATTTTTTTGTGTTTTAGTAACAGCTTGGTAGGCCATAATCAAACTTTTAGGATCATATTGACGCCTCTTTGGTACCAAATGATATAGTTAGTTCTAAAAATAGTTTGAACTCAATTAAGTGTTGTTGTTTACATAATCCCTCTAAAATATATTAAGTTAATGTTTACTTATTAGTTATATGAGCATTTAGCAATGAATACTACAGTTTTCCATTGTAGGGACATGTGTTTCTATTGTTTTGTTGTCAAAAATAAAAAGTGACAGGGTTCTCACTAGGACTTTAAAACATGGAGTCCATGGACTCCCAACCCTGAAAAAGTTGGAGTCCAAAAGCGCGTCGCAATTAATATGTTTACAGATTAGTCATTCAATGCTCACAATAGCATTGCTGATATTTTGAATCTTCAAAAGACTTCCAAAGTTTATAGTTATTCAAAAGAAACTCTGAACTACATAGTATAATTATTGTTTTGTTGTTAATATTTATTATGAAATTATCTTATTATAATGCATCAACACATGGAAATCGTTTTTTGTTGTTTTTTTTTCACTTTTATACCAAATTAAATTTTATTCTGGTTAAATAAGTCCACTCTAAAGACAAAAAGTTTATATTTGTAAAAAAAACGTAAATGTATATAGGCAGCGTTTAGCGGAATGAATAGGAAAATCGTGTACAGCTTCACACAGTGTGCAAGAGATTCATCCAATCGACAATTATTTTAGCAAATATCTTTAAATGTGGGCAAATTGAAGATCGATATTTAAAGATTTAATGTTGATTAAATATTAAAGGAACAATTCATTCGCATGTTTGGCTTGGAAACCGAGAATTTTTGCGAAATTTTAGGGTTTCTGGCGAACGTGAAATCGCCGATGTTCGGGACCAATTTTCGTCAAAGAAAAGCGTATGTGTATTTTGGTTTGTTGTCCTGGCATTTCGGCACAATATCTTAAATTCTTAATACTCTTGTAAAAAGTTTTTGCAAGATTGAAACTAAAGCAAAATTGTGCGTAGAAAATGCCGAAAATATTCGACAATCATTCAAAATTACACTCATTTGTAATTTGAGAAAACAGTCTTTAACCTTGCGGCGTAAATAGTCGATAATTTTATCCTTTTGTCGGTAAAATTTGCTAATTTCCAATCAACTGTTGATCAAAGATATTAAATTATCACCTCTTGTTATATCTGGTAATTTATACATGTACTATACAGCGCGTGTATACATTAGTCTGATCACTATTGCGTGATAATGATCGGAAGCGTTATCGCTGATTGGCTAATCGCTTCACGGGTCGATGTGCATAGGACCGCCTACGTATAGACTGACACGCGCTGACGCGTTTGTGTATTTGCGGTTGTAAACAATCGGTAATGTTTATGCGTCCCCAGGCAAAATTAAGCGTACGTGGAATCCTTGCTCTGAAATATTTGCGTCCAGCTGTAATAAACATGCGTACCGGGACGCCAAAATAAGCGTCCCCGAGAACCCTGAGTGATAAGGATAAACAATGTTTCATTGGAGTTCACATGATTCGTATATAAACTGTTTGTTGAACAAAAATTTTGACCTGTATTGTATATATAGTAGCGTGAGACCGTCATTTGAAACGCCTTGTGTCAGAGACTCGCTACAGGTTTCTGCAACATGGAAAAATCTAGAAAATTGATGATTTTTGGGGAAAACTAATAAATTTAATGTTTTTCCTTTGGATTTTACGATAATTCCCACAGTTATTTTGTTTTTTATCTGTTTTTTTGACGCATTTCTTTCATTATTTTTGCCCGAAATAACACAGCTCTGCTAAATAGACAAGTTTTCGGATATCGACAGAAGTCGCGAGCGTCACTTCCATCCGTTTGAATTATTCCATGATAATACGAGAAACAGGGATATCTACATTTAATCACAGGACCCCGAAATGTAAAATTGCCTTTTTAATTTAATACTCAAATCCACAGCTTAATATAAATTCGCTCTATATTTTTTAAGTCAATACACAGTAAAATCCTGTTCTGTGTATGCTTTTCTCTCATCTATTCGTGACTCTTATTTGGAAAAATTGCCCTTGCACAACAAATATCAGACATACATACAGTTAAATTAGTGCATTTGTTCAATAAATTCATTATCTAAAAGTTCAAAAACTTTAAATTACTTTTAAAAACAACCGCTCAAAGATTAGAGCATCTGAACATGTCAACCATGACTGTCTTGCTCAGCTGGACGCTTACCCATCGATTCGTGAAATCCGATTCACCCTGTGACGTCATCAAAATATAGGTGCTCACACCACTAAATGTTCGCATGTTTATTTTCAGTCCGATCTGATCAATATATGTTTTAAAGTCTTAAGTAAATTCTTACAGCGTAATGAATATTTTTTTGGCTTAATTGTAAGTGTGTTTGATAAATTAAAACACCAATATCGAATATTTTAAAGTAATTAGGTCATCAGCTGATTGTAGGGTTAGCTCATATACACCTGTTCAATTACGCATTTTGATGTGATAGAATTGTCAAGTCGAGTGTCTAATAAAACTTGTGTAGTTTTCGGTAGTTTTCGGATGGTGTATGTCCTTGCAGAAGTATTTATACCAGACAATTATGTAGGTCACGAATCGATGAGAAGGCACGAATCGATGAGAATAAGGCATAATTGTGAAAATAAAATGACTGGAAAATGTTATGCCATGCTTCATAAAAAAGTTGGGCCACATATGATATTAAAAATTTGTTGTTAAAAAGAATACTCAAAACATTGCGTACAAAATTGCTAACAAACTTAAAGTGAGGGCAAAAATGTCTTTTCTCGACCAACATGAAAAAGTAACATGCGTAATTTATTCAACATTCTAGAACAAAATAAAATCGAAGATGGCGGATTTTCATAGCGCATGGAGGGAAACCTTCCAAAACGATATTCAACAATTGTTGTCACACGGATTAAAACCAGGGGCTCAACATTTCAACACACACTTAAATTGTAACAAACACAAAACATCCAAATACATAAATAAACATAATAATTCATATAGAAAAAAAATTAACCTCGAGACGGCTGCCATGTTGAATTTGCAACAAGGTCCCGGATTAAAAACTCAAGTCGCTTATGTCTTGGAAAATACAATTACTACTTACTTTCGCTTTCGAAGATAATCATTAGTCAGCTATTAACCAAAGTCAAACCGAAATCAATTACAAAACAAGTAGATGATTCACTTTTTATACTGTTCATTTTCGAAATAAGACCGAAAATGTAAAAGAAAAACAGCATTAAAATGATTTTATGCAATAATTAATTGTAAACATCTGCACCACCCAGTGGATGACCTGGGCCTTGAAGCAATCTTTTTGAAAGATAATTTCCATATTAAAATTCTATGCTTTCGTAGCTGTTGCATTTTATGTCTTTTGTGAAGTAAACTTTTCTTTGGATACTATTTGTTGATATCAGTAATTGAACTTTTACTCTCAAATTTGCTAATACAATGCACAAGCAAGCCAAAGCTCAAATTTCTATTTTACACTTAAATTTTAGTTACTTAACTAATTGACAGGGCACGTATATCTTACGCATGTAAGGCGGCAAATATGTGCTTGAGTTATTCTCCCTGTATTAAAGATCCCTGTATCACACCGTATTACCGGCGCCAGTGATGGCAGATCACTGCAGTGATGGCAGATAGCTGAAATTTACCGCTCGGTACAGGTAGGTTATAAATTTGGTTGGTATTATTATTTTACACAAATACGGCCCATCTCATTGCTATGAAACAATTGTTCATTGACTGGAGATACAATTAGGTAATTTTGGACTCGTCTTTTCTTGAAAGTTTTACAGACGTTCAATCTGGTCCGATCGAAGAAAAAATGCTGCCGTTGTAGGCAGATACTTATTTTAAATGCTGCCGTCGATGGCAGAAATACCATGAAAGTGGCTAACATTATGACAGAAAATCAAGGTCAATCTTTTATCAATTCCTCTATTCTTTGTGCCCTTTTAGTCAGAATTGATACGTTAAACTATCATTTCTAATTTTTTCTCAAGATAGAAAAGTTATTAATACGATATGTGCATCGAAAAAGCTTTTTAGCAACACGCAGTTACAATACAAAATGTGATGATTCAGTACGACCAAAATGCACTATAAATAGAGCAATTAACATGAAGAAATTCATTTTTCTATATTCATGCATGTGTGCTTGATCTGTTGTGTCTGTCACTTACATGCATATGTACAATACCATATGTATCTTTAGTTTAGCAGCGCATAATTCACTCCCTTTTCAAGACATAACGCCATTTGCATATTACAGCTGTAACTTCAGTAAGTGGATATTCATTTGCTAGCATATGACATTATTTTCTCGAGGTAATAATGTTCATCGCTTTATGACAAACATGTATAAAGGCTGAAATTTACTTAGTCGGCGTTAATGCTGCAGATTATAAGATACTAAATCGATGTTATATAGGGAATATTATTAACCTTGCAACTGACAGGATATGTGGACATCAGTGTACCATACAACAATGTAGCCTATGTTAATGTAAAATGGAGATTGAGATAATATTATCGACAGTTCAAATATTTTCCTATATTATCAAGTTCTTGAAAAACACGACAACGTGGATTCATTTCTTTAAATTTTCATGTTTGAAATCGCGTCGTAGTTTGCCTTTGAATTACATTTACTTTGCTAAAATATTAACAACAGTACTAACAGTAAGGTGGACAAACAACGCGATTTCAAATATGAAAACTTTCATAGTATTTCTGCCATTGACGGCAGCATTCAAAATAAGTCTGCCTACAACGGCAGCATTTTTTCTTCGACCGGACCAGATTGAACGTGGGGTAGATATTTGGCTTGCGTGACCCCAACGAATGGATGAACGTCTATATTAATAATACGAAATCCAGCCATTTAGTTAAAACTTGAGATATTTTGAACAAAAATCAGACATTTCCACGGATTTTTCCGAAGCTGTCACTTTTTAACTGCTCAAAATAGTCTAAAAACAGGAAAAACGAGTCCAAAATTACGTAATAGTATCACTATCTCCAGTCAATGGACAATAGTTTCATAGCAATGAAATGGGCCGTATTTGTGTAATATCATAATACCAACCAAATTTATAACCTATACCTGTACCGAGCGGTAAATTTCAGCTATCTGCCATCACTGCAGTGATCTGCCATCACTGGCGCCGGTAATACGGTGTGTGTATGTTGTGATCAAAGTGGTTAACCACATTATGTGTACATAATTATGCAAATAAAACAATTTTCAAACATTGAAGAATATGTAAAATATGTACTGCAAATATTTGTGAATATTATATGTGATCATTAAAATATATGCATTCATTTCTTATGTAAAAATTGACTTAAACTTTATAGAAAATAAATTTCTAATTACCTCCCTTTATTTTCATGGTAATATCTTTCTAAATAATGCCTTTTGGAACCTACGATATTGATAAATCTTAATTTGAGCATCATATTTATGATTTAAAACCATAAAAAATGTGTTACAGGATCTTTAATATCTGTGTCGGCATGCTCGTTGATACTTGTAGCTCCAGTTATTGAAAGAATATTATAAAACTTATATAGATACTTTTAACAGGGCATCTCTTCTCACTTCCCCTCGGAGCGTGCACGTCGCTGAGAAGGCACAGGGCATCGGCAGAAGATTTACAACTTGGCTGGTAGACAACTTTAACGTAGCCTTCAACCGTGGGCGTTAACTACGGAATCCTACTTCGTCACTTCTGCGGACCAGCTGCCGATGTCCTGACTAATGCCGAGGGGAGTGGCCCTACAAAGTAGGCTGAGACGACGAGAATGGTGTACTAGGGTGCGTGAGCCCTTAGTACAGATAGACGGCTTGTAAGGCAGGCCTATAGCTGGCACCAACAGCCCTTTTCAGGGCTAAACACCTTTCCTATTGTCACAGGTTACTGTACATTTAGGTTCTCATTGACCTACTTTTGGCTCAAAATTCATATCTTTGGCTAATACTCCGTGGAAATTGCATGGAGGTAAATTATCACCACTTTGTGCTTCAAAATTAACTCTTAAAGGACATGACTTGTGACATGTCCGGGGTCCGTACTCGACAGCGAAAGCTGCATTTTGTGCCCGAGAGGGCGGATGGACCCTCATTAAGCATTAACTACATACATACATTAACAGGGCATCTGAGCCAGCCCGCATAGCTCAATCGGTTAGAGCGCGAGACTTGTAATCTCGACATTGTGGGTTCGATTCCCGGGCTGGCCAACTAAAATTACTAATCAGTCTTTCGGATGAGACTTTAAATCGAGGTCCCGTGTATGAGTGCTTAAACACTTGGCACGCTAAAGAACCAGGAGAAGGTTCTGGAATTGGGGCATTTTTCTGTATCTGTAGTTGCACTGTCCTCCGAAAAAAATAAAATGACTAATAGTAATACTCTTCTGGAGGACTCGCCCATATGGGCAACCGGTGGCGAGTATAAATAAACGCAAATACACAATTAACAGGGCATCGACAGAAGATTTACAGCTTGGCTGGTGGCTAACTTAAACTGAAGCCTCCGTGGGCGTTAAAGACGGAACCGCTACTTAGTCAACAACTGCGGACCAGCTGCCGGTGTCCTGACTAATGCCGAGGGGAGTGGCCCTACAAAGTAGGCGCTTGGGTCGACGAGGACGGTGCGTGAGCCCCTAGCACGGTTAGACGGCTTGAACGGCAGGCCTTTTCCTGGTACAAACAGCCCCTTTCAGGGCTAACCTTTCCTATTGTCACAGGTTACTATACATTTAGGTTCTCATTGACCGCCGTACAGTGACCTACTTTTGGCTCAAAATTCATATCTTTGGCTAATACTCCGTGGAAATTGCATGGAGGTAAATTATCACCACTTTGTGCTTCAAAATTAACTCTTAAAGGACATGACTGGTGACATGTCCGGGGTCCGTACTCGACAGCGCAAGCTGCATTTTGTGCCCGAAAGGGCGGATGGACCCTCATTAAGCTTCAACTTCAATCAATCAATTAACTACTACAATGTAAATTTTTTGCTCAAGGAAACATGGGATGGCCGCTGGCGGGGTTCGAACTCACGCCTTGACAAGCGATGCGATTGCAAGTCCGACGTTTCAGTCTAGAAGTCACGGGTTTGATTCCTAACTCTTTCAATGTATTTCCTTAAATTCTTTCGGATATGACCGTGGTCCCATGTGTTTACGCCGGACACACAAAAGAACTAGTTTTGCTCTTAGAACTGAAGCATCTTTAGTATTTATGCATTTTCCTCCGTGTTGTAAAATATTAATATACATCTAGAGGCCTCGCCTAGATGGGCAACAATAAATAAATACAAATAAGATTATTCAGCATTTAGTTAATCATCATGATGCAGTGCAAGTCTAGCACTAATGTATACGGTGCCACCATTTTCGGTGCGGAAACCATGATACGAAACAAAGAACTCGGTCAGATGTCATGCTTTTGTGTGTGTTTTTTTAAAATATTAATGTTTACAGCTTATATTTGGGTGCAATATTATGTGCATACATATCTTTGATGCTCACAGTAATATCAAATAAATATTTTGATTGACAACAGAATTTTCTAATTCAAAAGCATTCCAAATGATCATTTTCCCCAAACCAGCTATAAGTTTTTTCATTAAAACAAAGAAATGGTACAAGTTTTTGATAAAAACCAGGCAAAAATATAACCTTCAATGATCATAATATTTTTGGACCCACTTTTATTAATACACTTACTTCAAAAGTGTCACTTTTTGGTCGTTTTCCATCATGCATGTTGTGTTTCAGTGTTTGTTTTGTCTAAAATGATAAGGTGCTGCGCGCAGGATGATAAATTATCGACGGTACGCGGAATAATGATGCGTAAACCCTTGACATCGTGTAAAAACAGGTATTGTCCCAGAAGACTGGAAGCATGCAATATTTGCCCCAGTTTACAAAAAGGCCTAAAATGCAAACCCAGCAATTATAGACCAATGTCCCTCACATGCATAGCGTCCAAATTGATGGTCCAATATTATGTCCTTTTATGATAAGCACAACATCCTTATCCTCTATCATCATGGCATCAGATCAAT